ATTATAACCTATTTTGTACGTATGTATTTAGATATTAAAACATTAATATAAATCCATCTTGTTACAACCGCCCAAGATACTGAGAGAGCCATCTCTCATCGAAAAACTAAACTAGCGAATAGCAGAAGAGCGCCATCTAGTAGAGAGTTGATGAACTAAAGATCTATATATTATTAATCTAATGTTACCTGTAATGTAATTAAAATGTTACCGGAAAGATCTTGTTAAGTGGTATGTGACTTATGACAAACCTTCCTGAATTAAGGGGGTGTGGAAGGGATCCAATTGAGTTTAAAAAAAATTTGGAGAGCTGGCTGTTTGCTTGGGCTGACTTCTTCCAAGTGTGAGCCGAACTCAAGGACCCACCGTCCCTATGTTGGGATAATGCGGTCCAGGGCGCTACGTGGCTCCCAATGTAATGTCACACCCTGTCCGGCAAGAAAGTCGCAATTCTGTTTCGTTCGCAGCACGTTCTCAGGATCCCGCGGCGAATGTTCTCAAACTGGGTGGCGGCGTTTGCTTTATCCTGTCAATGGGCCGGGCCAGTCACTCAACATCAGACTGTAAGATTCACAGGTAACGGCTCAGTTTCGACAGTCGATGGAAATCGAATTTCAATTCCCGCATATCCTCAATTGTTTCGCGGTATAGCAATAATTATACTCGTAACTCGCAATGTAGAACAAGCAATGTAATCAAAACACTTACCCTACGAAAATTTCACTGAACAACCAATCGACGATGACTGCGTCAAATCGTTGAGTAGGGTCGTTTAAAAGTCGCTGTAGATTCTCATTCTGTATGGCTTTTACGTTCACGTCATGCATGAAGTATGATATTTTACGTAGAGATATTGTTTTAACAGTGTCATTATTAAGAAACGCGTTTAAATCAAACAAACCTAAAAATGTTTTTAACAACCTTTTATTCATCGAAGTCGTGCAGGTTTCATATCCACGTTTTCAGTTCCGTGTGCTTAGTGAGAGTTTTTAAAAAAAAAGCTAACCCAATTTTGTATGGAGTTGGAACAGCGCCCCTAGGGGCAAATGTATGCAAACGATCCCATTCGATACAAATATGAGCTAACTTTTACGCTATCGAGAACGTTAAAAAACTCGCACTAAGCACACCGGTAACTATATAATACTATATGGGCTGTGAACTAGTCTCCGCATGTGCGACAGACAAAAATATTGTCTAAAATCGAAAAATTTACCACAAAATCCGAAACACAACAATTCGAATTTGTATGTATGTTACATTAGCTAAGACGGTCATTAGTTTGGTAGCTAAACGAAACGCAGCACGATTCCCGAGAGATGGCAGCACGATTCCCGAGAGATGGCAGCACGATTGCGGTATCGTCGGAACTCGGCTAACTTCGTGTTACGAACTTCGTGTTAGGCTCTGCCTAGCCGATGGAGGCGCGGTAGACGCTATCACACTGACCAACCAGCATTCTTGAAGAGCGGTGCCTCCGTCCTAAGAACTGTCATTCGTTTTCGTTTGCTAACGTCAAGAGAAGATTTCTAAATTGTTCTAAGACAACAAACGTGATTGGAGTACTCAATATTTCTATTAGCCCGATCACCCTATTCGCCCCTATGATATCTGACGATGGAGTTAATGATGTGGTCTCTCCAACAAATATACCTATGCGTGAACAAAATATCAGTTTGCCTCTTTCTTTGACTTGATATTACGAGCAGTTTCAGAATAATATTAATATTGAAAATATGTTTTTTTAGTTGAAATAAAAAAATAAGGACATGCCTAGTGTATAAATAAATTTACAATAAATTCTATATTTCAATTTATTTATATTATCCCGACATATAATATAAATATACTTTGATACCAATTTTTTTGTACATAATATGAATTTCTAAAGCCGAAACATTGAACTTTTTTTTTATGCCTTTCTAGTTTCACCAGGACAGGTGGGCGAACAAAGGCTCAGCCAGGAGGGGTGGGATTTGCTAACAACTGCCCGAGCGCCTCCGAAGGAGACCTAACAACTTAAGAGCAATTGCTTCGCGAATGAATCTACTTCCGGATCGGAATCGCGACCTGCTGAGAAGATCCGGCAAGAAACTCAGCGGGCTGATGCATGGGTTAGGTTGCACGTCGACCTCTTTGTCGAGTTCGACGAGTACGGTTACCGGGGTCCCTAAGCCTGCTCCTAGTGCTAGAGCTGAAGGCGTCGAATGCAAAGTTTATTGGATCTGATGGATCCGTAAGGACCGCATTGTACTCTCCTGATCCTGAACTCGACGATTACGACGAAGAATTGGAGGAGTGAATTAACCCATAGACACAGCTCACCGATTTTTGGGATCGATCGGGAGATTCCTATCCGGTGATAGATTTTGCGAAGCACTGCTCTTGCTAGGGCTAGTGTTAGCAAATTCTCTCAGGTTGAGCCCGTACCCGTCCGGGCGTAACTGGAATAGCCCCTTGAGATACCAGCGAATAAGTAGGTTAAAAAAAACTCTCCTGATAATAATTACATAGTGTACTTTTAATCCGCATAAAATAAATGGATGCTCTTAATTCAGCGTTCTTGGGTTTTTGTTACAAATACGTACATTAAATTTGGAATACGTACCTTTTTTACCGATGTAAGTTACATCAACCTGGCGCATCTTATCGGGAACAGATTCTTTTGGGAAGGGCGTCACGTATGTGACCTGTGAAATTAGCTGTATGTTATTATATATAACATATATATAAATTCATATACTAATCTGGTTCTCCACGAAGTAGGGTGCCCAAGAAAAGGAAAAAAGTGCGTGCGTACACTTTGTCACATGTCAGAAGTGAAACTTCTATGGCAAACAATTTTTAATTTTTAATAATATACTTATAATTATAATTGTAATAAAATCTCAGATGATGAATATTAAATTAAAATTCCTCGCGATTTTTTGTAAATAGTAAAAACACCTGACCTTAATTAAAATATATACATAATAATTCTCAAATTCGTAAAGAGCATTTATGAAATATTATTATTTTACATTTTATGATAGATAAATCATTAAAATCTCAAATGACGAATTGTAAATTGAAATGCCACGTGTTTTCTGTCAATATTAAAATCTCCTAACCTTCAAACGAATTAACATAAAAATATTGTAAATGAACCTTTCTTTTCCTACCTGTCGTTCATTGTCGAGCCCTTCGTTGCAAGCGACGGGTTCAACGAGAAGTAATCTGCTGTAAAGCTAACGGGCCTCAAACCGGAGTGTTGCTAACACTGGCCCTAGCAAGAGCAGTGCTTCGCAGAATCTACCACCGGATCGGAAACGCGACCCACTGAGAAGATCCGGCGAGAAACTCAGTGGGCTGTGTCTATGGGTTAATTCACTTGTCGCGCCCTTCGTCGCAAGCGACGGGTTCGACGGGGACGGTAACCGGTGCTTGCGGTACCTAAAAGCACCGTTAATGGATCGGAGGATCCGTAATGACGTGTTTTGTGCGACGTCGACTATTTACCATTCGGTCTACAGGATCGGGTATGTAATTCCCAGCAGCCACGACAAGAGGGTTCTCATGTCGTGCCGCTGTCTCAAAGTGGCGCAAGCTAACTATTAAACGAATACATCAACTATTTTTTTCTTTTATTGCTTAGGTAGGGTTACTGGAGCCCATAGACATCTACAACGTAAATGCGCCACCCACCTTGAGATATAACTTCTAAGATCTCAGTATAGTTACAACGACTACCCTACCCTTCAAACCGAAACGCGTTATTGCTTCACGGCAGAAACAGGCATAGCGGTGGTGCCTACCCGCGCGGACTCACAAGAGGTCCTACCACCAGTAATTACGCAAATTATAGTTTTTGCGGGTTTGATTTTTATTACACGATGTTGTTCCTTCACCGTCGAAGTCAATCGTGACAATTTGTTGAGTACGTAATTCATTAGAAAAATTCGTACCCGCCTGGGATTCTAACACATGTGCATCGCTTAACACGAATGTACCGGACGTCTTATCTCTTAGGCCACGACGACTTCATTATCACAATAAATCACACAACTTCACTCCTCGTGTTCCCCTATAGGCTGATGACGATGATGATGATGGTGATGTGGCTCAACTGAAATTTAGCAGCTGCAGTGACTCATAACAATATCAACGCCAAAAATGGCACATTTTAGTATTACTGGCGCGAACTAGTACTGCATTCCAGTTTGAAGGGATGTTTGAAAGTAGAGAGTGACAGCCAATTGACATCCAGACCTCGTGTCTCAAGGAGGGTGGCGGCATTGACATGTCATGTCTACCATGTCTGTCTTTTTTTAGAGAGTTCATCTCTATCAAAAGTATAGAAACATCGCCATAATTATATCGACATTATCATGCGTGCGGCACTATATTCGTTGCTCAAAATTGCTTCCCAACCGCAATATAGCTCTCAAAAAAAAAAGAAAAAGAAACAAATAGAATAAAGAAAAAACATTTATTTTTCTACCTTAATTCGTTTTACCTTATTTACCGTAACTATAATAGTTTTTTTACCTATGAAGTTGCCGTTTAGTATACAAAAAGTTAAACTTTTTTTTTTTCTATAATCAAAATATGAACCAATTATATTAATGCTTCTCTGACAGTGCTTATTTTTTTAACGCCCTCCTTGAAGAAGTCAGGTGTACAGGAGGCAGGAGCCAACAAACTCTTCAAAGGCATTTTGTATTGCCAAGAAGTTACAAAATTTGGGAAAAATTTTCACTTTATATCTCTGGTTAGTATGGCGCAAAACTTTCGTCGCCCGCAATAGCGACATTTAATAAAACAGTTTATTTTTATTTTTATTATCATTTATTTATTTCGTAACAGCCTAAAAAAACAATCTCTTCTATACTAATATTATAAAGAGGAAAGATTTGTTTGTTTGTTTGTTTCGAATAGGCTCCGAAACTACTGGACCGATTTGAAAAAATCTTTTTCCATTAGAAGCCGACATTGTCCCTGATGAACATAGGCTACTTTTTTTTTTTTTATTTTTTTTTTTTGGTTTCATGTTTGTTTTAATGTTTCCGAAGCGAAGCGAGGGCGGGTCGCTAGTATATTATAAAACTCACCTCGTGGCCAGCATTCAACAATAACTCCGCTGCAGCCTCTCCAAGTATATTATGACTTTTCATAGGAGTCGTAAATACAAGCAATATTTTATAACAATCACATGTTAATACAAACGAGAATAAACTTATTAATAATTTAATATTCATTGTAAATTTAATGTCTGCGTCCGTACGTGTATCACTTTAATTAAAATATGATGTAATAATTTTTTTTTTTTTAAAGTGCAGCTAACCCCTAACACCTGAATAAATAAATACGAACAAATAAAACAATATTATGCAAGGTTTTGCGACATCTACCAACAAAAATACAAAACCTATACAATAATATCACTATCACTGAATTTTATCTTTAAAATGTACGTTACAGTGAATATTCTTCAAGATAAATCTCAAAACGATTGACGTGACCAGAACAATAGCGAGCAGATCTAAGTACAGCTTCTGGTAGAAAGGCACGTGCAGTGCTGGTGAGCGCAGATGGAGGGCTCCTCTAGTCTTGACGACGTGCTCCACCCAGTGGACCAGCTCAGCACCCGGAGTCACCGGACGATCGTGATATATCAAAGATAACTCCTTTATTTTTTCTTTGTACCTATAAAAGAAATATCGAATAAGCCAAAATTAAAATACATCACCCACATCCTGCAAGACTGGTCTCTTCTGAACAAAGATGTCCTTTATTTATTTTTTTAATTAAATTTACTGTGAAAAAATCTTGCCTCCAATTCACGACATTGCCAGATTTTGTTTTTATTATGTTTACAAGTAACTTCACGGAGGCCATTGGAATCACAATACCACCCTCCCTTCATCTTGAGACGTGAGGTCAAACATCCAATTGCAACGTTTAATGACCTGATCTTAGTGCCCATCCTTGAAATTGCAACGCATGACTGCTCCGTGATAAAAATCGACAGGATGGTGGTACCTACTCATTCGTGTTCACAATACGCCCTACAACCATCGATCAACGGTCTACGATCGATACCTACAACCAGACAGTTTAGTAGGCAGCGACCTGACTCTGCCTCTGGCATTGCTGAAGTCCATGGGCGACGGTAACCACTCACCTTCAGATGGGCCGTATGCTCGTCGGCCTACAAGGGCAATAAAAAAAAAACTTATATAATACTCAAAGAACTTAGTCCACTATTCTAGACCGACTCCTAACAGCCAAAATATCCGACTAACCTAGAATTATTGATCATTTCCGCAACAGCTTCCTCCAGATCACGGACCATCGTGAACGATAAATCCACTCTCCTCGCAATACCTTTCTGGACTGCTCTGTTGACGTTACCAAACTGATCGGCAAAGACCGGTATGCCGATGATGGGCTTACCAAAATGTACAGCCTCTGTTGTCGATAGAAGACCTCCGTGAGTTATGAAAAGAATGCAGTTCGGGTGTGCTGAAAACGGGGAATATAAAATATTGAGTCTGTGAAGGTAATGGTAAACTTAAAATAAATAATAATTTAAAAAAACTAACAAAATACGTTTTCATAGAAAATCCAACTTAAAAAATAGAAAATTAACTTTAATAAATTTGAATTAAAAATAGTGTAAGAAAGAATTATTTTATTGTAAAAAAGCGTCGGGTGTACACTATTTTTAATTCAAATTTATTTAAATTTATTTTCTATTTTTTAGTTAGATTTTCTACAAAAGCGTATTTTGTTAGTTTTTTTAGACTATTATTTATATTTAATTTTTTAGTTGAACTTTTTTTTTATCAGTCCTTAATAAGTATAGCAAATTTCGAGTTAATCCGACGTTTTAAAGGAGGTCAAAATCATATTCAAAGATTCCGTTACAAACATACATACGTCTGAAGCTAATAAAAGCCTATTAAAAAAGCCTTGCGACTACCATATGAGCACCGATAAGTCTAAAATCATTCTTGTCTACATCTCACGCACAAAAATAAACTCTTCGCTCTGTCTCTTAACAGCAAAATAATTACTTAAATAGCAGTGTACGTTCTCTTTGATTAGCTGTAGTTGGCAATTTTCTAACTAATAACTTATAATCATCTTCAAATACTCCTAGTCATTTCCTGTCATCAACATAACTATACTCCTATTTAACTATTATACAAACATTAAATAATTTAAACCAATCATGTATTTTGAATCACGCTACCATTAGATTTACTTTGTCTGTTGCTATTCCCAATGCCTTGAATCTGTTAAGGGGAAACACGGACGATTTTCAGTACATACGAAACAAAAAAATTACAGTTCAATACATAGTTACAACCCTACGATTTATAACCTAGGCAGTATTTTATGAAACCCCTACTTAGTTTCTCGTCGGATCTTCTCATTGGGTCGCGTTTCCAATCCGGTGGTAGATTCTGCGAAGCACTGCTCTTGCTATGTCCAGTGTTATCAATAACTCGGGTTTAAGCCCCGAGAGCTCACCTACACTGTGGTGTGGATAACGCTGATATAGCCTCGCAAGGCTAACAGCAAAAGTAGGAAAAAATTATTTAAAGATGCATATGTAAATGAAATGTATATACGTCTTCTGTTCGTATTGTATCACATCATTATGGATCCTCCCGATTTACTAACGATGCTTTTAGGTACCACAAGCACCGGTCACCGTCCTCGTCGAACCCGTCGCTTGCGACGAAGGGCTCGACGAGTGAATTAACCCATAGACACAGCCCACTGAGTTTCTCGGCGGATCTTCTCGGTGGGTCGCGTTTCCGATCCGGTGGTAGATTCTGCAAAGCACTGCTCTTGCTAGGGCCAGTATTAGCAACACTCCGGTTTGTGCCCCGTGAGCTCACCTACACGTCATGGAGAAGCTGAAATAGCCTCTCAAGGCTATCAGCAAAGGTAGGGAAAAAAACTATTATATTTGACTGTGTTGTTCGCTTTGTTTCGAATTTTATTCTGTCAATTCTATCCGTATTCATCGCGATTACTAAAAGTTTGGAATACTTTCGCACCGCAATCACTTAAAGACACAACGAAAACATTTTAGAACTTACCCAGGATACTCTGTTGAGGTGCCCATTTCAATAAATGAACGTTTTCCGGTAAAGGTGATAAGTTTTCCTCAAACTTCCATAAAACCGTCTGTTTTAATTGGCTAAACATTTTCAGTAGTCCCTCTTTAATCTCCTTCGGTAGATCTTTGCTCTTCAAATTCGAGCCCATACTGAAGTAAATGACGCCGTGTTTTGATTCGTTCATTATTTTTTGTAGATCCTGTACAATTTTGATCGAATTATTTAAACTTTCGCTCTAATACCTACTCTGTCTAGGTGTTTCGTAGGTTTAATTTATGTGAATTTTGAGTTCGTTTACTCATTTGGCATTAACAAGGCACCCACTTCACCGAAAAACAGATGTTTCCCTTTTCATTTTTTTTAATTACTTTGAAGGTTGAGGCAGCCGTTTTACTGTAAAAATGAGACCTAGAACTCATGTCTGAGGGATCTGCGGCATGTACGCTGTTGATGCCTATAAGCTCCGGTAGCCACTTAACACTGCATGGGTAGCGTATATCCTTAACTGCGATTGCAAGAACTCAGGCAAATTGAGCAGCTTTTAACCAAACGTTATCGATGCTTCTAATAAAATGGGTGACGATTTCGCCTAAACTCCATAGCATTGGCAAAGTTCAACTATCACGAATACAATTCATGATGATTTATCCTCATAGCGATTCGGCACTCCGCTTTGAAATCCAGGCTGGTTTTAGTGCGAGGTCAATAGTGTAGTTATAGCATCAGCTCGCATTTCGAAAATTTCGAAAATCAGCTCCTCCTAGTATAATTCATTAAGAGGGTTGATTTTTTTTATTGCCCTCGTAGGCAAACGAGCATACGGCCCCCCTGATGGTGAGTGGTTACCGTCGCCCATGGATTTCAGCAATGCCAGGGCAGAGCTAAGCCGCTGCCTACCGCTGAATACTCTCCACAAGCATCGTTTGAAGAAGGACATGTCATAATGCTCGGGAAACACCGTGGGGGGGAGCTTATTCCATAGTCGGATGGTGCGTGGCAAAAAAGACCTCTCGTAAAAGACCAATTTACTTAACTAACTTCAAAGTCGGTCAGTAATTAATCATCTGTAAGTAAAACTTAAACAGTTCATTTTCAAAGAATACTCACCAGTGGCAATTCTTTTACATTTCCACCAATATGATAACCACCAATGGCTTTGTAATTAATCGGTACCTTAATCGCATCTCCCAACGAGACATGAGAATTACCGAGCAGCAAAGATCCATTGTATCTCACTTCATCATAGTTCGGTACTGGTTTACCGTTCTTTTTTATTATAGGAGCAATATTGTTGTCGTATATATACTTTTCAAGATCGTATACCCACCTAAGAAGCAAATTGTATAATTTGAGAATAATTTGTTTAATTAAAACTATTATTTAACGTCTACAGTAGGTATACTTTAGTCGTAATAGTACAACGTAAATGCGCCACCCACCTTGAGATATAAGTTCTAAAGTCTTAGTATAGTTACAACGGCTGCCCCACCCTTCAAGCCGAAACGCATTACTGCTTCATGGGGGAAATAGACAGTGTGCTGGTACCTACCCGTACGGACTCACAAGAGGTCCTACCGCCAGTAAAATACTGGTGCTTGGGGAGCCTAAAAGCACCGAGAGTGGATCAGGAGGATCAGAGAAGACATGTTTTGGGCGACGACGGCTGTTTACGGTTTGATTGTTTGGATTGGGTTTGTAATTTAGTAGGTAGTTAGTAGTAGGCCACAACAAAAGAATAAATGCATATACATAACAGGGCATGTGATAACCAAGAAGCAAAATTATAAAAACAATACAGTGTAAAGGGAAATGCCCATTTCAGGCCCAAAGCGGGCAATAGATTAGAGAAAAATACTTAGTGCATTAATTTTGTCATAAATAAATATATATTTACTTTCTTCCAAATGAGCGCCACTACAGTTTACAATAAGGAGTTTTAAAAAAGTAACTCTATTGAATAAACAAGGGTTTTGATTTTTGCGGGAAAATATTGCCAGCATCATCAAAACCTTTTACGTATAAAGTAAACATTTTAAGTATATAAATAAAACATATAAATAAAACATTTTAAGTATTATCATTAAGCAATCGATTTTTATCGATTATAAGCACATAAAATAACATCAAAGACATACCCATTGGACTTTAACTTGTAACTATACTTGAGACTTGTAACTTACATCTCAAGGTGGGTGGCGCATTCACGTTGTAGATGTCTGTGGGCTTCAGTATCCACTTAACACCAGGTTAGCTGTGAGCTCCCACCCATCGAAGCAATACAAAAAACTTTACTAGTATTGTTATTTAAATATGTACAACTAAATCAAAAACATAAAAATTAATGTGTACTCGTAAAAAAAAGATTAAGAAAAATAAATCAATTATATTATCGGTTATTTAAAAAAAAAATCGTTATATGAATTTAATGTCATTATTTTTCGTTACACTGACAACACTGAATTTAATCTGACTGACTGACACTTCGCTTGCTGCTTATGCTTACGTTCAAAATGCATGTGTTTTGATTTTTCTTCGATTTATTTTACTGGCTTTGTTTTATGGATTTTATCCTCCCTTAAGGATCACAGCTACATTCGATTATGGATACCGATCAATAACGTTTCATACTACGACTGAAAAACATTGTGTGAATTATGGTTTTAACCTGACCGAGATTCAAAACCGTGTATCCTGTGCTATTTTTAGATGATTTACTAATTGTGTATGAAGATGAAGAAAATATAGATATTTATAGAAGCATGTGTGGTTTTTTATACCCTAATAACTACAATTAGACAATACATTACAAAAATTGGATGCATTAAATACATGGAAAAATACATTAGGAACATCTCTCTTATCATAATTAATAAATTAAACATTAAGAAAAGAAAAGTTGTTGAAGTATCTCACAATCCGACACTTATTTATATAGAAAATTAACCTCAAAACGATTTTTTATTTTTATTATATTTTTATAATAGTGGCGTCAATTTCAAAATATTTTTTAGATATCCAATACATAAGAATTTAAAACAGTCCCTTTTTATAGTAATATTTGATGTCCATCTTGGGCCCAGCACACTATGGAGAATGGGCATTCCCCTTTGTGGACGGCTTCTCGTATACATACATAATTGTGAGTCATTTAATTTACCGTTATTTGATCTTGCATCAATCGATCAATAACATTCACAATCAATTGCCATACTTTTACACTTTTTATCTACCATATTGCAATTGGATGAGTAATTCAATGTCAATAAACTTGATGATGATACACCTTAGTTTATTATGCTTTTGAGATTAACGGTACTTCGTCTTTGTAAAATAACTAAACAACCCGATAATTGATTATTTATGACAAAAATTACTAATGCATTTGCGTACCAACATTAGGGTTAGCAATGGCAAATATGTTCAGATGTGAATCCTAGAGAATAGCATTACATTTTTGACACCCACAAGAAGAAAATTTAGAGCGTTATTACTGGTGGTAAGACCTCTTGCGAGTCCGCACGGGTAGGTACCACCACCCTGCCTATTTCTGCCGAGAAACAATAATGCGTTTCGGTTTGAAGGGTGGGGTAGCCGTTGTAACTATACGGAGACCTAAGAATTCATATCTCAAAATGGGTGGCGGCATTTAAGTTGTCGATGACTATGTGCTCCGGTCTCCACTTAACACCAGGTGGACCGTGAGCTCGTCCGCCCACCTAAGTGATTAAAAAAAGTGGTGGGGAGTAGGCAAGTGGAGGATATGTCGAAACCAATAAACATAATATTATGGGAAAAATACTACTAGAAAATAGCATTAACGAAACGACTTCCATAGTCAATGAAATCCAATTATATATTATAAGTTTGTACACTATTATGATTTTATTTTCAAAGACTATTTATTATACTTCTATTATCACAAATTTCGCCAAGACTACATTATAGAAAAATATGAATAAAGACAAACAATATTTAATTTATTCTCAATTTGACCACAGACGTCAAGAACAAAAGTTTGAAAAATAATGCCTAAATAATAAACAATAAATATGCATGCGTGTGTGCGTCAAATACATGGTAGTGTGTGTAATGTTTTTTTTATTGATTTAATAATCATAGCATAATCAAGGCCTAATTTTAAAAAATATTAACATTCTGCACTTCTTCTCTATATTCTCTATAAGTGTGGGAAATTTCATACTCCTCCGTCCGCGCAATTTTTGTGAAAAGGGATACAAAGTTTTTCCTTCCCGTATTAATATAACTATTTATATTACTCACGTATTTAAGCTTAAGCTCCACGTAAGTTGTGATGATAGTACAGACATCCTTTCCACGAACGTAAATGGTACTTCGAAGCTGTCCTGAAAGTGTGAGGTGTACGCTGGGTTTGGATATTCATCGATCAATCTGAGCACCATCCAATGAGGTTCGATCGTTGAGAACCAAATCAAGGGGCAATCCAGAACTGCGTGGAATCTAAAAAATTATTAGACCAAAAAAACTACTTGGATTACATTTGGTATTCTATAGCCAACATAAATACCAATATATCTTAAGCTAGCTGACCCGGCAGATTTCGTACTGCCTCAATCTACTGCCTAAAATATAAAAGACCTAAACTTTTGTATAAAATAAACTTAAAACAAACAAAAGGAATCCGTCCGACGGGGGACACATCAAAGGAAAAACAAAATTGTTATTTTTATTTAATATCCGAGCGTTTTCATATTTATTTACATATTAAACCTTCTCTGGACTTCTACAAATAATTCAAGACCGAAATTAGCCAAATCGGTCCAGCCGTTCTTGAGTTTTAGCGAGACTAACGAACAGCAATTTATTTTTATATAAAATACATAGATAGATATATCTTAATTTTCAAAATAAAATGATTTATTTATCGATTAGCTCGATATTCCATTGACACTCCGACCTATCAAGATAAGTGAAGGTTGCGATAACGTTGCGATAACAACTGACTCCAGTAGCCACCTAAGATCAGACAGGCAAAGGATTTTGTCAAGCGCAACAAAAAAGATCTTGCTGTATCTCTCGTCCATACGTCACAGTGACGTCATAAATCGTGAACCTTTAATTGTCATTCCGTATTCTATAGGTCGACAGCTGGGTTATATAAATATGTTAATATAAATTCACCCCAAGTCTATGTCACCTTCAGTTGTACTGTTACTAGTGAGACCTCAGAACTCATGTCTCAAGGTTGGTGCTGGTATGTACGTTGTAGATGTCTATGGGCTCCGATAACCGTTCAACACCAGGTGGGTCGTGAGCTTGTCCAAGCATCTAAGCAAAAAAAAAAATTGCCCTTTGCTACACAATTCTGTTTTTTTTTTTTTTCCTACCTAAAACTCGCTAGTAGTCTAAGGGGCCATTCCAGCTACTGTCGGACGGGTAGGTGAACTCACAGCCTCAACTAGAGATAATTTGATAACACAGCTCTAGCATGAGCAGTGCTTCGCAGAATCTACCACCGGATCGGAATTGCGACCAACCGAGAAGATCCGGCTAGAAATTCAGTGGCCGGTTTCTATGGATCTCCGCGCCTAGTACACTCAGGTGCTATTTTTTTATTTTATTGCTTAGTTGGGTAGACGAGCTCACAGCCCACCTGATGTTAAGTGATTACTGGAGCGCATAGACATCCACAACGTAAATGCGTCACCCACCTTGAGATATCTGTTCTAAGGTCTCAAGTATAGTTACAACGGCTGCCCCGCCCTTCAAACCGAAACGCATTACTGCTTCGCGGCAGAAATAGGCAGACCCGCGCGGACTCACAAGAGGTCCTACCACCAGTAATTACGCAAATTATAATTTGGCGGGTTTCATTTTTATTACACGATGTTATTCCTTCATCGTGGAAGTCAATCGTGAACATTTATTATTTAACGACAGTTAGGCATTCAAAGAACAGTCCCCTTATAGCATTACTTGCAACTCCTTGAGATTAAAGTTCTAAGGTCTCGAGTATAGTTACAACAATAGTTAAACACATCTGGATTCAAGGAACTCAAGGAACTCACGAAGCGTATAGATCACTGAACATCCATTCGGCTATGATCACGTCGAACTGCTCACGACTCTGATCCCTCAGTAGCCTCTGAACATTCTCGTTCAGAATAGTGGAACTGCTTATGTTGTTCATCAATGAAAATAGTACATTCTTGTCTTTAAGGTTAAATTCCTTTGTCATCAAGGCCTTTATATCTATGTAGTCCTCTGTGCACGAAATAAAAAAGAATTTTCATTATGTGATTGAAATGGTAGAAGTTTTTTTTTTATTGCTTAGATGGGTGAACGAGCTCACAGCCCACCTGGTGTTAAGTGGTTACTGGAGCCCATAGACATCTACAACGTAAATGCGCCCCCACCTTGAGATATAAATTCTAAGATCTCAGTATAGTTACAATAGCTGCCTCACCCTTCAAACCGAAACGCAATACTGCTTCACGGCAGAAATAGGCGGGGTGCTGGTACCTATCTGTGCGGACTCACAAGAGGTCCTACTTAATAAATTAATTAATAATAATAATTAATTAATAATAATATTAATTAATAAATTAATAAATAAATTAATTAAGTATTTTTTTCATTATCACCTTAGCCAAACGAGGCCTATCTGAAGCTAAATGGTCAATACTGTCCATAGACGTCAAGAATCCCAAGAATAGTGGTCACTTAACACCAGTTGGGCCATGAGCTCATCCACACTCATAAGCAGTTGTTTCCATCATTAAGTATTTGATTTTTGTCAATCATATTTGCTAACTTAATATTTTTGGTATGTAAGCTTCGGCCTAGAGATTGATAACCAGTTCATGTGTAAAAAAATCTCGACAGATAGGTCTAGCTCGCCTGATCCGAAAAGCTTTCTCAAGACCGAACATCATTGCAAAGTCAACAGCTACCAGTTTAAATTTAACTCTTCCATGTATGCACGGATAGTTTTCACCGTTCTGCCTATTTCTGCCGCGAGGCAGCAATGCATTCCTGTTTGAAGGCTAGAGCAGCCGTTGTACTATAAAACTGAGACTTAGAACTCATATGTCAAGAGGCGTGGTGGTATTTACGTCAATGATGTCTATGGGTTTCGGTAACCAATTAAAACCAAGTTAATCATGAAGTCAGACACCCGTTAATGCTAAAACAATCGCCAAATGCCAAAACAAAAATCTATATCATCTATGAAACTAATGTTTCCTATATCACTCGCGCCCTCCTTATTATTCGTGGACCAGGTGTAAGAAACCTTTTCTGAGATGACAACAATACACATAAATATAACATATGCAGTTTTCATTTTTTATCTGATAAATCGACCTCGAATGCACAAAACACGAACAACAAAGACGCATTACTGATTATAACGAATGTGATATAATGTCAAATAGAGCAAAAGTCAAGTGTGGGATGCAACTTGGGTGCAGTCTGATGAATTGTTTGCGATGACGTCATCTCCTTTTGCAGTCACACCACAGGCCACCAGACCAGAGTGAACACTATTTGGACCCTCTGCGTTCTTCAACGGTACACTACGCATGATCTATTTTGCCATGTGGTGCAAGTGTTAACATGACCTTCTACGAAAGGTTCAATAAGTCCTCCTTGGCTATGCCGCTGGCAATTCTGAAGTCCACAAGGAACATCAACGACATCAGCTATCCTGCCATTCATCGGTGTAGTCGACCTTCATCATCGTCATCGAAATAGTTCTAGGTTCTATTTCAATAATTAGGTTTTTTTAAGTTAGGTTTGAAACTTACCATTAAACGCCGCCTTGTTTGCCGCAACGTCTATTTGAACCAAATTCGGCGGCGGATCCTTCTTCGGAAACGGCGTTATGTGTGTCACCTTAAAAACGATTTTTATTAGTGATTTCCACATAATTCGTGGATAAAACTGGGTAATAATAGATATTACGCACGGTAGCCGGTCGTGCTATACTAACACTGATCAATGATAGGGGACATAACGCGATCATTTGGCCCCAAGCTTCCCCAAATTCCCAAAATTCCCTATGGAAATCAGAGACCTCGAGGGGTCTTGATAGATTTGCCGAATGACTAAGTGAGCTCACGGGACTCTAACCTGGTGAGGTTTCTAACACTAGCCCTAGCAAGAGCAGTGCTTTGCAGAATCTACCACCGGATCAGAAACGCGACCCACTGAGAAGATCTGGCAAGAAACTCAGTATATTCACACTATAACACTGGTATATTCGTCGAAACGCGCTTGTACCATACCAAAAAGATAATCTTTCCCCGTAATGCCTAAAACTACTATGCAAGCTTAAACTAAACTTACAAACCACGCTTCAGTAGCTGAATGAACTAAAATTTTTTTTCAGTTGAAACTGTCATCGATCCTTGATGTATGTGGAAATTTTCAAGTTGATTGGTCGTGATGAATTCAGTGAGAATTACGCTAAAAGATTCCATTATTTGCCAACAAACATACATACATATTAAGCTAATAAAAGAACGCTAAAAGAATCGTACACAAAAAATACGACTAACCAAAACTACAAACAATCATTTTTGTAGATAGATTCTTGCAATTCGTCAAATTGGCTTTCTGCCATATATTACACGTCACCAGCATAATTGGCAACGACTGGAAATACTTAAACGTTTTGTTTCGATTGTTATGTACAAGTTTAATTATAGCGTAAGAAAATTGGCACACAGTCCACCCGATACTAAAAAAATAGCAGTTTTTTTTTTTTTCCTAGCTAATCTGATAGCCTTGAGCGGCTATATCAGCGTCGCCTTAACTAGTATACGTGAGCCCACGGGGCTCAAACCTGATGACGTTACTAACACGAACCCTAGCAAGAGCCGTGCTTCGCAGAATCTACCACCGGATCGGAAACGCGACCCACTGAGAAGAGCCGGCGAGAAACTCAGTGGTCTGTGTCTGAGGGTTAATTTACTCGTCGGGCCTTTCGTCGCAAGCGACGGGTTCGACGAGAACGATGACCGGTACCTAAAAGTACCGTTAGTGGATCGGGAGGATCCGAAATGACGTGTTTGGGGCGACGTCGACTGCTTTTCATTCTGTCCGCAGGAACGGGAATGAGAGCCCATTGAAAACATAGCGAGAATACTGCTGACAACACTGAGTTATAGAATCGAAGCGTTAATTGTATTGGTACAAAAACTTTCTTTTTTTTATGTTTAAAGGATTACTGGTGACCTGTAGGCCTTTCCAGCTTCACCAGGACAGGTGGGCGAGCAAAGGCTCAGCCAGGAGGGGTGGGATTTTGCTAACAGCTACCCGAGCGCCTCCGAAGGAGACCTAACAACTCAAGAGCAACTGCTTCGCGAATGAATCTACTACCGGATCGGAATCGCGACCCGCTGAGAAGATCCGGCGAGAAACTCAGCGGGCTGATGCATGGGTTAGCACCGTGCTGACAACACTGCGTCATAGAATCAAAGCGTCAATTGTACTGGTACAAAGACTGTCACGCCCTCCAAACTGCTTGACCGTTTCACGTCAGAAACAGGAAATAGCCTCATCCCTATGAACTTCCAATAATACCTATCCTATTATACCGGACCATAAATATATTATTATATTAGAATTTGTACTTTTTACTTATTCAAATAGATCGGATTATGATATTCAATACCAAAAGACCTTACGTAATCCCAGTCAATCAATATAATATTACTAAACGAGATATGAAGTCGTCGTGGCCTAACGGATAAGACGTCCGGTGCATTCGTGTTGAGCGATGCACCGGTGTTCGAATCTCAGGCGGGTACCAATTTTTCTAATGAAATACGTACTTTATACGTACGATTGACTTCAATGGTGAAGGGATAACATCGAGTAATAAAAATCAAACCCGCAAAATTATAATTTGCGTAATTACTGGTGGTAGGACCTCTTGTGAGCCCGCGCGGGTAGGTACCACCGCCCTGCTTATTTCCGCCGTGAACCAGTAATGCGTTTCGGTTTGAAGGGTGGGGCAGCCGTTGTAACCATACTTGAGACCTTAGAACTTATATCTCAAGGTGGGTGGCGCATTTACGTTGTAGATGTCTATGGGCTCCAGTAACCACTTAACATCAGGTGGACTGTGAGCTCGTCCACCCATTTAAGTAATAATAAAAAATTGTGACCTTATAAGGGAGCTAATTTTTAAGATGTGGATAAATCTTCTAAATCTAAATCTTCTAAAATCTAAAAGAAACAAAGACAGAACGCGCTGTGCTGTATTATTATGACTGTATGTGTATTATTATGACGTCATCGTGCAAAATTTCGATGCTAATTTTAAACTAACACTCGTGTCTTCATAACTTTATAAGCTGATTTTCGGAATAGCATAGATTCACGTTTTTTAATATACTTATATCGAGGAGTAAAAGACTATTTGGTTTAAGTGACATTTTTGCAACTTTACTGGAAATCTATTTAAAGTTTAAAATCTGGAAAAAAATATCATAACAAAAAGCTTCTTCAGCTATTTGAATGGAGTAAATTTAATTGAGCTTAATGTTAAGAACATCGAACTGTTGATGGTAATCTATAAAAATAAATAAAATTTCAGTGTCTGTTTGTAATAAATACAATAACCACTTTTTACTAAATGCGTAAGTATGTTATACAAAGTGCATATACCAAAAAAACTTTTTTTTATTTTGTCTGTCTGTCTGTTTGTTACCTCTAATCTCTGGAACGGCTGGACCGATTTTGGCGGGACTTTCGCTGATAGGTAGCTAATGATATAAGGAGTAACTTAAGCTACTTTTTTTATACTAGCTTCGCCCCGCGGCTTCACCCGCAGTACGACAATAACCGCGGGTAACATAACGAGACTCAGCTATCAATAATAAAATTTAATGTTTCCGAAGCGAAGTGAGGGCGGTTCGCGAGTACCAAATAAAACGCACCCTTAATTACAATGACAATTGTCGCGAATTAAGCGAAATGTCGCTTCAACCAAATAGCATTTCACCCCTGGATATATAAATAATAAATAAATAAATAATTAATTACTAACAACCACGCCACGTTAACTGGTCCCGTGATAAGTTCGTAAAGACCTTGTGTTACAGGTACCAGATAACGGAAATAAATGTAAAATTTTTATTATACACATACATATATTTAATATATGTCCATAATCCTGGAAAAGACATTGAATATTTATCATATAAATATCCTCCCTTGGCGGGATTCGAACCCGCGACTCCCTTGTGTAGTGATCACGTCACTTACCACTACACCAGACGGCCATATTCGTGACTGAGCTTTGGACATTAATGAACACAGCTTCGGTGAACCCTTACCTCGTGACCAGCTTCCAATAGATGTCTGACTACAGCATCTCCAAGGATTCCATGGCTTCTTCCCGGCACAGGAAACACTGTCAATATCTTGTACGCATCGACACCCAAACAGAAGCAAACAGCTATTGCAATTGTGAGTCTTCGTATCATCTGAAAGAAAGTGCGTTTTTCCATGACACAGTTTCTGATCCTAAGATTGAAAATTGAAAAGATTGTAGTAAATTTTTTTTTGTTATGATTGAAAGATTACTGGTGGCCCGGAGGCCTTTCCAGTTTCACCAGGACAGGTGGGCGCGAAAAGGCTCAGCCAGGAGGTGTGGGATTTGCTAACAACTGCACGAGCGCCTCCGAAGGAGACCTAACAACTCAAGAGCAATTGCTTCGCGAATGAATCTACTACCGGATCGAAATCGCGACCCGCTGAAAAGATCCGGCGAGAAACTTAGCGGGCTATTGACACGTACGTAATTAAAATATTGTACAATGTATTAAACGCTTTTGAACTCGTCTTCATTATCGTTTTGAGTCGAATGGAAATAAGGTATAGGTACTAATAATTGTATCCATGTATACATGTAGACATAAACATGGATAGCATGTAGACATAACATGACGGTAACACCCCAAACCATTTTGAAATAACGCAATATTTGGAACGTCCGTGGCCTAACGAGTATGACGGTCTGTGTATTCGTATCCAGTAACGCTGTGTCTATATAACAATTATTCCAAACAAATTCATAATAATATGTACTCATGATTAACTTCCACGATGAAAAAGAAAAAAGTGATAAGACGAAATGGCAATGAGGTTATTAACAGTGTTTTAATACTTTTAACTATGAATGTAGTGCCGTGGTCGCCGAACTGCGGCCCGTGGACGATATTTCTGGGGCCCGCGACAGAGCAGACACTTTTAGTAGGTAATGGGCTCAATTCCCAATAAAAATACGTTAAAGCTAAGTTGTCTGTCAGTTTCATTTATTCCGTCAAGAAAATGGACACATGTGATTGTTGAAATTTTAATTGTCAAATATTCAATTCATTCATCTTGTAATATTAAAATAAACTAGAGGTCCCGCAGTAGTTGAAATTCGACTATAATTAATTGGAATAACCCGACAAATATCTATAAAATTTCGATATCTTATATAATGCATTAAGAAAAAAATAATTGGAATTGTAAGTTTGTACACTATTATGATTGTATTTTATACTTCTATAATCACAAATTTCGCCAAAACTACACTATAAAAAATATTAACAAAGACAAACAATATTTAATCTCAATTTGACAACAGACGTCAAGAACAAAAGTTTAACAATAAATAGTATGCATGCGTGTGTGCGTCAAATACATGGTATGTAGTGTGTGTAATGTTTTATTTATTGATTTAATGTATATTTTATGCATTATTTAAAAAAAATATTAGCATTGTGCACTTCTTCTCTATATTCTCTATAAGTGTGGAAAATTTCATACTCCTCCGTCCGCGCAATTTTCGTAAAAAGGGATACAAAGTTTTTGCTTCACGTATTAATATATAGATATAACAATATTATTAATAATAACATTAAATATGTCAATTGACTGGTGGTCAACTAAGCAGTCCAAAAATGTGGGACCNTAAAAAAAATATTAGCATTGTGCACTTCTTCTCTATATTCTCTATAAGTGTGGAAAATTTCATACTCCTCCGTCCGCGCAATTTTCGTAAAAAGGGATACAAAGTTTTTGCTTCACGTATTAATATATAGATATAACAATATTATTAATAATAACATTAAATATGTCAATTGACTGGTGGTCAACTAAGCAGTCCAAAAATGTGGGACCCGCAGTGATACACATTGTCCTATGTAGCCCTTGACCAGAAAAGTGTGACGACCACTGCTTTAGAGGAAGAGTAGACCTAAGAAAAATGAATGGATTGCGTGAAAGACGATATGTGTAAGAGAGGAGTGAGCGAAGAAATGGTATATGATAGAGGAGTATGGAAGGAGAAAACAGTACGAAGTAAAAATTAAAACGCAACGCTTAAAAATTTACGTAATTCACAGTTGTAGTTATCACCGTACAGCCTACGATTATTTCTATAGCGAAGTTGTATTTTTTCTCACAATTAAAAAGTGAAATACTACGAGTAATACTAATAAGCTACATAATTAAGAGTCCAAAATGGCCGCTACGTATGTCTTATGACCAGTAACACTGACCACTGATTAATTAATATATTTGAAAAAATGTACACAAAATCGTTCATTGAATAAATAAATAATATACTACAATAGTATATAGGTCCATAACTATACATTTATACTTAGTCTGGCCATAAATACTGTTACAATTAAAAATAAACAAAATATTACATTTGAATTTGGAATCTGTCATTTTTATATGATTGCTCATTGAGTTTTCTCATTTTGGCGCCAATACATTGTACAATATTTTGCGATATTAAAATGGAGTGTGGTTATAAAGAGAACCGAATCGCTGTGATTGCATTACACAAAGTAGGTATGGAGCCAAATGCAATTTTTAAAACTTTCCATACGCTTGGTATTAGTAAAATGTTTGTGTACCGGGCTATTAATAGGCGCAATGAGACCTCCTCTGTTTGTGACAGAAAAAGATCTAGCCGTCCACGTAGTGTTCGTACGAAAAAGGTGGTCAAACCAGTAAGGGAAAGAATAATAAACGAACACACTGTAAAAGTAATAAATGTTATTTTCAATAGATTTTTTTTTTCCTTTGTCTCAGTATTTATGGCAAGACTAGGTATATTAATACGTGAAGCAAAAACTTTGTACCCCTCTTTACGAAAATGTCACGGACGGAAGAGTATGAAATTTCCCACGCTTACAGAGACACAAAATGTTAATATATTTTAAATTATGCATAAAAAATACATTAAATCAATTAAAAAAAATTACACAGCAAAACATTACACACACTACCATGTATTTGACACACACACACACGCATGTATACTATTTGTTTATTGTCAAACTTTTCTTNACCCCTCTTTACGAAAATGTCACGGACGGAAGAGTATGAAATTTCCCACGCTTACAGAGACACAAAATGTTAATATATTTTAAATTATGCATAAAAAATACATTAAATCAATTAAAAAAAATTACACAGCAAAACATTACACACACTACCATGTATTTGACACACACACACACGCATGTATACTATTTGTTTATTGTCAAACTTTTCTTATTGCTTACAGTCTGCGGTCAAATTCAGAATAAATTAATATTGTTTTGTCTTTATTAATACTAGAGGTCCCGCAGTAGTCGAAATTCGACTATAATTAATTGAAATTGTACGTTTCTACACTATTATGATTGTATTTTATACTTCTATAATCACAAATTTCGCCAAGACTACACTATAAAAAATATCAACAAAGACAAACAATATTTAATCTATTCTCAATTTGACAACAGACGCCAAGAACAAAAGTTTGACAATAAATAGTATGCATGCGTGTGTGCGTCAAATACATGGTATGTAGTGTGTGTAATGTTTTCTTTATTGATTTAATGTATCCTTTATGCATTATTTAAAAAAAATATTAGCATTGTGCACTTCTTCTTTATATTCTCTATAAGTGTGGAAAATTTCATACTCCTCCGTCCGCGCAATTTTCGTAAAAAGGGATACAAAGTTTTTGCTTCACGTATTAATTTAAAGATTTGTCTTAAGTGTAGTCTTGGCGAAATCTGTGATTATAGGAAGTATAATATAGTATTTGACAATAGAATCATAACAGTGTACAAACTTATAATTTCAATTAATTATAGTCGAATTTCGACTACGGGGGGACCACCAGTAAAAAAAATGACGTAAATTAAATCTGCAAATAGGAATATAATATGTAAATATTTATAAGTTGTAATTGAAGACACGAGTGGATGAAAGGGACATGATAAAAAAATTTTAATTTTGAGAAAACGGGCAACAAACTTCTGTTACTTATACTTTTTCTTCGTAAATAACTCCTTCATTTTTTTTTTATTGCTTAGGTGAGTGGACGAGCTCACAGCCCACCTGCTGTTAAGTGGTTACTGGAGCCCATAGACATGTACAACGTAAATGCGCCACGCACCTTGAGATATAAATTCTAAGGTCTCAGTATAGTTACAACGGCTGCCCCACCCTTCAAACCGAAACGCATTATTGCTTCATGGCAGAAATAGCCAGGGAGGTGGTACCTACCCGTGCGGACTCACAAGAGGTCCTACCACCAGTGAATCATCACATGCGATATCTAAAAATATCTTTTAAACCCGGAGTTATAAGGTCTAATCTGATATACAGGCACATAACACTTTCATTCAATGTAAAAACTCAAAAATCTTATAAATCGCACTTAGCCCCTTCATCCACTTATGTCTTCAATCAACAAAGTCACTCACCATTTTTCTAAATTTTTTTTTTTCTCTCAAACCACTAATTTTATATTCGCAAGTCCCAACATAAATAAGTGTATTTTACAAACGCCGTCACTACATTAGACCGAACACGACAGAGCAACTGCGGAAATATTTATAGTATTATCATAATATACAGATTCAATACAATGCACGTATGTGTAGTATGTTTCAACTATATGGTTCGCGGTTTCGCTCGCTTTATATTCGGAATAAAATCCATGATTTTACTGATCGTGAAACACTAATGCGTTTGGGTCCGAAGGGTGGGGTAGCCATTGTAACTATACTTGAGACCTTAGAACTTATATCTCAAGGTGGTGGCGCATTTACGTTGTAGATGTCTATGGGCTCCAGTAACCACTTAACACCAGGTGGGCTGTGAGCTCGTCCACCCATCTAAGCAATAAAAAAAGGCGTCAATTTTTTTTACTTTTTATGATATTATCATCCGTGTAAATATCATAAAATTCGTGGTTATAGCGCGTTCTCCATATATCGTTTTCCTGCACAGCACCGAATATCCGTCTTAGGATCTTACGCTCGAACACAAGTAGTCGGTTCTCATCCTTTTTATTGAATACCCATGTCTCTAAGCCATACGTAAGAATGGATCTCAGTAGGGTTTTATAAAGAAGAATTTCGATATTTCGTGACAGAATTTTGGAACAAATTTAAGCAGGCTGAAGTAGCTTTTATTCGCCGACAATATTCTTGAACTATTTCTGCTGTTGTGTCATTATTATTAGCTATCAGAGAACCAAGATATACAAAGTCATTCACAAATCCAAAAGTATTATATCAGGACAAATATACTAATTACACAATGTTCATTACAACTATAGGACAAGACAGCACGATAACCAAACCAATCCAACTTTTAATGTAAGGAAGTAACAATAAATCACAATCACAAAGGAAATCACATTAAACAATTACACTACTTAATCTACTATTGACATGGAGGATGCCCTTGATCATTTTTATAAACATCGCTAATTTATATTATGTAAAAATACCCAACTCAGTTGACGACTTTGCCAGTTCGTTATAGGTGCGAGACGTTCGGGTAATTGGATAAGATATTATGCTATTTTTGTAACTTAATAATGCAAAGATAAATAAATAATAAATAAATATTTACTAACAATCACGCCACGTTAACTGGTCCCGTGGTATGTTCGTAAAGAACTTGTGTTACAGGTACCAGATAACGGAAATAAATGTAATATTTTTATTATACACATACATATATTTAATATACGTCCATAACCCTGGAAAAGACATTTTGATATTTATCATACGAATATCCTCCCTTGGCGGGATTCGAACCCGCGACCCCCTTGTGTAGTGACCATGTCACTTACCACTACACCAGACGGCCGTTCTTGATATTGTTCTGGTTGACCCTACGAGCACTAAATTTAGTGTTTAATGAAATGTGTGATAGCAATTCAGGCGAATCAATCGGAGAATGAATTCTTTTATATAAATACATCAAATCAGCACATGTACATCGATTCTCTAGTGACTGCATATTAAAGTTTTGTAATCTTGTAATTGCGTTGGTGTTACCTCGTTCTCTCAGACACAGCCCACTGAGTTTCTCGCCGGATCTTCTCAGTGGGTCGCGATTCCGATCCGGTGGTAGATTCTGCGAAGCACGACTCTTTCTAGGGTTCGTGTTAGCATCGTCGTCGTCAGGTTTGAGCCCCGTGAGCTCACCTACTAGTTACGGTTACGCTGGAATAGCCTCTCTAGGATACCAGCTTAGGTAGGAAAAAAAAAAAAAAGAAGGTGTTACCGCGCCTATTACGCAGTGAGATACTCGAAGTGGTATCTGGAGGGTGACCGCTTTTGAAGAGCAAGGCTGTACTTTTCGTGGGGTTGATGTTGATGCGCCACTTCCGGAATCACTGTCCTATACTGGTTGCTGCGGTTTGGAGTCGCCGATGAAGTAACGACTTTTTTTTATATGTGTAGTATAAGGCCGTGTCATCAGCGATGAGAGCTAGATGTATCCCCGGAGACCGGGGCTTATACCAATCGCTTGGAAATGCATTGTATATTAAATTAGGTAATATAATGATAATAAGTACGCTTTTATTAATTATAATGTACAATGGCGACTTAGAAATCGTGTCTTAAGTTGTAATGCCTATGGGCCAGAGTAACCCGTTTTTATACTTGTATACTTCCTCGTCCCTGAGTAAAACCGCTATTATATGTCGAACAGACAGACCAACAACAAGGTTAATCTATAAGGGCTCCGATTTTTTCATTTTGTGGACCGGAACCCTAATTAATAAAACATTCACTTATCTCATAGAGGAATGTACTGCTTAACGATAAACAGGTCAGAGGATTCTAATGATAAGAAAACGTATTACATACGTGCACTGGTTACAGCGATATGCTGGTACTTGCTTCGGCAGTATATATACTAAAATTGGAACGATACAGAGAAGATTAACATGGCCCCTACGCAAGGATGACACGCAAAATCGTGAAGCGTTTCAAATTTTTTGTCTTCAGTCGGCATCGATGCGCCACTTCGACAAAGCGGCACGACACGAGAACCCTTTCATCGTGGCCACCGGTAACTACATTCCCGATTCTGCAGACAGAATGGAAAGCAGTCGACGTCGCCCAAAACACATCATTTGGGATCCTCTCGATCCACTAGCGGTGCTTTTAGGTACCTCAAGCACCGGTCACCGTTCTCGTCGAACTCGTCGCTGGCGACGAAGGGCTCGACGAGTAAATTAACCCTCAGACACAGCCCACTGAGTTTCTCGCCGGATCTTCTCAGTGGGTCGCGTTTCCGATCCGCTGGTAGATTCTGCGAAGCACGGCTCTTGCTAGGGTTCGTGTTAGCAGCGTCGTCAGGTTTGAGCCCCGTGAGCTCACCTAAGTACCAGTTAAGGTTACGCTGAAATAGCCTCTCAAGGCTATCAGCTTAGGTAGGGAAAAAAAAGGTATGCTGCTTCGACGACATTTTTACAGCTTTAGATTAGCAGCCAACTACAGAGCTCCCCTGTGTTAAATTGTTTTCTGGTTTTAATGTCTACAAGTCGCACTGGGGTTACAAGTAATGCTGTATATGGGACTGTTCTTTGAATGCCCAACTGCCGGTAAATTTGCAGGTTGTAAGTAGCATTGTAAACCCGCACGGATCTGGACCGCCGTCCAATGTGCCTACCGCGAAACAGGCATTCTTTCCGGTTTGAAGAGTTGAATATCACGTCTGTTGAACATCACACGTGTCAAGTACGTATTTCCTTAGAAAAACTGGTGCTATATTTTCGGGTTGAAGGCTATCGAAGCTATCAAAGTGCCCGCGCCTTGGGGGCGCTTTTGGTAGCCTGGTCTCGGTGGCCGAAGATGACAAAGGTCGGAACAGGCCCACCGACTAAACCGACCAAAACCGATTTACACGGGAGCCCTATTCTTTGACGTTACAAAAGCGTTCGACAAAGTCTGTCACAACGGTTTTATTTTAAAACTTTTCAACATGGGTGTGCCGGACAGTCTCGTGCTCATCATTCGAGACTTCTTGTCTAACCGCTCTTTTCGATATCGAGTAGAAGGAACCCGCTCCTCCCCCGCGACCACTTACGGCTGGAGTCCCGCAAGACTTTTTATGTGTAACAAATTTCGGCAGTTGAATTAAAATAAAAAAATTGGAAACAGCTAGCCATGATACACAGTGTATGTAAGTCAATAAAATCTTCGGTTTCGTGTCTCAAGGTAGGTGGCGGTATCCGATAAGAGCTCATCCACCAATCTCGGGTTTTTATCCATTTTTTAATTCATTTCATACGTTTCACTTGTCCCATTAAGTCGAAAATTTGTTCAAATGCTGTTGTCGGTGTCAACAATAACGATGCCTAGCGATCAGATAAGAATAATAAACAAAAACCAAACTCATTTAAATAAATTTAATCATCTTACACGGTTATTTCTTCTTCTTTTTCACATCCACTTTCCGCGTCTTACTAATAAAACTCAAGAACAATTTACATGAATACGTAAGAAACAGAAATGCCGAAATTAAAAGCAGACCTAAGTCCAAATATAGTTTTTGGTACCAATGTAGATCCAGATTCTCGGTCCTGAGATACTTGGCGCCTTTAGTGAGGATCACGTGCTCAACCCAGTGAACTATCTCGGCACCAGCGTTTACGGTACGATGGGTAAAAATGAAGGAGTTGTTCTTTGCTGTGTCGTTGTACCTGTAGATTGAAAGGAATTGCTACAAATAGGTTCGTTCATTACGAATTATTAGGTCGTCGTGGCCTAAAAAATAAGACGTCCGGTGCATTCGTATCCTAGCGATGCAATGGTGTTTGAATCCCGCCGGCGGGTACCAATTTTTCCAATAAAATACGTACTTAACTTATGTTCACGATTGACTTCCATAATGAAGGAATAACATCGTGTAATAAAAATCAAACCCGCAAAATTATAATTTGCGTAATTACTGGTGGTAGCACCTCTTGTGAGTCCGCACGGGTAGGTACCACACCCTGCCTATTTCTGCCGTGAAGCAGTAATGCGTTGTAACTATTTTTTACGTTGTACGGCGCATTTAAGTTGTAGATGTCTACAGGCTCCAGTAACCACTTAACACCAAGTGGGCTGTGAGCTCGTTCACACACCTAAGCAATAAAAAAAAATATATATATATCCTTAAATATGAAATTAGCGTTTACATTTAAATTCTTTGAATGATGTTGAAATAAGCGTCGTACTGGCCATTTTGAATACGAAATATTTCCTCTTTGGTTAAGAATTCCAAAGTCAAATTTATAAATTCATTTAACTGGTACATTGAGTTTTGAAAACAATCATTCATTTGTCTTTTCCTCATTATTTCTTTCGTTTGGCGTCGCTTATTACCGCACAATGGAAAACATGAAATATCTGTATATTTATGAGTACGCGTTCTACCGTGACACCGGTGCTGTAGAAACAGCTCGAAGGATTAATGATGTGTACGGCGCTGGTGTCGCAAAATAAAATATGGGACTTTTTGGTTTCAACGTTTTCGTTTTGGAAATTTCGACCTTCAGAACCAACCCCGTGGACGGTCAGAGACCGAAGTTGAAATTGAAGAATTAAAGGCTATTGTGGAAGCGGAGAGCCGCAGACCGGGCTCAGTAGTATGGATTGGAAGAAGCCTATGTCCAGCAGTGGACGACTGTGGGCTGTTGATGATGATGATGATGATGATGTGGAAGCGGATCCATCACAAAGCACTTCATAGATAGCTGCAGGCTTCGAAGTAAATGATAAAACTGTATTAATACATTTAAAGCAAATCGGGAAAGTAAAAAAACTTGAACGATGGGTACCTCATGAATTGAGTGAATCGAACTTGCAAAGACGCGTCGGCTGCTGTGTTAGTTTGCCCAGCCGAAGGGATTTTAAATCGAATCATTACGTGTGAGGAAAAGTGGATACTGTACGATAATCGGAAGCGCTCGTCGCAATGGCTGAACCCTGGAGACCCAGCCAAATCCTGCCCTAAAAGAAAATTGACTCAGAAAAAGTTACTTGTGAGTGTTTGGTGGACTAGAGCCGGTGTTCACTACAGCTTTCTAAAATCTGGCCAAACGATTACGGCAGATATCTATTGTCAGCAACTGCAAATCAAGAAGGAGGAACTAGCTGATAAACAACCGAGGTCAATCGCTCTAGGCCACTGCTGCTTCACGACAACGCAAGACGTCACACTGCACAACAAAAAACCACTAAATTAGATGAGCTACAATTGGAATGTCTGCAACATCCACCGTACTCCCCGGACCTGGCTCCAACAGATTACCATTTTGCCGGAATTTGGACAACTTCTTACAAGGAAAAAAATTCAACTCTGATGCGGCAGTCCAAACCGCCCTCAAAGAGCTTATTGATTCTCGCCCCCATGGTTTTTTTAGTAAAGGGACCAATAAACCACCTATGAGACGGCAAAAGTGGATACATAATAACGGTGCATACTTTGATTAATTAAATATATTTTACAAAAAAAATTGATTTATATTCCCCCCGTACAAAACGCCAATTTCATATGCAAGGACCTAATAATATTTTAAAATTTCGCAAGCCATCTCTGTTACAGATATATGCTATTTATTGTTCAACCGGTTGTTATCACGTTTTTTTATTTTACTCAGCGCTGTTGCAAGCGTCACTATCACAAGAAGACTCGGGAACACGTTTTAATTAAAAGTAAATGATAAGAGCTATATATAGGCAGGCCACATAGCGCGAAGATCGGACGGCCGATGGGGCAGAAGGATCCTCGAGTGGAGACCACGTACTGGCAAGCGCAGTGTGGGACGGCCACCTACGAGATGGACCGACTACCTGGTAAGAACCGCTGGGTCACGTTGGATGCAGGTGGCAACGGACCGGCCGCACTGGAGATCACTTGGAGAGGCCTATGTTCAGCAGTGGACAATGGACAGGCTGAGATGATGATGATGATAATAAGAGCTCATCAAATTGTAGCATTAACGATACTTTCATTTATTTCGTTCGTATTTAATCCATATAAACCGTAGAAAGGTATTCATGTAATATAAAATGAGTTGGGAAGGCAATCTGATCGCCGGAAGCCACCGAACGCGTCGGCGCTGGTCTACACGCGGCTGGCTAGCTCTGCATTTCAAACCTTACAGATCGCGAACTATAAGTATCGTCGCTTTGACTGCTATACCACGGATTCCGGGTGATAATCTTGCTTGAGGGCAGTTTTGGGCCAATATATCGAAAATTTAATACAAAACAAATCATGATGAATATTTTCTACGCCCCAACCACTACTTTTAGTTGTTATAGCAGTATTATCGTATCAATCCGTATATCCAAAATGAGTTCTGTATTCGCACCAAAATTCTCGCTAATTTTACTGGTATTATGTATATTGTCGTTCTATGTAAATTTATTAGCGTTGTAAAGCATTGCGGTCTGAAGGATAGATTAGCTGTATCACAAATATTTTTGATGCTTTTTTATTGTTTTGGATGAGTGACCGTGCTGACGATGCATCTAGAGAAGTGATTAACAGAGCTGGTGTTTCAGGCCTTTTTATATTACTGGTCGTAGGTCCTCTTGTGAGGTATCACCACCCTGCCTGTTTCTGCCGTGAAGCAGTAATGCGTTTCGGTTTGAAGGGTGGGGCAGCCGTTGTAACTATACTTGAGACCTTCGAACTTATATCTCAAGGTGGATGGCGCATTTACGTTGTAGATGTCTATGGGCTCCAGTAACCACTTAACACCATGTGTGCTGTGAGCTCGTCCATCCATCTAAGCAATAAAATAAAATAAATCCTGTCGATTGCATCCACATTGTATGTGGCCTAGATCCATACTCAGCATTAAAAATAGGGATTTGGGTTGATTTATTATTGTTTCGTCTGTCTGTGTGTGTGTTTCAGCACGCTAATATATGTGAAAATCTTGGATATGTGATCTTATGGTTGTAGTAACGCCAATTGGCCACAAACATAAAGAAACAATTGCTTACCGTTTCGTACTTAGAAGTTCGTCAATAGCATACTTCAGGTCAGCAACTAAAGAGTGTGATAGATCAACTCGCTTAGCCTGATCCTTCCTTACAAGTCTTTCTATGTTGAGGAATTGATCGCCGTACGCCGGTATCCCAATGATTGGAACCCCGTAATGTACAGCTTCGATCGTAGAGAGAATGCCGCCGTGGGTGATAAAAACAACGCAGTTTGAATGTGCTGCAAAATAGTAAATTTCATTTAAATGTAGACTCATGTTTTTGGGGCATGTAAGAATTTAACATTAGGAATTAACAGAATTGACTTGTCTCATACAAAACTCATCATCCTCATCTATCGTCTTCAACGCTATCGGTAATAATATTGTCTCTAACGCCTATCAAATGTTATGAATTTAAAATAAGTTCTCACCAAGCAAGCTCTGTTGAGGTAATCGCTTAAAAATATGCACATTACTTGGAGGATCGATAGATTTATCATCGAGCTTCCACAACACAGTCTGTTTTAATTCTCCAAACATTTTCATGAGGCCTTTCTTGATATCGACTGGAAAATCTTCACTTTTAAGCTTCGATCCCATGCTGAAGTAGATGACGCCATCTGCAGCGTTATTCATCAGTTTTTCTAATTTCTAAAAATGATATGAAAATTTAAGACAGACATTTTGCTATTTTTGAAACTTGACCACGCTCCGCTGTGAAAATTTTTCCCTAACATTTCGCTGGTAGCCTTAGGGGCTGTCCCAGCTGCGCTATGTCTGGTAGGTGAGCTCATGGGACTCAACCTCAGAGGGTGTGCTAACACTGGCCCTAGTAAGGGCAGTGCTTCGCGGAATCTATCACCGGATCGGAATCGCGACCCACAGAGAAACTCAATATGTTGTGTATGGATTAGCTCGCTCGTCGAACTCTTCGTCGCGATAGATGAGCTCGACGAGGATAGTCACCAGTGCCAAGTTTTATAGAAGGACTTTGGCATCACCAGTTTATTGACTACCTCCGCTTAGGCCGAAAAAACTTTGAGCAGATATTTTTTACATTTACTCTTTCTGATAACGTAGTTTTTTTTACTGTTTTACTTACCGGTGACAAGGGCTTAACCTCCTCATCAACGTGGTACCCGCCAACGTTCCTGTAATTGTTCGGAAACCTCAAATCATGTCCCAAGGCCAGATGCGAATTACCTAACACGAACGATCCGTTGCGTTTGAGTTCCTCAAACAACGGAGGCTCTCGGCCTTTCATACGAATGATATCTCCAAAGAATCTTTCATAATTGTTTCTTTGTATTCTGTCGTTATTCCTGAAAAGCAAACAAGCTATAATTAGATAGAGGGACCGCGGTCATACTGCACGGCCGTCCCAAGAACGCCTGACCGACAAACTTGATGGCGACAGCGAATCTATCTAAGCCATCATGGTTTGCGACCCATCAAACCAACCGGTCTGTGATGGAACTCGGAACTCAATAAGTAGTGTAGACAGTCGCTCCCCAATATTAATTCTACGACATTCAGGATTGATCTAGGTCACAACGTAAATTTTATCTGAATTTAAATTTAATTTTTTAGTGGTGCTAGGACCTCTTGTGAGTCCGCACGGGTAGGTACCACCACCCTGCCTATTTCTGCCGTGAAGCAGTAACGCGTTTCGGTTTGAAGGGTAGGGCAGCCGTTGTATACTTGAGACCTTAGAACTTATATTTCAAGGTGGGTGGCGCATTTACGTTGTAGATGTCTATGGGACCTAACACCAGGTGGGCTGTGAGCTCTTCCACCCATCTAAACAATAAAAAAAAATATCTTTCCGGTCGAACCAAAGTCACCCTGGCTCAAACTAAGCCAAACATCAGAATGAAATCTATTCTAAAACGTATTTGAATGAGGGTGTCATTGACAACTTCAACTATTAATGCCGTTAGAATCGTCTCTGAAAATTTATTTATAATAAACTTACCAATATATGTGGAAATGAAAAGTGATTTGCGTCCAAAGCTCCTCTACGCGTTGATACAGATTTAGTGGTGGGATATATGGCGATAGGATATTGCTATTGAATATAGGGTTGAAACTTTCTCCCGCCAATCGTGTTATCAACCAATGAGGTTCCAAGTTGGACACCCATATGTAAGGTACATCGAGTACTGCGGCAATTCTGAAAAAAAAATCATCAGTACTGCATTTTAATTCCAAAGCTGTTTTTAGTAAGTCTCACAGGCCATTACATATTCAAAGTACATAATGCTCTTAGATAGCTGTCAGGCGCAATGGTGTATAGTTTCCTAAAAACAAATATTTTCAGCAAACCCAGTTTTATTTTTGGGTTGTCTAATTTATCTAAACAGCACATGTTCTTTTGCAACTTCAATTAAGAGTATGAGAGTATTAATATTTGAATTTTACAACCGCACAATAGCTGCAGATTAATACCGAAATAATATTTCAAACAGTTCAAAAACAATAATCATACTCTATTATTGATAATTAATTGAAATTAGAATTGTTCATTGTGGCGGACTATGGGAGAGGCCTACATCCAGCTGTGGAGAGATACAGGCTCTTGATGAATTGAAATTTTGTTAAATTAAATAAATACAATTTGAATCTATCGGTGGTGCCAAACAGATAGGTACTTTATTACTCTCTGAATTTCATCTATACTAATATTATAAAGAGGAAAGATTTGTTTCTTTGTATTGAATAGGCTCCGAAACTACTGAATCGATTTGAAAAATTCTTTCACTGTTTGGAAGCTACACTATTCCCGAGTGACATAGGCTATAATATTTTTTGAAAAAATTACTAAAACTCCAATAATGTAAACCAATTTGTAAAAAAATTATTTAAAATATTCTTTACATTGCGTGTCCTGCGAAAACTATTGATGATAGAATAAAATAATGTACTACGACTTTGTAGAACACATTATTATTAACAAAAAGTTTCACGACAGCATATGTCTAACTAATTAAACAACGTCAAATATCCTTAAAATTTTTGTTAAAAACCCGAGCGAAGCCGGAGCGGGCCGCTAGTACCGTATAAATTATCAACTTTGTACCAGCTCATCATGACTCATCTCACTATCTGCTACTGGAACCCAATTCATCCCTACCATCGAAATCTTAAATTAAGATTAATAAATCTATGTTCCCTAACTACCTGTATATCTTCAGTACGGTTCAAATCTTACCCCGTTAACAGTTCACTAAAATTCCATTCGAGTATAACCAAATCGAATTCGAGATTTGGATTTTTCAGAAGTTTTTGGACGTTTTCGTTTTCCAGCGTCTGTACCGCCACCAAATTCATGAAATTCATTGTTTCCGTAAATCCTGGTGCGAGGACCTCTTTACTCATCAATGAACTTAGGTTCACTGGATTTTCTGTAAGAATTTTACAATGAATCTGTACATCATGATTGATCATCAACACTTCATGAGCAAACATTATTTAAATGAATAAATCCTATTCAAACAGAAATGATTTTTTTAAACTTTTTGGAACGAAGTTCCTTATACGACGATGCGAAGGGGTACCCTAACCGCGAAAAACGTCCGTAACGTAAGATTTTTATTAGTAATGCACACAGTGTACGACTTAACTTTGTAATAGCGTACAAAAAATAACATTTTTTTTTATCATTCATTGACCACGATCTCAGAGCGTTCATTTGCGCAAAACACTAACTCTTATGCAAACAACCGTGAATGAAGTGTACCACAATAAGTTCGCACGTTACCGAATGACCGTGGGTTGTTGCGAAACCTCCAGTTTGATTTTCTTTATACCTCTAATTGCCCTAATAGAACTTAAAATTAATATTTTATAACAAGGAACTTCGTTCCTATCCGGTGTCCCATGACACCACGCATCTTTTTTATTGCTTAGATTGGTGACTAGCTCGTGGCCCACCCGGTGTTAAATATTTACCAGAGCCCAAAGGGATATGGGTTTTAAGGTCTCCCTTTTTACAGTACAACGGCCGCTCCACCCTTCGAACCGAAACGCATTATTGCTTCACGGCCGAAATAGGCAGGGCGGTGGTACCTACCCGTGCGGACTCACAAGACGTCCTACAGATAGAGACCACATCAGGTACTTGAGGAAAGCAAACCACTGGGGCAAAAGTAAAAAAAAGTTTTTTTTTCGCCCACTAGTTGTCGTGCTGAGTGGACGTGTGTAGTTTGCTGCTCGTAGTGAATAATTTTTTTTCCTTACATTATTCGTTAGATTAGTTTTTGTTATTGTGTTGTTTTGTCATAATTGTAAGGAACGTTGTTATACAAATTCAGCACTATATGTCTTGTTTTGTCGTGCGCACATAACTTATTGTTGCAAGCCAGATTTTGTTTCTTTTTACTTGTATTTTTTATGTATCTTTAGCTTGTGATATGTATTGTGAGGCTAATAAAAAAAAAAAAATGCTTACCTGGAATTAACTTTAAGTTACGGCTCACATCCACCTGCTGTTGATTCGGATGCGTATACTTTTCGACAAACGGTGTTATGTATGTTACCTGCCCAAATTATCAGTCAATTTAAATAAATGAAACACATGAAAATTTGGAGGCTATATTATCGTTATTTTTTTTTATTTTTTTTTATTGCCTTGATGTGTGGACGAGCTCACAGCCCACCTGGTGTTAAGTGGTTACTGGAACCCATAGACATCTACAACGTAAATGCGCCACACACCTTGAGATAGAAGTTCTAAGGTCTCAGTATAGTTACAACGGCTGCCCCACCCCTCAACCCAAACGCATTGCTGCTTCACGGCAGAAATAAGCAGGACGGTGGTACCTACCCGCGCGGACTCACAAGAGGTCCTACCACCAGACATATTGATATTGTGGTCGTCTATTAATCATTTGTGTGTAAAACCCTATGTTGTAGTCCTTATTGAGTTATATTATGATCAAAGGTGCGTGTTCCGATGCTTCTGGAACGCTACGACATGTCCTTCACGAAGTCTGATTAGATCCGAGAGAACAGCGATTTATCTGTGCCTCTGCATTGCTACAATCAAATTATATCAAATGTACGTAGCACAGTAGATCTTTGAATGACCGTGTCTGTTAGGTTGACAGTCTCACCGGCCATGATCAATAAACTATATAGATATATATAATGTGTTATTTTATTCACATAAAACTAAAGTTTACTAGGGTAAAACTATAGCACAAATTGAGTTGTTCTATAAAGAGAAACAACATTTAAAGCTATTGCTTCACCAGCTTTTATGGATACCAGATCAGAAGAAGGAACATAAGAAATATAAAGACATTTTTAAAATTGTAAAATATAAAAAAACATAAAAACTCTGGTGAAGCAATAGCTTTAAATGTTGTTTTATAATGTATTATTTTATTCATATAAAAATAAAGTTTACTAGGGTAAAACTATAGCACAAATTGAGTTGCTCTCTATAAAGAGCGACTAAAGCGTGCTCTAAAAATTAGCGACTTTTACCGTCTAGTTTTTAAGATAGATACAGTTATTATTTTTTATTCGGTTCGGTTCGACTAAATTACCACACGGCTCACTTCTATACGCGTTTTATTTGATAGCGGCAATCTGTGGCTTGTAGAAAGCGTTTACCTTGGAACCCTCACGCGGCTCACGGGTGATCCTCACGGCCCGGATGGTACAGTAAGATAAGACTCACGAGTGAGCACCGTGGCCTGAACGAAAATACTCGATTTTTCTTGCGGCGTTCAACGTCTTAATCTTAATTGAAAACATTACCCTTGATAAAGTTACCTCGTGTCCATAATTCAGCAAGTGCCTGACGAATCTAGCTCCCAGGATACTGTGACTCTGCTCCGGTAGTGGAAATACCACAAGTATTTTATGTGCCCCGCTGTATGAGAAAGTTAGAAGAACAACTAGGATCCACAACGGCATCATTTTCTAAACAAAAGACAATAAGCCATTATAGTATTAGCACTTCATTACATAAATACCGTGAAACTGTAATATATAATAGAGTATGTGTATCTGAAATAAATCGGAAAAGAATGAAACTAAATATAGCATATATTTAATTAATGGTTTAAATAATAGTGAAAGCGTATTAACAATTTATAGTATATCGTATCGTCTCGGCTAGGGCGACGTATGTTTTTGTGAATGGACTACAGATACTAGCAAGATACTTTCTGAAGATCTCACTCATTTCTGAACATTAAGAAGTTTATTTCTGGTTTAGATTTTCCGAAAAACGTTTTTTTGAAAATAATCATTATAAACTTGGATTGGATTGGACCTATTATAAAAGTTTTAATAAAAAAATAAATCATAATAATCAAAGACAAATGACATACGGTCATCCTGTTCCAAACTAGGATTTTCATACTAAGGAAACAGTCAAAAAGCGAAAAAATCTGTTCGTCATAAAAATACTAACCAAAAGTGTGAATCAACATCAGCAGTCATAATTGCTAGCACTGCGCAACTAAGTCAATCATTAAATTATAAAGAGTTGAATGACAATAATTTTCAAATTTTAACAAACACAACTAGTAGCCCGCCAAACGTACTTAGTAATGAAATTCGTAAGGCGATTTTACCGTATAATACGAACATGTCTCAATATCAATTATTCTCGTATATATCGCACCTCTAGAATTATAGAGACCCATTTCAAAATTTTTGGATTTCGTCTGTAATTCAAACAATGGACCTAGCACGACCCTTTTCAGCGACTCTTAGTAATCAAATGACCAGAAGTAGCTTATACAGGGACAAAGCTATCCATCGGTCTCTTTCTTTTTTTTTTATGATTGAAGGATTACTGGTGGCCCGGAGGCCTTTCCAGTTTCACCAGGACAGGTGGGCGAGCAAAGGCTCAGCCAGCAGGGGTGGGATTTGCTAACAGCTGCCCGAGCGCCTCCGAAGGAGACCTAACAACTCAAGAGTAGCTGCTTCGCGAATGAATCTACTACCGGATCGGAATCGCGACCCGCTGAGAAGATCCGGCGAGAAACTCAGCGAGCTGATTCATGGGTTAGGTTGCACGGAGAACTCTTTGTCGAGCTCGACGAGTACGGTTACCGAGGTCCCTAAGCCTGCTCCTAGAGCTGAAGGCGTCTAGTGCAAAGGTTATTGGATCTGATGGATCCGTAAGGACGTGCAGTCTCTTTCACTCCGTCCCCTTCCTCTACGTTTTTTCGGTTTGAGAACTTCAATCGATGTTTTCCAAAAAACACATTTTTTGATTTGGGACTTTATAATTCTAAAGGTGCGAGATTTTAAAAAATCAAAATAAAAAATGTACGCCCAATAAAGGCGAAATAGACGAAGCAAGCTTCAAAAACTTACCTCACTTCAGTAATATGTATTAAATTATTTTTTTAAACAAACTCATCGACAATTCGTCGGCCTAATGTCTCGTAACAGTTTGTATTAAACAGTTACTTAATCATATTATATAATTATCTGAAGATTATAAACGATAAGTTATTTTCAATCAATCAGAAAAGATTTTGTGTTGGAGCAGTGTGTGGTTTGTTACTATTGATTCATTAAGCCATCATTATCGTCAAAAAACATGCGTAAGACGGCTGGCGGTGCAGTGAATAAGATAAGGATTTGAGTGAACATTTTTATTGCGCTAAATGGATTAACGAATATAAGCCCTCTAGTTGTTCCGATCTCTTTTTTATTTTATTTTTTATTACATAGATGGGTGGACGAGCTCACAGTCCACCTGGTGTTAAGTGGTTACCGGAGCCCATGGACATCTACAACGAAATTGCCGCCACCCACCTTGAGTTGAGTTCTAAGATCTTAGTATAGTTGCAACAGCTTCGCCACCCTTTAAGCTGAAACGCATTACTGCTTCACGGCAAAAATAGGCAGGCTGGTGGTACCTAGCCGTGCGGACTCACAAGAGGTTCTACCACCAGTAAAAATTATAGGGTAGCCATAGAGTACAGTGGAAAGTAGTATAACTGCTATTACTTCAATGTGTGCGGTTTCGAATTGTCTACAGTTCAGAAATAACTCAACAAACTCAATTTTCTTTTAATATTAATAATTAATTGATATGAGTCAACTGTAAGAGAGAGATAGAGAGACAGAGAAGTCAATATATCCTAATACATGTCTCACTCAGTCTCATGCGCGTGGATAATGCCCTCGCGCTCTTACCCACAGAGGTATTAAATTGAATATAGGGGATGATTGGCCCCTTGGATCGGTCTGTATTTTTGTAAGAGGTGTTAAAATAGTTGTCCGGAGGATATATGAGTCGACTATTATCAAAGCCGGCAATGTGACTTTTGGACAATTATTGGTAAATCAGAAAAACGAATTATTGACTTTGTATTCCATTGGCAGTCACAAAACTCTTCTGAACGACATCTTAGATAAATAACAGGTTAAGTATTAACCTTTATTTAATGCAGGTTTTGAACCGTATTCTTTGAAGGAGACGATTANTATTCCATTGGCAGTCACAAAACTCTTCTGAACGACATCTTAGATAAATAACAGGTTAAGTATTAACCTTTATTTAATGCAGGTTTTGAACCGTATTCTTTGAAGGAGACGATTATATTCAAATCAATCTGTATTGACATATCAATAACATTTTTTTGTCCAAATGCACAGATTGCCACCTTTGATAATAGACGACTCATATATAAAAATCAGCTTTCAGAATTTACGTGAAGTATGTAATGATTTTATGTACCTTGAGTACCTGATACCTGAAAATTGGCCGTCTAAGCAAGGTAGCAGGTAGGCATGCGTTCTTATTACATACTAACACTACGCAATCGGCCACATTTCGTTCGTCAGAAAATACGTGACGTCTGGGGGCCCTGGGATCTTACTCTATTAAGTCTAACTCTCAATATTTATTACGCCTATTTCGGCAAGATGATGTTATCCGTGGCACTCCACATTACATCCTTCCACAAGTAAATACACCAATACCAGGAGATATACAGAAATGAAGAATCACAGCCAAAATAAACGTGTGGTTAAGACGTGAGGTTACGGTTATCTTATAGCAATTCACTACATTCTAATAGTAGAACTATTATGACCTCATTTCAGAACTTATTGCCTTTCTTCTAATTCCTCCTCTAATTTGCCATAGTAATTCCTGGGGGGTAAAGCATGGTTGTAAAATTCTGATTAAGCTAATTATGTAGCTATTTCTAAGCTTCAACGAAATGGATCTGACGTAAGAGTTTACGAGAGACGTAAGAGACGGTCGATCGATATTCATATATATCGATATTCCAGCAGTGGGCAGATAAAGGCTGATGATGATGATGATGATGATTATGATGATGATGATGATGATGATAATTATGATGATGATGATATTCAAAGTGAGTAGGTAATTATCAAACCAAGCTTTTTACTAGTTACTGGAAGTTGCTATAGTTCACAGACCTGAATATGACAACACATCTTGAGACAAGGGCCTCAGTTTTAATTGTGAAATATGAACCAGACCAGTGTACTATTATACTACAGCAATAGGCAGGGTAAATATCCGCGCAGGCTCACAAGACATGTACATCGTGGACGTTATTCGTCACGTATGTACTTAACACGTGGTTGAGTACATATTTCAGGGTATGGTAATTTTTTTTTAAAACCCAGGTAGCTTTTGCTGTGGTTTACTGTGGTTTATTTTGATCACCTCAATGATCTACTTCTTAAAGACCCTGATAAAGCACCCATCATTCCTAGTCGGATTTAGTGCCATTGTAGCATTATCTACAAAGTATCCACTTCTAACTTGAAAATAAGGTTTGAAAAATAAAAAAAGGCCGAACTCTTTCCGATTTTAATTATTTTTCTTTTTATTTGTTATTTTTTCCTTAAAAAATAAACATCTCGCAGTTTTGTACAATACAATCAAGAATACTAATATGACTACCAGTACATCTAAATACAGTTTCTGGTACAAGGGTACGAATAGTGCTGGTGAGCGCAGATGGAGAGCTCCTTTAGTCTTGACGACGTGCTCCACCCAGTGGACCAGCTCAGCACCCGGAGACACCGGACGATCGTGATATATCAACGATGTTTCTTTTGCTATTTCTTTGTATCTATAAAAAAGAAGTTAGTATTTATTTTTCCCAAACTCAGAGGAACTCGGAAAATTCGTATTGCCTTTGATAAATTAGGTTGTAAAATTATGATGCGTTTTTTGGTAAGACGATGATCTGATTCATGTACTTTCTTTGGTTTTCACGAGTCGCACGCATAATTCAAAAGTACGATATCGTATAATGACAATAATCAACACAGGATTCAACTGCAATAACAGCTATTCTTTCTAACAAGCTAATCTCTCTAACACTAAACTCACTACTTTAAGATGTTTTGAATTATGAGGTAAAAAGAACTGTTGTGTATTTAAAATGTATTAACCGTTACCATTTTTGAAGACCACCTTCATCTTCATGCTCAATCAATGTGATGTAGGAAGCAATATGAAAAGGTAATGAAATTTTGTAATGGCTGCTAAAAATAAGTAGAATCAAAATGCCGCCAGATTTTTTTCTCAGCAAGCTCATTGGATATGTCCTTCTCCTTCATGTCTGAGGGATGTGACCAACTCCATTCTTGAGTTTCGTCCTCACATTCGTCATATTATATGTGATCAAAAATTAAATTTAACATTTCATTGTTAACTTGAATTACCTAGGATTTGCGAAAACTTCTTCGATAGCAGCCTTGAGATCTTCCGCCAACGTGTAAGAAAGATCGACCCTTTTTCCGAATCCTTTTCTGACGGACCATTCAACGTTGATGAATTGATCCCCGAACACAGGAATTGCGATAATTGGTACAACAAAATGAATACTCTCAATCGTCGAGAGCAATCCACCATGTGTGATGAAAAGCACGCAATTTGGATGAGCTAAAAGGTATACCAAATTAATTTCATTACCATAAAATTATTTTGTTCATCAGTATTCGAATCTTTTAAAATACAAAAGATCCTAAGATACGTATCTCCTAAGATATCCACACATATGAGACCACAATAATAACAGCCAAATGGACTTCAAGCGGAAATCGGAAAGCATGTTATACAAAAATCGGTTACAAACGCTAGTGCTGTGGCCTGCCATTAGTCAGTGTCATGTTAGTATTTAATTAATAGTACGTTGCACCAACCCCACATAGTCGAATAATTCTAAGTTAATTTTGTAATTTAAGGCTGGTATCCATTTAAATTTTTAGTGTTTTAATTAAATTTTCGTGTACTATTGTTAAGCCAATTGTAGCGGTTTTCTTAATGATAAACGCCCATGAGTTACCATATTCAACAACTAGAAATTAACAAATATAGGAATATTACCTAAATTAACTCGGCCCAAAACGCTAAACCTACAGTACAACCCTAAACCTACAGTTAATAAAAATATAACTTTTTTTATTTGACCACTTACTTTATCTCGATTAAGCATGAAAATTATAGAATCACTTTACCTAAAATACTATGCTGGGGTGCCCATTTAACCATGTGCACATTTTCAGGAAGGTCAAAGAATTCTTCTTCAAATTTCCAAAGTACCGTATATTTCAGGTCACTAAACATTTTGATTAGTTCCTTTTTTAACATATCCGGCATCTCTTTACTCTTCAAATTCGAGCCCATGCTGAAATAAATGACACCGTTCGAGGCACCGTCCATTACCTTCTTTAGATCCTGTAAACAGTAGAACCATAGTTTTTCCCAGTGCGTTTCATTAGATGGGCAAAGAAACTTAAAGCTCATTTGTTTTATCACCACGTGCGGTACAAATTGGCGAATTTGTTGAATCTGAACTTTGGAGAAGCTCTTGTCGCTTAACGATCCGCATACGAACGGGAGTGGGAGAGGAACTATTACCACCACAGGATCACAGTGGGGATTTTTCCGGACCCCGCCTGGATCGCCCCGCATGCACCCCACGGGATATCCCCGGTCAAGACACGTGTAACACGACCTTTCACCATCCGATTGTTAATTTCCTATTTCTGCCGTGATGCAGTAATGCGTTTCGGTTTGAAGGGTGGGGCAGCCGTTGTAACTATACTGAGACCTTAGAGCTTATATCTCAAGATGGGTGGCGCATTTACGTTGTAGATTTCTATGGGCTCCAATAATCACTTAATACCAGGTGGGGTGTGAGCTCGCCCATCCATCTAAGCAATAAAAAAAAAATCGAGACACACATATGGTATAGTAAAGCAGCATATGCGTCGTTTCCTTCGATTTGATGTAATAACATTATGAAATTAATATTGGAGCACGTCTTCAGAAGACCCAAATCTAGCCTCGATTGCTTTAGGGTATCATTATAACCAAAGTGACCTCCTTTCAAAGAAAGATTTTTCTAGTAGAAATCGACTGGTAGTTTTTCTTTAACGTTGAAATCATTTTCCAGGTCATTATGCATAGAAGCACCTGCCCCATTGTGATTCTGAATCTCTGTTTCACTATTTCTTACCTCTGGCAAAGGTTTGACCTCTTCATCGATGTGGAATCCACCAATGGGTTTGTAGTTTTGCGGCAATCGCGTCGCTGCCGCATAGGAAACGTGAGTATTACTGAGCACCAAAGAACTATTGTATAGTAAATCATTGAATGAAGGTGGCACCAGACCTCTCTTCTTTATTATTGGTACTATTTCATTAGCGTACAATGTTTCTTGGCGACCTTTTGTCCTGCGTTATAAAAAAATAAAATTCTAGGTTTTTATTTTATCAATTTAGTTCGAATAGATACGATTGGTTGATTTACGATAAACTGTGCCACTGTGATAAACGAAAAACAATATTTATTGAATAAACTAGATATAAATACTTAAAATATTAATAAGTTATATAGATATATAAATAATAATATATATAAAATAGATTCAATTAGGATTTGTCCTTTTTTTTAAAAGTATCAGATAATATAATATCAATAAGTAACGCGAGAAAAAATCTTAAAAATAGTTTTAATAATTATTAACGTGTTAATTTATTATAATTGTTTTTAATTTTCCAAAAAATTCCAATGACTACAACGCGAAATTGAAAACTAAATTTGCTAACACCTAAGCTAATAAAGTTAAGCTACTACAAATTGAAGCTTATACTTACAAATGATAAAACACCTGCAACTGAGTCCACAAGTTATGAGCTCTCTGAAAGAAATTGAACGGTGGAATGCTATGGGCAATAGCTTCGGCATTGTAAGCTGGATGAAGGGACTCATCAATCAATTTCGTAATTATCCAATGGGTTTGAACACTCGAAAACCAGATCAACGGGGCATTGAATATTGCGGCATAACTGAAAAAAAAAAATTTTTTTTTGCTTAATGCACCTAATGTTAAGTGGTTACCGGAGCCCATAGACATCTACAACATAAGTGCCGACACCCATCTTGAGATATGAGTTCTAAGATCTCAGTATAGTTACAACGGCTGCTCCACCCTTCAAACCACCTGCCTGTTTCTGCCGAGAAGCACTAATGCGAAAGGGTGGTGGTACCTACCCGTGCGGACTCACAAGAGGTCCTACCACCCGTGAAGGTACGATATGATACGATTTGGTACGATAGCATTGACAATGTATCCCGGACGTATGTATGTGGCGATTTGGCAGTGCCCCTGGGATTGCTAATGTCTATGGGCGACAGTTAATGCTTGTTTTTTTATTGCTTAGGCGGGTGGACAAGCTCACGTCCCACCTGGTGTTGAGTGGTTACCGGAGCCCATCGACATCTACAGCGTAAAGACCGCCACCCACCTTGAGATATGAGTTCTAAGGTCTTAATATAATTACAACGGCTGCCCCACCCTTCAAAGCCAAACGCATTATTGCTTCACGGTAGACATAGGCAGGGTGATTGTACCCATGAGGACTCACAAGACGTTCTACCACACAATAAAATCAAACATATACAAATAGATGCATAGCTAATTTTAGAAATTTTAATGTAATTTTATCGAATTTTGGTACAGGCACATGTTCATGCTTCAAATAAACAACATAATATCTCAAGACATTTCGCAGGAGAGCACTAATTAACGCCAGCTTCACGTTCTAATTAGATGTCAAACAACTAACCCGACACAGATCTCAGTAAACATCCACTCGGCAATGACGACATCAAACTTCTGTTCTGGATCATTGAGTAATTTTGAAACATTCTCAATTTGATATGTGTTCATCTCGACCGCGTTCATCAAGTTGTGGATTATGTCAAAATCGAGCGGTACCGCTTTACCTTCGAGAACCGTTTTTAAATTTAACGATTCCTCTGAAATTCGAATGAGCAAGCATGTATTGTTGATGGCGATTTAATTGAGGCTTTTTCTTTGCATCAACGGGTGATTGAATTCACGGCTGGTAAGGTGCTTGTTGATAATTGGAGCCTGTAGACTACGTAAATGCATGAGAAAAGAACATGCGATCTAAGTTTCAATAGGATGATATAACAGCTATCTCTCCCTTCAAACTGAATCACACTTGCCGGAAACACGTAGGGTGATGATACCTACCCGTATGGGCTTACAAGAAATCTGAAATGAGTCTTCCACCAGTTTGGAATAGCTCTATCTCTTTCAGCCGATGTAAACATTAACATCAAGGTTATATATTAGATGCTATATCATCATATAATTTCAAGATTTTGTCAATTATTGCACTGTCGATGGCTATAGATTGAGGTGACATCTGTTATGCACATCTTGTCAATTTATCAATATTTTATATTAACGATCAAGTGATCAATAGTGCAACTAAATAAATCTATATATGTATATAAAAGAAAGTCGTGCTAGTTACACTATTTATAACTCAAGAACGACTGAACTGATTTGGCTGAAAATTGGTGAGGAGGTAGCATAGAACCAGAAGAAGGACATAGGATACTTCTTATCACATTCCCGTGGGACTTGACATAAAACGTGGTAACTATAACAAAACGCAACTGACAGCTAAACGTAATATATTCTATGGTTAATTGTGTTAATTATAGTAGAATGGACTTTTTGGCGGGAACGCGAGGAGTGAAGTTGTGTGATTTGTTTTATTTTGTCTACTTAGTATTTCTTCAGGTTTAAATGTGTAATAACCGTGGTTTATTAACTGTTTAATATCTGTGAAAGTGTACGAATGTGGGAAAATGAAGCAAAGCTGCTGGACGCAACTTCTCGGGATCCTCCAAAAAGTCCACTAAAAAAATCTTAGTAAATGACCACCATTTTACTAAGATTATATTTCATTCCATATCATCTCATTTCATTTAAGTTCAGTCCATATTATCATTTTTCATAAAAATAAGAATATAAATTAAAATAAGACATGACTTAAAGGTCTTAGTTACCAGGTCATAAAATCACTTAAAAAAAAATTATAGTAGAATGTTGAAGTTGACTGGTTGATGTGTTTGAAACAAACCGTGTGGCGGAACAAAGTTCGCCGGGTCCGCTAGTAAATGAATAAATATCAATTACAATACAGTACAATGCGTGTGTGCCCCGATAATATTTTGAAGGCATTATCCCGGGAAATGGACACTCCGTTTTATAAGCATTGAATGGTTTTATTTCGTTAATTTGACCAACCAACACTCTAAACCGCCGTGGTCACAGTTTTTCAATCCCAACCATAGGCTAGATTTACTAACATTTTAAATATGCGCTTGCTACTTTATAGAATTTCTATTTTCTGAAATACAAATCTATAATAAAAAACTTCAGAGGTGTCAAGGGACACCCGGATGGAACGAAGTTCCTTTCGATTAATTAGTGAAGGAATTGTAATTTTTTTTTAAGTTATAATAATAAATTACGGCATTATGAAGAAGAAAAAAACAATACTATGAACTAAATTACTATTGTTGAAACGCTATCTCGAGAAACTGTACTCATTACGCGGACCNTAAATTACTATTGTTGAAACGCTATCTCGAGAAACTGTACTCATTACGCGGACCAATCGGATACGAGCAATGTCACGCGATAAGCGCCTACACGTTGATTGGTCAGAATGACGGATCTAAAAAGTGTCGTGACAACTTTTCGTAAGAATTTTTTCCGTCTAGCCCCCTTTCACAACGCGCGATAAGGAACTTCGTTCCAAAAATAAACACAAAATGATTAATACGTTTACATCCCTGTCTATCAGCCCGCAACTTCGCCTGTCGACTACATATAGACGGCGAGACCGGAGACCTATGCTCAATAATGTGATGAAAATTAGCCTCTACTCTTTCTAAGGGCTCAACCTATTTCCACGCCGAAGTTTGCCTAGATCTCACCAATTGTTTGAAAGTGAAAACGTAACAGACAGTGGCAAATTTAACGGCCGTCTGGTGTAGTGCTAAATGACATGGTCACTACACAAGGGGGTCGCGGGTTCGAATCCCGCCAAGGGAAGATATTTGTATGATAAATATAAAAATGTCTTTTCCAGGGTTATGGATGTATATTAAAAATATGTATGTATATAATAAAAATCTTACATTTATTTCTGTTACCCGGTACCTGTAACACAAGTTCTTTACGAACTTAGCACGGAACCAGATAACGTGGCGTGATTGTTAGTAAATATTTATTTATTATTATTATAACAGACAAGTTACTTTCGTATTTATAATGAGTTGGATTAGTTTTGCGAACAACAATTATTATATTCTCTAGCTCAGGTCTTATTCTATACTCTCTAATAGCCTTATTCAATACGTTGTAATATGTTATAGATCACATACTATAGGACTTGGGAAGAGCTACCATGTTGCTGCTGACGTCAATTTGTGTGAGGTTCGGGTCTGAACTTTCCTCGGGAAACGCGGTTATATACGTTACCTGTAATTGAAAGGCTTTATGATAGTAAATTTATTTATTCCTTTATATATTATTGGCGATATGGTGTCTTGTGAGCCCGGGTGACACGGGTATTTACAGCCAATCTAACTATTTCTGTCGTGAATAATAAAACTGAACTCGTGTTTCAAAGTGTTTTTTTATTTATTGCTTAGATAGATGGACGAGCTCACAGCCCACCTGGTGTTAAGTGTATACCGGATCCCATAGACGTATCTACAACGTAAATGCCGCCACCTACCTTGAGATATGGGTTCTAAGATCTCAGTATAGTTACAACGGCTGTCCCACCCTTTAAATCGAAACGCATTACTGCTTCACGGCATAAATAGGCAGGGTGCGGGTACCTACCCGTGCGGACTCACAAGACGTCCTACCACCAGTAGTAGTAAACTAAAAATATGTATCGATATTCTTGGACCAGTATTTGTAGCGTTTAATTCGGCTAGAATGAGACAGGAGACAGCGCTAAATTGTTTCTCGCCTCGTTTTGGAACGAAGTTCCTTATCGCGCGTTGTGAAAGGGGGCTAGACGGAAAAAATTCTTACGAAAAGTTGTCACGACACTTTTTAGATCCGTCATTCTGACCAATCAACGTGTAGGCGCTTATCGCGTGACATTGCTCGTATCCGATTGGTCCGCGTAATGAGTACAGTTTCTCGAGATAGCGTTTCAACAATAGTAATTTAGTTCATAGTATTGTTTTTTTCTTCTTCATAATGCCGTAATTTATTATTATAACTTAAAAAAAAAATTACAATTCCTTCACTAATTAATCGAAAGGAACTTCGTTCCATCCGGGTGTCCCTTGACACCTCTGAAGTTTTTGTTACAATAACAAAGCCACAAATTTGAATTCACCTCATGTCCGGTTTTCAGTAAATGCTTGACAATTCCATATCCGAGTATGCTGTGGCTCTTGCCAGACAAGGAAAAGACCACTAGCACTTTGTAAGCATCACAAAAGCACAGCAAAGATGCGATGCATAAAAACAAAAATAACGATTTTGACATATCCTGAAACAAACGAAAACTATGTTTTAACAAAACAGAAATTCCACACTCAACAATTTATGATTTTCGGTTCACATAACAGACATTTGACAAATATCCTATAACTATTTCATAAAGGGAAAGACAGTTTCAGATCAAAAGTCTCCATTTAATTCTGTTATTTATACAATAGGCATACTAATGTTGTGACGGGTAGCCATTATACAACACAAGATATTTGACAGATGCCTGAATCTCGCTTACGACATTTTCAACAGAAACTTGCTATAAACAAGTTCCGAACGTTCAAACCGTCAGTATACCGAGCAATATCACCCGCTCGGTGGAAGATTATCCCTCAGTCGTTAAACCTAGAATGTCATTACAGAAAACTAGAAATATGTATAGCAATCACTCATTCTTTATTTTAAAGATATTTTTTCGTAAAACTGTAAGTAAATTATGTGAATATTCAAACCCTAAAAGCAAGGTGAAGTTAGCAAGACGACCTTCAAAGTAAAAATAACAATAACAAAAAGGTAACTCTTGTGATAATTTTCTGGATATTAAGCTATAGTAATAGCTTATTGAATTATGATGGTGCAAACGCGAAATAAACAATAGACTACGAAATATTTTAAAATTTACGAAATTTGGTCGTTGCAAATTAAAAGGACACAGACTGCGGACAGAACCGAGATGAAGCGGCAGTTCTGCGGTAAAGGATTTTTTTTCCTACCTAAGCTACCTAAGCCTTGAGAGTCTATTTCAGCGTAACCTTAACTAGTAGGTGAGCTCACGGGGCTCAAACCGGAGTGATGCTAACACTGACCCTAGCAAGAGCAGTGCTTCGCAGAATCCAGCACCGGATCGGAAACGCGACCCACTGAGAAGATCCGGTGAGAAACTCAGTGGGCTGTATCTATGGGTTAATTCCCTCGTCGAGCCCTTCGACGAATTCGACGAGGACGGTGACCGGTGCGGTAAAGGAAGGATGCACAGTACCTTATATAGTCCTTACTGCAGGCTCGTACCTATGGGCGATGAGAAACACCCACAATTTCACGTATAAAATACAGTAGAGACACGTAGCGCGCGCATTAATTCAGCCATTACATTTTTCTTATTGAGTAGATGTCGCCACGCGATCTCGCTCGCACGCGTAGTTAGGTAATGTGTGTGAGAAGGATGGAGCAGGATTTGCAAACCAAATTAAACGTTGCTAACTTCAGAAACCAAAACTAACAATTGTAAACCAGGGCAACAGATGGTGTTCGATTTATTTGCATAGCATCATATTTACGAGTACATATACCCTTTGGATGTAAAGAGCTACGGCCAGTTACTGTCATGTTTCTATTATTTTAAATATATTTGGCAGTGTCATAAAAAGTTCTACATCATCATCATTATCCTGCCCTTCTCCCAGTCACCAGAGGTTGGCGCAACATGTTTTCTCCTTCCATACTCTTCTATCATATACCATTTCTTCGCTCACTCCCCTCTTACCCATATCGTCTTTCACGCAATCCATCCATTTCTTCTTAGGTCTACCTCTTTTCACATTCATAGTTAACATTCTCTTACCACTAGTCTCATCACATGTCCATACCATCCTAAGCGCGCACTTCTCAGCTTCTCTGTCACAGGTGCCACTTTCAGACTTCCTCTAACATATTCATTCCGTATTCTATCCATTCTCGTTACTCCACATATCCATAGTAACATTCGCATCATTTTACATAAACCACACATATTTTATTTCACTCACCACTCATACCACAACCTTATCACTTCAACACACGGGGAAAATTTTAAGTTAATCGAACGCCTTGGAATTACTAAAATATCCTTTGAAATATCGATACAGATCATGCTAATAAAAGCGAGTTAAAGTATTTGGTAATGAATCCCTTACTCACCATGTCGTTGCTTTAAAATTCGCAGCAATAATTTGAACTGAATATTAATGATGTGGCATGTGTACTGAATGTACAATAATAGCATAATGTCGGCTAGTAAAACAATTCATAGCAAAAAAAGTACGATAAGATATTTTTGAGTAGTGAGATAAAAACAGTAAATACATACATGTACAGAGTGCCTCAAAAATAAAATTTCTATTTTGTGAGTTGATAAAATAAAAAATATTAGACTACTATAAACAAATAAAAAACATTTTTTTAATTATGAAAGTGCAGTGCAAATTAAGCAGTGCCTTTGTACATAATTTTCCTATTACTCTGTACTGTGTCTTGTTTTCTGTGTGTTCATAAATAAATAAATAAAAAAAAAAAGTATAAAGTATTTGGAAATGTATTTCTTAAAACATTATAATATCGTCAAAAAGACTTTGGGTGCCGGTGTCTTATAGATCAGACGATCTGATAAACTTCCCACAAAACAAGTGAAAAACAGCTTAAAATTGTTCGCGGATGTGACTTTTAGAAAAATTTGATTGACCCAAAAATTTATAAGGCTATTGCTCAATAATAAACATACTTTATTATATTTATTGAACTTATCAAATTTACTTATCAAAATATGCGCCATCGTAGACAGGATTAGACTATGGATCCATGCTCTATGATACAACTAAAACAAATGTTTATTTCCCTCTGATAAGAAACGAGATCGTGATCCGTGGTACGCCAATTAAATAGCCGATTACAACCGAACTATATTAAATGTATGTCTATACTAATATTATAAAGAGGAAAGATTTGTTTGTTTGTTCGTATTGAATAGGCTCCGAAACTACTGAACCGATTTTAAAAAATCTTTCACTGTTGGAAAGCTACGCTATCCCCGGGTGACATAGGCTATATTTATTATATTTTCAAAAAGATTAGGGATTCTAACTGAAACTTCAATAATGTAACCCAATGTGTAAAAAAATTACCTAAAATTCTTTACATCGCGAGCGCTACTTCCCAAGCGAAGCCGGGGCGGGCCGCTAGTCTATATATATAAAAATGAAACCCGTTTTCCGTTGTCACGACATAACATGAAAACAGCTTGACCGATTTGGATAATTTTGGTCTTGAATTATTTGTGGAAGTCCAGAGAAGGTTTAAAAGGTTTAAAATATGAAAATTCTCGGAATTAAATAAAAATAACAATTTTGTTTTCCCTTTGACGTGTCCCCCGTCGGACGGATTCCTTTTGTTTGTTTTAAGTTTATTCTATATAAAAGTTTAGGTCTTTTATTTATCGATTGAGGCACTACGAAGTCTGCCGGGTCAGCTAGTAATAGAATAAATTTATAACACGAAACAGCAAAGCTGTCAACGTGAGGCAAACATTATAATTCAGAACATCAATTATTCATCCGTCTATAGATTTTTTTTAATGGTCTTAATAACTTAGCGAACACTTACCTTTTAAATTTGCTATTTGTATTTTTTCTTACCTATGCTGATAGCCTTGAGAGGCTATTTCAGCTTCACCCTAACGTTTGTAGGTGAGCTCGCGGGGCTCAACCGGAGAGTTGCTAACACTGACCCTAGCAAGAGCAGTGCTTCGCAGAATCTACCACCGGATCGGAAACGCGACCCACTGAGAAGATCCGGCGAGAAATTCAGTGGGCTGTGTCTATGGGTTAGTTTGCTCGTCGAGCCCTTCGTCGCAAGCGACGGGTTCGACGAGGACGGTGACCGGTGCTTGTGGTGCCTAAAAGCACCGTTAATGGATCAGTAGGATCCGTAATGACGTGCTTTGGGCGACGTCGACGGTTTACCATTCGGTCTACTGGGTCGGGTATGTAGTTTCCAGCGGCTACGATGAGAGGGTTCTCATGTCGTGCCGCCTTCTCCAAATGGCGCAAAAGGTGGATCGCTGAAAATTGTCTTGGCTTAGAAAGTGGTTAGTCCAATTCAAGTACACAAAAGTATGATTAATTTGTTGTTTCTTCAGGTTTAAATCTGATACAATTACGGCCTATTAATCGTTTAACATGTGTGAAAATGCACACACGTTTTGTCCATGTACCTGTACATGCTGTTCTAAAAAGTCCATAAGAAACCTTAACTAATATTCAACCTTTCATTGAATAGCTATTTCATCGTCGTCAGGTACAAAATAAAATTATACAAAATCAGTCTACAATTTAATTCGTTTTCTTATTACTAGTTACGCTTATACGAGAAAATAGACATCTTACAATTTTATAGATCACAATCAACGATACTAAAACAACAGTGAGGAGATCTAAGTATAACTTCTGGTAAAGGGGCATTTGCAGTGCTGGTGAGCGCAAATGGAGAGCTCCTCTAGTCTTGACGACGTGCTCCACCCAGTGCACCAGCTCAGCACCAGGGGACACCGGCCGATCATGATATACCAACGATGTTTCCTTTGCTATCTCCTTATATCTGTAGAATATAATTTAGTTATAGTTTCATGCGCTTTACAAAAGTCCAAAAAAGACGGTACGTTGCTGGATGATTATGAATATGTTCATGGTCTAGCTGTTTGAAACTATACAATTGCCACCCACTTTGTTACATTAAAACGAAGGCTTATTTGTGGATCATGTGGTGGGTTGATTTGTATTAACACGTTCTATTTTGATATTCCATGAACTTTCTTATCAGATGTCTCGAGCAAGGCAGTTAGTCCTTCTTCAATCGTAAACTACTTCACTAAAGGCTAAACCTAACCACCTTCCGCTTAGAATTTAAGCCGAAAATATGGTGTTTATCTGTTATGGAGTAATTATAACATGCATTATAATTTACCTTGGATTTGAAAAGATTTCTTCAATAGCAACTTTAAGATCATCCGCCATTGTGTATGAAAGATACACAATTTTCCCAAATCCCACTCTAGCAGACCTTTCGGCATTCATAAACTGATCAGCGAACACAGGTATCGTGATAATTGGTACACCAAAATGAACACTCTCAATCGTAGAGAGCAATCCGCCGTGTGTAATAAAAAGTACACAATTCGGATGTGCTGTAATAGTTAAAGACATATTTACTGAACTGTTGTTGAATTCTCTCTATTGAATGTTCACGAATGACTTCCACGCTGAAGGAATAATATCGTGTAGGTACCAACCACTACCCCTCCTAATGCGTTTCGGTTTGAAGGGTGGAGCAGCCGTTGTAAGTATACTTGATACCTTAAAACTTATATCTCAAGGTGAGTGGCGCATTTACGTCGTAGATGTCTATGGGCTCCAGTAACCACTTAACACCAAGTGGGCTGTGAGCTCGTCCACCCATCTAAGCAATAAAAAAAAAAATGGTAAAATCTCTTTCTTCTCACCACAAACTGACAATGGTATTACTTGAGCTGATGTAATTATAGACATCATAGAACAGTTTAGCTGATGGGTAGGAGGTATAATACCAATTTTATCTACATTTATGCTATTAATTAAACTATTTTGATATACCCCATCTACCTGTGCTAAGCTTTGAGGGCTTTAGTCTAATATTATTCATGTTAATTCCCTAATTAACTGTATTTACAACTATTTCTTTTTGTAAAATATAAAAATAAATATTTTACGTACCTAAAATACTTTGTTGGGGTGCCCATTTAACAACGTGTATGTTTTTAGGCAGTCCAGAGAATTCTTCCTCAAATTTCCAAATTACTGTATACTTTAGGCCACTGAATAATTTTATCAAACTTTTCCTTAACCTATCTGGCATCTCTTTGCTCTTCAAATTAGAGCCCATGCTAAAATAAATCACTCCGGTCGATGCACTATCCAATACTTTCTTTAGATCCTGTAAAATAGTTAAGCTATTCTTAATCTACAATATCAAAAGAGTTGGTTTTGTTAAGCAAGCTGCCTGTCTCTCCTTCTCTCTTTGTCGAGCTTCGAACATGCTTGTCAATTCCGTAAGAGTTAATTAGTATCTACCGGGGCGGATCCCAATACGCGAGGGTAATTACGAAATAGTTATTAGTGCAACAAGGAGCTAAGTTGTTTTTTGTTTCGAGTGCTGATTTTGAGTCCCGAGCAAGCGAAGGATTCTATGATTAATTCACGAGCGTAGCAAGTGATTCAAAGCTAGAATTCTGAGCGTAGTGAGGGACTCAACAGCACGAGATGCAAAAAACTTTGCTCTCGTGTAGCACACATAACTTTTCACCTTAGCAGTGAGAACACATTAGGAAACATAGAAATGAACGGGAATAGATTGAAATAACAGTTAAAAAAAACCTAATTTCTTTATTACAAATATTTTTAATTTTTTGGGTATTACGCGTTTCCGAACGTGTTTTCTTTGAGGTCGAATTCCAAAATCAAATTTCGAAGGGGTTTGTTTTTTTCACTCGCTTTTTTATATGCATGTGAAAGAGACAGAGCACAGTAAAATTCGAATGTTTCAAATTTATGGCTGAACAATGTCAATTCGTGGCACTGAAGATGGAAAAATTAAAAAGCTACTTTGACCCACGCTCGAATTAAAATCGCGTTTTGTTCACTGTTGTCTCGCAGCAAAAGCGGCATGCTTGAGCTGCTGAGGTGAAAATATTCATTTTGCTAAGCTTTATAAAATCAAACTACTTTTGCCGTTTAATCTCGCAATTTTTATTGTCATTATATTATTTCCGACATTTTAAATACTTTTCCAATTACAAGAGTTTTCGCGGCTACGATATACTTTTTATTGAGCTTTCGCTACGAGTTTTTTTATCGTCGACAGTTGAATACGACTAACTACCCTCTATCTAATATATAAAATTCTCGTGTCACAATGTTCGTTCCCATACTCCTCCGAAACCGCTTGACCGATTCTCATGAAATTTTTTATGCATATTCAGTAAGCCTGAGAATTGGCTACTATCTATTTTTTATACCCCTAAGTGATTAGGGTTGTCCACCCCTAACATATTTTTTTTATTTGGACATATTTTTTTTTTGTTAGAATGAGGTATTATGTAGTTGAATGAGATTTTGTTATTTTTAATATATATTTTCTCATCGTTCACAGCGCTACATGCCTCTTTCACTCATCTACCACATCCTTACACACTTACAATAAGTTAGTTTTTTTCTACACTAGAAATTCCCTAGAAATCTTATATATGGCAAAACAATGTTTGCCGGGTCAGCTAGTTTTTCTATAAAAATATTTCTAGAATTATTCAAGAAATAGCAAAAGTTGTTTTTTATTTACGTCTACGACTCGCGAAGACGGAGGAGAATACTATAAGTTTTATATTTATATATTATAACAAATGTGAATCTACACATCGAAGGAAATAATATAGAATTTATTTAGCCCTGTTTTACCACTAATGCGACCGACGCGGCGACGCCCTAACTTATGAACTACAACTAGACGTAGCACAGGATAGAGACACCTGGGCATCTTTGGAGGAGGTCCTTGCTAACTAAATTTTACTGTTTCATTACAAAACTCTCTTATTTTATCCTAAATATTAATACATACACTTATATTTACTAGTGGTCCCGCAATAGTCGTAATTCGACTATAATTAATTGCAATTGTAAGTTTGTACACTATTATGATTCTATTTTCAAAGACTATTATACTTCTATATTCTATAATCACAAATTTCGCCAAGACTACACTATAGAAAAATATTAATAAAGACAAACAATATTTAATCTATTCTCAATTTTCCCACAGACGTCAAGAACAAAAGTTTGACAATAAATAAATAGTATGCATGCGTGTGTGCGTCAAAAACATGGTAGTGTCTGTAATGTTTTTTTTATTGATTTAATGTATTTTTTAGGCATAATTTAAAAAAATATTAACATTCTGAACTTCTTCTCTATATTCTCTATAAGTGTGGGAAATTTCATACTCCTCCGTCCGCGCAATTTTCGTAAAAAAGCATACAAAGTTTTTCCTTCACGTATTAATTAATATATAGATTTTTTTTTAAAACTTTGTAAAGGCAAGAAATAAATGGCTTATTATTATTATTATTATTATTACCTCTGGCAAGGGTTCGACCTTTTCTTCAACGTGAAACCCACCGACAGTCTTGTAGTTTTGCGGCAGTCTCACGGCAGGCGCATATGACAAATGACTGTTACTGAGAACCAATGAACCATTGAACTGCACATCTTCAAACTTTTGCGCGACCAGACCTCTCTTCTCTATCACTGGTACGATCGCTTTGTTATAGAAATCTTCTTGACCACTATTTTTACTGCAATTTATAAGGCATCATCAAGAGTTGGACTACCCAGATCAGAAGAATGAAAAGAAGGAATAAGGTCAGATCTACTTTTTAATTAGTAATTTAAATCAATTATTTGTCATATCTGATTCCAAACCATTCCTTAGATTTAACACATTAGAATCAATTAAAATTTGAAATATTGCAATATTCAACCTCATACGATCTTCTTTCTATGCGGCGACTCAATTTGGTCTATTTTAGTCTATGTGAGTCAACGGTATGCCCAATCGGATTTTTTTGTAGGGAACCCTCCCATATACCTACCAATCTTAGAACAACTCTAACCGCCAGATTTTTATTTTATTTTAATCGACTTTCTCTGCGATTCACACCACAGTACGTATGGTCAGGACACCACGACAAAAAGACACGAGGGAGGTACGTCTATCGTCCACATAATCATCGGCCATTGCATCCTGATGATGATGATGATGACGATTGCATCCTGATCTATCCGACCGTTAACGTTATCCATACATATATAATACTGCTATTTAATTATATATTTCGATTAGAAACTAAACAGTTTATCTTCCCTTAGTATCTACTTTATCTTAGCAATAAAAAATACAAATATATTAAACTCCCTTTTGTAATTTAGATAAAAGTTAAAATTTTAATCCACCCACACTTGATACAGTGTTCGTAACAGAATCCACAAGTTCTGAACTCTCTGGAAGAAATTCAACGGTGGAATGTTACGCCCAACAACATCGGTATTATAAGCTGGATGGAGAGCCTCGTCAATCAACCTCGTCACCATCCCATGGGTTTGAAAACTTGAGACCCAGATCAACGGGGCATTAAAAATTGCGGCATAACTGTAAAAAACCATTAGGCGAAATAATATGAATGCATATCCACGGACGTCTTAAACTAGGCTGGGGCCCTTGGGCACACAAGAATTTGAGGCCCTTTTGGAAAGTAAAAAAAGCGAATTATAATAACATTTTTTTACTGAGTATGACCATTTAATAAAGGTAATCAAATTTAATACAGTATGATATAATATGTCATTAATGATATTAGAATGCTGCTGGTTTTTTGGTTACGGTTTCGATAACGGTTTCCAAACTAATTTCGTTAATATAATCTAAAATTATTGCTATGGTAAAACGTGGAGACATGGATTGCATTTTCTAATCAGCTTTAAATAAAATATTTTTCAGCGCCATTTTTTTAAATTTACCCGGTTGCTACTGTAGCGCCACTTTTATTTAGCAGATTTTAACGGACACTTTTTACACACAGAGACGGTCCTCCTTACCTCTACCCTCCATATTAGTACAGTAGGAATAGGCGCAGTTATCGATATGATGGCGTAGTGCCTTTTAAATACCTTCTGACAAGATTATTGATTTGTGAAAAAAGTGTAATGTGACCGACAAAAATGTTTTGAGAATAAATGTGTGAGAGAAATTGTCGGTCCTTCGAGGCCCCATGAGAATGGGGGCCCTGGGCACGGGCCCCGTGTGCCCTTATGGTGAAGACGGTATTGTGCATATCTGATGCTACACACACACATATTCAATCAAACATGTACATCGGCTTTAACCAATTATAGATACGACGTAGCACTCACAGAACAACACACAAAACTCACCTAGCACAAATTTCTGTGAACATCCATTCAGCAATGACGATATCGAACTTCTGTTTTGGATCGTTGATTAATCTCGAAACATTCTCATTGTTGTATGTGTTCATCTCTACTGCGTTCATTACAAGATGAATCCCACCGTGATCAACTTTCGGTACTTTACCCTCGAGGATCACATTTAAATTTAGGGAAGTCTCTGAAAATAAAATATGTTTGTTACGACTTAATCCGGCTCGAATGAAGGTACTTTTTGTGTCCGATTAGAGATATTGCGGGAAGGAAAGAGAAATCGATGAAGAGAAACAAGGAGATTCTGAACTGATTGAACTTGATCTTGTAGAGGAGAAACGCTGGAGCAGTCACTCTCCGTCGATTATATTCCATACCCAAACTGACAGCTTAAGTCCCCCAGTAGTAGGTATGCAACCACATAGCATGTGCAGATTAATACATTATCAGATGCCTCAGAGTTAATACATTCTGCACGCCATTTAAGTTCAAAAACGTTAATAGCATTTTTATGACAATTAAAGGCGAGTTACTGTAGTTGTTTTTTTTTTATTGCTTAGATGTGTGGACGAGCTCACAACCCACCTGGTGTTAAGTGGTTACTGGAGCCCATAGACATCTACAACGTAAATGCGCCACACACCTTGAGATATAATTCTGAGGTCTCAGTATAGTCACAACGGCTGCCCCACCCTTCAAACCGAAACGCATTACTGCTTCACTGCAGAAATAGGCGGGGCGGTGGTACCTACCCGTGCGGACTCACAAGCGGTCCTACCACCAGTAATTACGCAAATTATAATTTTGCGGGTTTGATTGTTAATGGTAATGCTTACATTTGAACTGTTTCTATATATTTTTTAATTTATTTTTTTGCTGCTCCCTCAAATACCAGGTTTCGCTACATAAGTTAGTGACATAGTGATATGCGAAAACAATACGCACAAGATGTACAATTTACTGTTACACTTTATTTTTATTTTGCGCATTGAACTTGATACTTACTGGGTAGAATATCTATGTTACTGCTAACGTCGATTTGTTTGAGCTTCGGATCCGTGTTATCCACCGGAAATGGGGTTATGTACGTCACCTATAATAAATTAGAGGTGAATAAAAAAATCACGTTATTTTAACAAACAAAACTCTAGTCTAAATTGCGCTTGCGGATAGAAGAGAAAAAATTAATTACTTGTAAAAAAAATGAAAGTGGAAATCTAATGAAAATAATAATAATAAACAGCATTCAAATAATAGAAAGACAGATGATATTTCATAATCTGACTGCTTAAATAGGGAACCAATGGATTATGACCAAAATTGAAGAGGTCTGTCTTGGATTTTTTATTATTAGATGAAAACGTTTCTGAAAAAAGCACATTACAATGCGTCTTTATATGATTATATAAATAAATTATTTTGCCAAGGAAGTGTGCCCATCGCGATTTATGGATCAGATATTGCCAGCAATGAACTAAATAGATTGGAAACTATTTTCATGTTTACTAAACTCTAAAGTCTCAATGGTGCATAGTGCAGCATATAATAAAATTGTTACGTAAATATTTTTGTATTTAATATAAACGAACCTAGAACTTTAGCTTTAATAAAAAGTAGTCGAAATAGTAGATTAGATGTATTGTGATCCCGCACGGATTGATGGCACTGTCCTTTCACGTTCTGCAGCGAAACAGTTCCGGTCCAATTGGCGTTCCAATTTCAAGGGAAGCCCGACTATTATCTGTTGAGACCATCGATGTGATCTTTCCACTTGGTTAACAGTACCCAAATCGAGATGTCTATAGGCTTCTACAACTACTTAACACCTTGTGTGCTAATAAAAAGTAGTAGTAACAAAAATTCTCTTTACAAAATAATAATAAAAGATTATCTCTCGGCTCGTGTTTCCTCTTATTTAGTTCCTCTTATGAGGTCCAAACCGTAAATTGAAATTCACCTCATGTCCCCTTTTCAGCAAATGCTTTACAATTCCATATCCAAGTATGCTGTGACTCTTCCCTGGCATAGAAAAGACCACCAACACCTTGTAAGCGTCACATGTGCACAGCAATAATGTGACGCATAAAAACAATATCCACTTGATCATTTTCTGAAATAAAAGAATACAAGGGTTTTTTTTATTATTAGCATTTTTTAAGCTATTGCATAGATTTTATCGCAGCGCCTTGAGCGCGGCTTGAGTGCGCAATCATGAAATTCCGTAACGAAAAAACCTTTCACCCCTCACTACGCCTACTATGTAGCTCGCGTTCAACACACTCACACGTCGCGCTTGTGTAGTGTTTAAAGTAAGAAGTCTAAGCACCGATTTATACACTATCAAAATATGTAATACAATTTCGTGGGTAACACAACGATAACGCGATTCAACTTTTCGTGAAGCGCCATCTATCGGCGACAAACGGAATTGTAAAATAGAAAATTATATCACATAACAATTCGTTGGGCGTGCCATTTTCTATCGCTTAGTCGAAGAATTTTATTACTACTCCTACTGCTCATTCAGTGATTGGAGTGGCATTAAAAATAAACTAGCTAAACTGTTGATTCTGGGCGAATGAGAGTTAGAACTAGCATCCAAAGGCGTGTCTCTATCCCATGTAGCGCCCTCTAGTGAGTGCGCGGTCAAAATGGAATACTCACAATGTAGCAGATTCATTGAAAGTTAGCCCACTGAGTTTCTCGCCGGATCTTATTTTATTGTTGTTTTAATATTACATTATTATTGTCGATTTATAATTGCATAAGTTGATAAAAAATGCTATGCAATAGCTTTACCGCGGCGGTCTCCGAGTGCCACACGTCTTTTTTTATTTTTAGGTTTTGTCTAGTAGGTACTTCATTAATCTGCCGCAGAACAACGCACTGACTTACTGGTTTTTTAATCTTCAATATTATATTCCAAAACATTTAGCAATAATTTTTCGAACGTGTCGTTCAATGCAATTTACATTGTAATTTCAGAACTCATCGTCAGGTAAGCACTCAGAAATGAAGCCATAAGCGATTTTACGCCGTTAACAAAACTCAAATATTCGAAAATAGAAATGTTCGCATTTCATAATTATCATGATCATATCAATACAGAGACATCCACTGCGGGAAAGAGGCCTCCCCAAGATTCGCCATTATGGGCGATGCATTCTTGCATCCAGCGGATTCCCATGGCTTTCCAACTTCACATTTGCAAAGTCCGAAATTTGTATATTAATAATCACGCAAGTATAGTTATTCGAATGTAACTTCGCAAAAATATAGTTCATAGCTTGAATTAGCATACAGGATTATGGCAAATAAAATGTTCCGGATAATGCCTGATTTTTATGCTATGATAAATACGACAATGTGTTCTATTTGGGAAGAAGTGTTACTGGTGGCCCGGGGGCCTGTTCAGTTTCACCAGGACAAGCGAGCGAGCAAAGCCTCAGCCAGGTAGACAATGTGTTCGCATCAAGAACCAGCTAATTTTACGTACCAACGGATCTACACAAGCAACTCTTCATTAACGTGTTTCTAAATTCCAACTGACAAGTAAACATGTCTAGTAATATAAATTTTATCTCAACAAGCCACTGGAGTTTACGACTCAATCACTACATACAGTAATGTTTTTATCAGTAGCAATATATTCAGTTATCAAGAGTTGAAGCGGTCACCCTGAAGTGCTCATCCGATAATACCAAAACCAAAAAGATTAGGAACTACAAAGTTATGGAGAGATAATTGAAATAAGTCAGTGTTTGAATTGGAGAAATAAAATTTTGAGATACTATGAGATACATGGTGGGATTTATATTAAACACTCTCCTATCTTCCCGGAAAACAACGTAGTGTGTGAGGAGATCTCAAACATCGAGCATTTTGTTAATAACAATAGAATATTTGAACAGATTTTTCGAGGCAGTAAAAAATATCAGTCAATACTGTGGCTATAAAATTAGCGGGTAAAATTAAACCCAACCAACAGGCCTACAGATTTTCACTTGTGGTAGGACGTATTGTTAGCTGACACAGATCTCCCGTTCCACCACCTCCTTCTTTATGATAGTGGACTCGCAGAAGTCGAGATTCAAGGTCCACCTGATTTAAGATGGTTACTGGAGCTTATAGACATCACAACGTGTCATGTCAACAGACATCATATTGTAATACAGCTGTCACACACTTCAAACGAGAATGAATAATTACTTCGTTGTAATAATAGGTAAAAAAAACCTTATCAACGTTAATAATAAAGTTAAATAAATTATTCACTTACCAAGATTTTATATTGTAAAAACTAATCAAAGATAGTCTCACTAACAATAAATTACTTAACAAAAATATAGATTTATCATGAAAACCAATTTAATTGAAAATGTTGACACAAGTGATGTGCATTGCGTACCGAATTAAAATAGCATTTATCCTGGGTCGTTGTCATTGGTAATAAGAATCGATAATAAAGATTAATTTCGTCAACTTTATCCACAAGTATCAGAGTTTTTTTCAACAGTTAAATTTTATGTTTATTTATTATTTCTAATGTTTACTTAGTCACATCCGTTTGCATGTGGTAGGAAAATTATGCTACTGTCCAATTTCTTATTGACGTGAAGCAATAATTATGTGATCCACATAAGGGTATGTATCAGTGATTTTTTTAACAGTTAAATTTTATGTTTATTTATTATTTGTAATGTTTACTCAGTCACGTTCGTTTGCTTGTGGTAGGAAAATTATACTACTGTCCAATTTGTTATTGACGTGAAGTAATCATTATGGTGCCACGTTAATTACCCCTTTCTCTATCACAGGTCCCACTACAAGATGCTTCGCAGGAAACACAATTCGTACTGAAAGTGGCCATCCTATAAAAACGGTGTTTTTCAGCCGATGACTATTGTAATAACATACATTGTCATTATCAGATTTTTTATTCAGAATTGCGGGACCTCATGAAAATGCTGGCTGACCGTAAAAAAAATCAATTTTAATTTCACGAGATTGACAACCCTAAATCTAAATAAGTTCATTGATTACGAAAGTGCATCCTTTACGTATTGGTACATCGGTTGCATTTTTATCACGACATTATCATATGACATTTGATAGTCTTATCAGTCGATTCCTAAGATTGCACTTTGAGAGAAGAAATTCCGCAAATTGAAATGAAAGACAATTCATATTGTTCGCTTGTAGGTCATCAGAATCATGATATAATAATATTATGATAAATCATTACGTTTGCTTGACAACTTGCAACAACTTTGGCGGCTATCTACATTAGGTACACAAACAGCTCGATCGGCTCTTACAAAGATTATCACATTTTAAAAACTCCTGATAGTTCGGCGTTGTACCAAACGCCATGATCACTGCTAGACTAAAGACCACGGGTAGGTTTTTTAGGAGCAGTAAAATCGTTCTACCCTGTTTCTAGTCCGTTGTTTCCTGTTAATATTGGAACTTGAGCTGATTCGCCCTCTCAGAACACTAAGAACGCATGGTTTGTTAATACTAAAATAGTATACTAAAAATAGTTAATATTAGATTCCGGTCACTTTAATCTGAAGCTATAACAATACAATACAATACAATGCGATGCGATGCGATGCGATGCGATACGACACGACACGACACGACACGACAGACACGACACGACACGACACGACACAACACAACACAACACAATGCAATGCAAGATAAGTTGCTTTTCAGGCAAAAATCCAGCGTGCACCTCCAAACTGTGCATAGAGATATATGTATATTTTTTTTTTTTTTTTTTTTTTTATGATTGAAAGTTTACTGGTGGCCCGAAGGCCTTTCCAGTTTCACCAGGACAGGTGGACGAGCAAAGGCTCAGCCAAGAGGGGTGGGATTTGCTAACAACTGCCCGAGCGCCTCCGAAGGAGACCTAACAACTCAAGAGCAATAGTTTCGCGAATGAATCTACTACCGGATCGGAATCGCGACCCGCTGAGAAGATCCGGCGAGAAACTCAGCGGGCTGATGCATGGGTTAGGTTGCACGTCGACCTCTTTGTCGAGTTCGACGAGTACGGTTACCGGGGGCCCTAAGCCTGCCCCTAGTATTAGAGCTGAAGGCATCTAATGCAAAGGTTATTGGATCTGATNTCTATGAGTTCCTCTGTGGTTTGAATTGAAACGACTGGTTGTTTGTCGTCTTCTTGCTCAGTAGTGATTTGTGTTGTTTCAACTTTAGGCCCTACCCGTTTCTTAATAATACGCTTTATGATTTTCTTTTGTTTCGGCTTACCTTCTTTCGTCTCAGTTTCCTCAACAGTCACCTCTTCAGGCAACTCAATAACTTCTTCCGGCTTGCTTTCTTCAGGGGTAGATTCTTCTACTACAGTAACACTTGTAACAGGGGCCTCGTCGTCTTTTTGGACTGTGGTGATTTCGGTGACTTCTTCCTTAGGTCCTTTTCTCTTTTTGATTATTCGCTTAGTGGTTTTAACGGTTTGAATATCGCCGGTTTCAGTTTTGACTTGTGTAATGTGTACTTTCTCAGGAGTTTCTTCAACGACCTGAGCAGTGTCTGGTGTAATATCTGAGAGTGGTGTAGTCGTGTCGTCTACGACTTCCTCTGTGGTTTGAATTGAAACGACTGGTTGTTTGTCGTCTTCTTGCTCAGTTGTAATTTGTGTAGTTTCGACTTTAGGTCCTTTCCGCTTTTTAATAATGCGCTTTGTGATTTTCTTTTGTTTTGGCTTACCTTCCGGTGTCTCAGTTTCCTCAACAGTCACCTCTTCAGGCAACTCAACAACTTCTTCTGGCTTGCTCTCTTCGGGGGTAGTTTCTTCTACTACAGTAACACTTGTCACAGGGGCCTCGTCGTCTTTTTGGACTGTAGTGATTTCGGTGACTTCTTCCTTAGGTCCTTTTCTCTTTTTGATTATTCGCTTAGTGGTTTTAACGGTTTGGACATCGCCGGTTTCAGTTTTGACTTGTGTAATGTGTACTTTCTCAGGGGTTTCTTCAACGACCTGAGCAGTGTCTGGAGTGATTTCTGAGAGCGGTGTAGTCGTATCATCTATGAGTTCCTCTGAGGTTTGAATAGAAACGACTGGTTGTTTGTCGTCTTCTTGTTCAGTAGTGATTTGTGTTGTTTCAACTTTAGGCCCTACCCGTTTCTTAATAATACGCTTTATGATTTTCTTTTGTTTCAGCTTACCTTCTTTCGTCTTAGTTTCCTCAACTGTTACCTCTTCAGGCAACTCCATGATTTCTTCTGGCTTGCTCTCTTCAGGGGTAGTTTCTTCTACCACAGTGACCGTCGTTAGCGGGGTGTCGTCGTCTTTTTGGACTGTGGTGATTTCGGTGACTTCATTTTTCGATCCTTTTCTTTTTTTGATTACGCGCTTAGTTGTTTTGACAGTTTGGTCCGCGCCTGTTTCAGTTTTGACTTGTGTAATTTGTACTGTCTCTGGGGTTTCTTCGACGACCTGAGCGGTATCAGGTTCGATGTCTGAGAGTGGTGTAGTTGAATCATCTATGAGTTCCTCTGTGGTTTGAATAGAAACTATAGGTTCTTTATCGTCTTCTTGTTCAGTGGTGATTTGTGTAGTTTCGACTTTAGGCCCTACCCGCTTTTTAATAGTACGCTTTGTGATTTTCTTTTGTTTTGGCTTACCTTCTTGTGTCTTACTGTCCTCAACTGTTACCTCTTCAGGTAGCTCAATAACTTCTTTTGGCTTGCTTTCTTCGGGTGTAATTTCTTCTATCACAGTGATCGTCTTGATAGGAGTCTCGTCGTCTTTCTGCACTGTGGTGATTTCGGTTACTTCCTCATTCAATCCCTTTTTCTTTTTGATTAGGCGCTTAGTTGATTTAACGGTTTGAACATCATCTGTTTCCGGTTTCTTTTCCGTGATGTGTACTTTTCTAGCAGATTCTTGAAGTACCTCATTTAGTGTTTCAGTGAGTTCAGTTACGTCTTCTATTATTAGATGTGTTGCCATCTTCGGTATGTGTAGAAATTCATCTGGCATTTCAATTTTACTTTTTTCTGAGTCATCAATTATTTGCGATTCATCTCCTTCATATTCAACAATATTCAGATCATGTTTTGTTTTCCTAATTGATTTTTTGAGATCTTCGTCGTCTAATGTCTCTTCAATGACGACGTCGCCTGTTTCATCGCCAACCCTCTTTTTCTTTCGGAGAATGGTTCTTTTAGTTTTAATTTGTTGAGGCTCACTATAGCCAGGTGTTTGAACAAATTTAGTGATTATTTCTTCCGTTTCCTCAACATCAGATCGTGAAGATATTGAAATTCTCTCGAGTTTGTCTGAAATTTACGCGTTAATAATTAATTTCATTTTCCCTATTTTATTTATACATGAATATGTATAACTATATATACTATAATCTTAAACTATAATCTATAACAATAACTATAATCTTAAAGCTTTTTCCCATTTTTGCATTAATATTGTTTCACTTCAAAATATTTTATTAAACTATTGTTTTTTTTTTCGATTAACACAATTTTTTCATACGAAGTGTAACGTCATAATTTGCAATGATTTTAATTCAGTATTCATTTTACTATTATAAAGAGTGAGAGAGAGTCTCATATACTACCATTACGTACTGATTTTCAAACGTCTCATATACAAGGAAGCTTGATTCTAAAAGTAAGAAAGTAAATGTATTGAAAAACCCTTTTAATTAATATGCCACACATCTTTCTTGAAGCAAAAAATATAATAATTTCAAGATTTGTTTTAAACAAAAATAAAGTCGTAATAAAAAAAAATAAAAAAAATTGAAGGATGAGATAGCCGAGATACAATAGAATTATGCTTTATTTTTATAAGAAATTATTTACTTACCATCAACAAGCCCATCTTGTTCTGTGATAAGAACCCGATTTGATTGATCGTGTTGAATTTTTTCATCTGCTTCTCTTAATAAATCGACTGGTTCATAAAAGCATGGAGCCGTTTGTTCATTAAAATACTCAGAAATAACTTCTGTTTCGTTAGCAATAATATAATTTTCTCTAATTTTTTGTTCTTCTGGTTTTGATGACTTAAATTCTGTTTCCATTTGCATACTTTGAGTGTCAGTTATTATTAAGGGTATCATTTCGGTTGATTTAATTTTTGGTGTTTGAAGATGTACTTTATCAGAGGTGAATTGATTAGTTCGTGCCTCCGCAATGTTTTCTGAACATTCGATGTGTGTTAATGGAGTTATATTATGCTGAGCTACCAATGGCTTATTATTACTCGGTCGAAAATCGTACGGAATCTCCTCATTTAGAACCTGATCTACAATTAAGCCTTGCGCAGTGTTAAAGTTGACAGTAGCATTTTCCTTTAGTGAAAGCTTTCTGTCAATGTCTATTAAATTCGTTTCGGATTCATTGACTAAAACCTCACTTTGACTCAGTGGTTGTAATTCTATTGATTTTAATGTAACTGTTTGTGTTTCAACTGAATTAGCTGTTATAGTCCCGGTATGTTCACTTGTTATTATTTCTGTTTGTTCTAAGGGTTTTACTTCTAAAACAGATTCAGAAACTTGTTTGGTTATGTTTTTATCGTGCGTTATGGAGTACGATGTTTCGTGAGCTATGTTTTCTGTCGTCTCGTAGCATCTATGTGCCTCAATTTCTAATGAAACTTCTCCAACTTGAGGTTTTATTGCGGAAGACATGTCACGTAAGTCATCTATCACATCTGGTTTTATTTGAGTTATTTCAGATAGTATGATGTGACTTTCGTCTGCCTTCTGTATATTATCAACATGATTTTTAGCGAACTTACCTATTTCTTCGTGAAGCAGAATTTCTGTTTGTTGAACATGTTTCATTTCAATTATATTTAGAGCAGCTTGTTTGAAATTATTGTCTGTAGTAGTAAAGATTTGTCCTGAGGTTTCTTGAGGGTAATCTTCAGAAGTTACAATGCTTTTTTGTGCTTCTATTGCTACCTGAGCTTTGTTATTTTCTGTCATATAGTCAGGGACGATCTTATTAACAGTTTCGATAGTTTGGTGGTCATTGTTAACTACCTCAGTATTAACCACTTGCTTGGGAGTTGCCTTAGTTTCTGTATTTGTGTCAGTTGTGTCAGCAAACCTAACAGTACCTTCAACAGGAACCATCTCACTTACTGTGATGTGTGTAGCTGGATTTATTTCAACACCTTGTTGAGAAGATAAGGATGGTATAGTTAGGCTATCCTCCATATTTCGTCCACATTCCCTAATTATATCATTGGAAATTACTAAATAATTTTGAGTTTTGATGGTAACTTCAGGTTTTTCAGATGTCTTTATCACAAACTCCGCCAAGTTGCCTTCTTTTTCCTTAACGATTGCCTCTTCAATTTGAAGGGGTAATATACTTTCAACAGAAAAATTGCCTTGCTTGCACATATTGGATGTATTTCTATGCAACGTAGATTCAGATTCTTGAATATTCGTTTCAGTAATTAAAATATGCTCTCCAGTTTCGATACCAATGTGTGGGCTAGCATCTTTCGATTTTTGTTCTTGTAATAACTTTTCTGACTGTTCTCCGAAATTAATCTCACTAACTTCCAGATGTTTCAATGTCTGTAACGAAACATCACTTTTTACCTGTTTAACGATTTCCGTTTCTTCAAGTGCTTCTTCATTTTCATTAAATTGGTGAATTTCAACATTTAAATGCATATGTGGACTAATATTGAATTCGCTAAGAGTCGTTTTTGGGAAAAGCATCGGCTTTATTTCTATTTCTTTTTCAACTGTTATGTTTTCTGATATCTGTAGGTGATCGTTAGCGTGAATATCTGTGCTAGCTTCAAAATATTGGATTTTATCTGATTCAAATGGAACATCGCCTTCTGTTGCATTTGTTTCGTTAATATTTATACTGGATTTTAAAATTATATCAGTTTTTGGTGCCACTGATTTGTCTTCTACTAAATTATTGTGAGTATGAAAAGTTTGTTCTTTTTCAGAAAACATTACCTCTGTTACATCGACGTAGTTTTTACCATTAATAATAAGCTGTGTTGTTTCTTTTTTAACTACAGGAGTATCCTGTATTGTGTTTTCTTTTTCATTTGCAATGATTACAGTTATATTCAAAGGTTTTTGTTCTTCAACCGTACCAGTACCAATTTTCTCATCCGCAGTCGGTATTGTAAAAGTATTTTCTACCTCTCCAATGAATAACTCATATTCTTTTATTGCTTCTTGCATTTCGTGACCAGTAGATACGTTTACTAAATTAATATCTGAAATACTAAAGCTCTGACTTTCTTGACTTGAAACTATTTCTGTCTCTTGTAATGATTGCTGTTCATTAAAAGCAAGTTTGGCATTGACTTCGGAATCTAGAATTGCTGCTCGAAGATCTTTTTCGGCTTCCATTGGTTGAACTTCTAAAGTTTCCTTTGCCTTTTCTTGTATAATTATTTCTGAAGCATTTGCAGTTATTGTCTTAGTATCCACAAATTCAAATTCTTTTTCTCCGTGTACTATCTCTTCTTGAACATAGCTTTGTAAATTATCCTGCGTTGTTTCTGCACTTACAAGCTTTGTGTCTTTACTTTCCAATTTGCTTATATTCCCCGAGGCTAATACTTCCATGCCGATAGCACTCTGGTGCGGAACTACTTCTATAAAAGCTTCTAAAACATTTGGTGCTTTCTGTGAAACTAACTCTTGTTCTTTTTCTGCTATAATTGTAGAGTTTGTCTCAACTGCATGGATTTCTGTAATATGAGGGGTAATATTGGAAGCTAATGGCTTACATAAATCTAATTCTCTCTCACGTTCCCCAAAAATAATTTCGGTTCTTTCAAGGGCATTTTCACAGATTGCGTTTAAGTCAGAATGTTGCGGTTTCACAGCTGGTTCGAGCAATTTTCCTACTGATTGATTTACAGTACATTCTTCAGAATTAGCAATTTTGCCATAATTTTCATCTAATTTTGATACAGCATTTTTATACTTCATATCAAAATCTTGAGATGCTTCAAGACTTTGTGATTGTGATAGCACTTCGGATGTTTGTATGCCTTGCTGGGATCTAAAAGCGACTGCAGCATGCTGCATTTCTGGTGATATCGTGTCTCTTAAATAGTCTTCTGTTTCAATAAGTGTCTTCTCATCACATTGTGGTAGATGTAGTGTGCTGACAGATATAACTGGCATTTCGCTTTGGTTTTTGTTTATATCGGAAAGTATTCCTTCAGAGGAATGTACCAAAATTTCCTGTTGAGTTAAAGCTTCTGATATCACAGTATCTTGTTCTGCTTTTGCAAAAGGTAATTTATTTTGTATGAGTGATGTAGGCTTTATTTCTGTACTTCTTTCATCAATTTGTAATGCTTGACTTGAGTTTAATCCTACTGAAGCTGTAACAGTTGTTGGTGTTGATGTTGTTTTAATTTCATCTTCTTTTTCATGCCAATCAACTGTACTGATAATAATTTCATTAAAAGCTATGTTTTTGACATTAGCTGTTTTAACATCATCTACAACAATATCGGTGTCACCTACGTCTACATCCGGTGATATTTCTGTTGAAACAGCAACTAGGTGTCCAGTTATAAAAGGGTTAGCAGTTGACGTGTCAGGCAGCTTATAATATTCATACTCCTCCTCTTTTTCATGTTGTACAATCTCCGTAATATTCAGGATTTCCTGAGACGGAACAATCTCAGAGGAAATTGTTTTAGGGGACGGGTGGATGTCATTTTCTAATGTAGATTGACTATCCAAAATATTGTTTTCAAGTACTTGTATGGACTGTAGATGAGTTGATATTAAATTAGCTTCCTCGGTTTCCATTATAGTGGACTTAAGGTTTCCCAACCTTTCTTTAAGGTTTATCTCCGAAGTTATTGCTAATTTATGATCTGAGTTAATGTCCAAAGTAGCAAGCTGCTTTGTTTTTTCCTCAGATATCGTAAGTTTTGTTTCATGAATATTTGGTATTATTTCAGTCACATTTATGCTTTCGTTACTAATATAACCAGTTTTTACTTTGTTATGTTGTATTTCATTTTCTTCTAACTTATTTAATTGTTCTTCTACAGTGGTTTCAATTACAGCTATTTCCTTTTGTAAATCTCTGCTTATAGATGCTGTTCCAGTATTCTCTTTAGGTAAAGTCATGAAATCTATCTGATCAGTAGTATTAATTTCTTGTTTAACTGGAATTTTAAGTTGATGAGTGAGTGTAAATTCCGCGCGACTAATACTAGGAATTTTATTGAGATGAAGTTTATTTTCCGATTCTGACAGTTGTGTTTCTAAAACTGTAATTGGCATAACTGGGATCAAAGATGTATCAAATTCTTCGGGTTTTTTGGACAAAAAGTTTTCATTTTGTTCCTTTTCATGTATAAAAGGTATAGTGATTATTTTAGCCTTGGTCATTTCGATAGATTTTGATGCGGTCTCTTCCGGCACTACTTGAGGCTTAGCCATTTCATCAGTGGTCGTGATATGTAAAATTTCGGACATGACAATTGGTTCAATGGATTTAATATCTACATCAGCTTTTACCATTTGTTTGTCCTCCTTAATCACTAATTCAAATTCTTTTTCATGAACATCAACTTCTTCTACAGTATTTTTGTCCAATGCTGTTATAGAGACGTCGGCATGACTTTCAGGTGTAGGTTTTGATTTTTCAAGTATCGTCTCTGAATCAGCGGTAGTTGTTTCAGAATTAGTTTGGTGCAGGTGTTCATTAATGGTTATTATTGCTTTTCTACTAGGAGTATCACATGGAGCAAAATCTGATTCTTTAATATGTGTTGTCGTTATAGTATTACCAAGACTTGAATGTAAAGTTACATCCTTAAGGGCTGATTGTTGTATAGGCTTTTCCTGTACTGGAAGGTGGCCTTCTTTTTCATTTAGCTCTTCAAATGATATAATTAAGCTGTCTTTTATTGCTATATCTACTCTAGCTTCCTGTTTTGGAGGTACTTTCAAATCTGAAACATTTCCTTCCTTCTCTTGGACATCATGAATTTCTGTTATGAGTTGGTTAGATACAAGAACATCTTTACGGGCTGTTTCCGTTGGTACAATTAGTTCAGGGTAGTATTTACCTGATTTGTCTTCTACAAAAACTTCGCCTACTTCAATTGGCTCAAGTAAATTGAAATTTAGATTTGGTACCAGACCTTTATCAATATCGGGAGTTTCCAGGTATTTTTCCTTCATATCTTCGTTTACTTCTATTACATTTAAACTAATGAGTGGAGAAAATGCTATCTCTGCACTTGATGCATTAATTTTCAAGTCATCTAAAGGTCTTTCTTCAGTGGGTAAAATATGCTGAGAGACGTTTACTGCATTGTTTAAAATTAAAGTAGATTTTGCTGTTTCCATACGCTTATTTTCATGTTGAGTATCTAAATCATCCAGTATCCCAGCTGCATGAGTTTCGGAAGTAATAATGTTTTCCGACAAAATTATTTTTCGGTTAGCTATGTTTTCAGTTGCATTGCTCGAATTCGGGAAATATTCGTTTATAGCTCCTGCTGGCTCTACTTCTGTTACTTGTAACGATTCAGATTCTGTCACAGTTGACTTTATTTTGCTATGCGGAAACTTTTTAATTGGAAGAAATTCTTCTTTTTCTTGAATTAGTTGCACATTTTCAATAATTGGAAAAGAAGTATCTAATTTTATGTTAGCTTTAACGTCTTCTCGTCTTTCTAGTAAAATGTTACTGGCTTCATTAGCAGGAATTACTTCAATTTTAGTATCAGGTATATCCGTGGCAATTTCCTTAATATATTTTATAGTTTCAGAGTGAATTTCTTGGACTTCATCACTCTCATTGCAATCTTCACTGAGTAAAGGTTTCAATATTTTTAATGCTTTTTGACTCGATTCTTCTTGTTTTACAATTTCTTCGATAATATTTTTCTGTATTTTTGTTTTATCTGTAATATTTATAGTAAAGTGTATTAGGTGGAAATGTACAAGTTGGATAAAAGTCTGAACTGGCTGATTGATTGAGATTTGTATTATTACTACCTTATCTGTGATCTGACAAACAGATTAAATAAGTAATTTTAATATTGTGGTACTATGATTTTTAAATGTGAATCTTGGTATGTTACTAGAATATTTACAATAGAATAAAGTACTCAGCTAGATGCAGGAAAATAAGACAGCTAAACCTGCTTAATTTTTCAGTATTCAAATAAACAAAATAATCCAACGACTCTAGGATAAATTCTAACAGACATCTGCCTTTTTAACCAACTTATATACATAATATATATTAATATACTTATACTGATACTACGTCTATTTAAAAATCTCAAGCTTCTATAAATAATTTTAAACATATTTATATATTTCGATATATTACATTTTACAATAAATAATCACGTTGTAATGTATATGGGTTCCTGTAGCCAACCACCAACCAGGTTGGCGCTAATAGTATTATAATTAACGAATACTTTAAATCGTGCATTCAAAGAAGTTTTAATTCATCAAAATTTTATCTTTGTAATGGATTATGATATCTTTAGCCTTACCTTTTAGTGTTAGATTTCTTGCCCAAGTACTTGCCGTTCCAAAGCATTGCGAAAACACTGTTTAAGCTTTAAGCCATGCCTCTATTTGCATAAAATAAATCATTAAAAAATACGTTGTAATATGTAATGGTAATGACGCAATGTTGCGAATAATTAAATTCAATAATATTACCTAGAACTATTAACTACGCATTATTGCATTTCTTCGAATTTGGTAATTAACAAAACTTTACCAATACACGAACTTTCGTTTTAACTTTACAAGCTTCAATCATCATGCAAGGTCACTTTAAAAGTTAATAGGTATTAATTTTAAAAGATTAAGCTAATAGTATGAATAAAGCACGTAACTTATGTGGAGAAATACGATATTTTGATTTTGTACGACTTTAGTAACGGGGGCTTTTTTACATGAACCGATCAGTCTTTTAAGTTATAATATAAAAGCGTCACCTGTTTTCGTTTTTTAAATAATGATAATATGATAAAACAATTTTCAAACAGTTCCTTTTAGTTAATGTCAACTGAAAATGGCTTACAGTCTGGAAAGTATAAAAAATAGCAAAACCAAAATTCATATTAATCATTAATATATCTTCATATTACGTGAGACGACTATTAATAATATTGATTTTTGATTGACACGACTATAGATAAGTTTTTAAAACATTCACAACTATTTACATAATTGCAAAATCATGGTGGCAATAGTAAAAAATATGTATTGGCTTAAAAAGGCTCGGTTAAATTGATGGGTATAAATTATTATAATTGTGTTGTAGTTCTGGTATGTAAAGGTAAGTAGCTAAAATCTATAATATAGTGCGTCTGCGATCAGTATTACCGAAGGGATACATAAATTTTAAAGGTGGAAATGAAAAGAATCACGTACATGTGTTCCGTTTATCGTAAACATAAAAAACGTTTTATGAAAACAAATACACATAATATAGGTTTAATAAATTATTGCACACATTTAAGTGTATGAATAACTAACTGAACTTGAATTGAAATGATATTTTACAAGCTAAAAAAAACACTGTTTTTTTTTTGCATTAAATGCACTAAAAAGCCATGATAGGTTATTGTTATTTATGTTAAATTAAGAAGTTACACAATTTTTGAGCACAGTCTCTGTTTGTGCTATATTTCTGTTTAATGTGTGTAATAAGCGCAAATTTTCTTCAGGCCACAAAAAGAACTTAATTTTAACAATATTGATTATATCGGGTCATTTTAAGCTGCAACCTGCAGATTTAGTGTTTATTTTACACATAATCTTACCTTTGCTTATTTTTTCTTTCCTCTTACTTGAATCTATAAACAAAACCCTGTGTTAATTTTTTATTAAACAATACAATCGCTATTCTAGTAATCTCGTTACTAAAATACTTTTGAGATGATGATGATTACTTAATGATAAATGATGATAAATGATTACCTACTTAAATATTATTTTCTGATTACCATTTCTTTATTATACTAGCATGATTCCATTTCAATAATTAAGAATATACGGTGACCTAATCTACAATACGTAATTATTTGTTATATACACTATTTTTTGAAATCTTACCAATACCCTAATATTAATAAAATTATTAAAAATGTAATTAACATTTATTTGGTTTAGACAAACTCGTCTATGACCCAAGCTTCCAGTAAAGAAGGCTCAAAAGTGAAAATTGCCCTCGCGAAAAGCTTCAACAAGCTTAAATCCTTAATAAGCTTTCACTACCCAGCAGGTTTATAGGACCAGTACATAAACCAGTCATTCTTAATTCAGCGCGTATTGTGAATAGTTTTTTATTTATTTAATATAAACTTATAATGTCAGCATAATAATTTTATATCCACATTCAACTATTTTTAAAACTAATATTAGCATTTACTTTTAACCTTTTCGTATTTATTCTACTTACCTTATTCTTATGACAGTAATAACAGTACTAATTAATTTTCATAGTAAATGTAACTGACACACCATTTTTGATAAAGCGAAAATCAGATAATTATAATTTTGCACCCGTGAATCTTGGGTATGATTTTCAACATACTTCATTCTGACTCACCTTTTATGACTTTTGTGGTGTGTGCTTCGACTACATGATCTGCAGTCGCTTCCACAATAACCTGCAATTAATTGTTATCCTGATAATCAAGGTTGACCAATCTCACATACCTAAATGATTCGGATTCATCAAATGTTTGGATAGATAGAATTCAAAAGATTATAATTAGTGTCAATGAAAAATTTAAAATTAATATAACAATTTAAATGACTTAAACATGTTAACAAAAAGTACTTTATTTACCTCATTTGCTGCTCTTTGTTCCCAGGAACGTGGCTTAAAATCTTCTGGATAAAACTGAGCAATAACTTCCTCAACAGAAGAATGCTTCATTTCGACCATTTTAAGGAAAGCTTTAAAACCTACTTTGGCGGCAATAATATCTTCATCTTGTGCCGTCTCTTCTGTAAGCACTTCAGTGATCAACGCTCCGTGACCTTGTCTTTCAACTAATTGTACTAGAGCTGATTGTGACTGAGGAATCAGAAGAGAAGGGAAGTATTGTGAATCATACAAACTCTCTATTTGTTCAATCGTAATACCTCGTCTTAACAAATAACCAATTTTAGCAAGCTCTCGTAAAGGCGTCTCTCCTGGTCCAAATTCTTTTGCGTTAATAACTTCCAGTAACTCATTCACTTCAGCTACAAGGTTTGAATCAGCTTCCACCATTTTAATGATACCCTTCTGCGTTTGGTAGGATTCATCAAACGGTTCAACAGATTCACCTTCTTGTTGTTCGGATAAAACTACGTGTTCATGTGTAGTCAAAATTGGTTTTGCTTTTTCTTCGACTGGTATACCTTTTGTTTTTTCATCTACTTTCTTTTGTAGTGCTATATCTTCAGTTTCTATATGCTCAGATTCACTCACGACAATCTTTGCTTTTCTTTTCTTTACTTTGTCTGTAGAATGTTGTTTATCTAGTGCTTGAACTTCAGAAACAGTAGCAAAATCAAGGGTATCTTCAACACCTACAGATTCTTCTTCACTCTTAATTACTTTTTGCTTGGTAACTTTTTCTTTCGTCTCTTTTCCTTTTTTAATTTTGGAACCTCTTTGGAAAACTTGCAGCTTCGCTTTGGTTACTGCTAAACCAATGTCGCTAACAGCTTTACAGGTATATGTGCCTTCTAAGTCTTTGGTTGCCTTTTTAATTGTGCATGTGGTACGATTTTCTTTGTTTTCAATAATGAAACGTTCATCAGTACGTATAACCTTATTATCTTTATACCAAAGTATTTCTGAAACATTTTCGTTATTGAAATTCATATTTCTCTATAAAATCAATAAAAACTTAAGTATTTTGTAAATGTTACTTCATTTGAAAATGTTAAAAATACCTGGCGTTGGATTTCCGCTATAAATCGCTTCGAAGGTGACTATTTCTTCTTCGTGTACTCGCTCTGGGATAATTTCCTTCACAAATGTAGGCACAGATTGTGTTGCTGAAAATTTAAAGGAAAACCCATAAACGATTCATATTCGTTATATCTATAAATGGATTGAATATTATGCTCAATTACACAATCAAAATTACAATCGTACGTATTGTTGCTAAACTCTAACTCTTCCAGTCCACTTAATAGACAGGAATCATGAAAGAAAATAAACAAATTGAGTTGTACTTTCAAGTTTTTCGTAGATTTATGTAACGTATCACGTGCTGTGCTAAAAATGTTTGGAAAATTTTGCTAACAATATTTGAAAGCTCACCTTTCAAAGCTGCTTGTAACTCTTCCATGTGTGTCACCCATTCGGGCTTTCTATATTCTTGTGTTCCCACAATACCTATAATTAAAAATTTATAACAGTGAAGTCATTTCTTGCAGATTACTTTTTAATTAAACATTCAATATGAGCAAAACATTAAGGTATCTTTTGTTACTAAAAAAAAATACAAGTGCTAAAAACAATTTGCGTCATTTAAAAAGTAAATTTTTTTGGGTCCAAAATATTTTCTTGCTGAAAAGTAATTGGCGCGTAGTGTAAACTGTATCGTGTATATGGGGGTAGGAATAAGGTTTTCAGGAAAATGAGAGAACGCAGAGATTTTGAACTGCAAACAAAGGTTATTATAATGCTGTATAATAATAGAATAAAACCCGGATGTATTTTTCTTCCATACTAACTTTCAACCGACAACGCAGCAATTGTCGCTGTTACCCCAAGATGATTGTAGGCTTCGAAGACAATTTCTCCTGTGTCGTCTTGATAAACTTCTGGCATTGTTAAAATAGAAGTACCATCGTCTAATTCTTCAATTTGATACTCAGTAGATTGAAGAAGTTCGGTACCCTGTCTTAACCATCTGACTTGTGGTTTAGGTATGCCAATAGCTTTCGCCTCCAATCTAAAAGCACAGAACAGCAATTAACACTGCATAATAATATCATTATGTTTAAGCTACTAAAATAAGTTGAAAATAATTTATATGCTGAAATAGAATTGGCTGTTCTCATTTATTATATTACTAGTGCGTAAAAATTAACATATTTACACTAAAATATTAACAATTATTTCATATAATAATAGAAATGCTATTTATGGAACATGGATATTCATCCATTGCAATGCTATTTCTAGTGAATGAAATATTATAATCTTTTAAACAAGTATTCGAGCTGAATAAATTAATAGGTAAATAAGTAGTTATCAATTATTAGATCATTCATATTACAGTCGTACCTCGACATATGAGTTTAATTCGTTTCGTAACCTTGCCCGTATCTCAAAGCAATTTTCCGCATTGAAATTTATTGAAATGCCATTAAGTCGTTCCAAAGCTCTCAAAAAAACACCTCAGTCGTTCTTTGTTAAGTGTTTTTGAATAAGAAAAAAAAATGTATTTACAATAAGATTTTTTTTATTATAAATACATAAAAACATAATAAAAGAAAAAGTGAAAAAAGCAAAAAACGCGAATCCTACTTAACAAACACACAGACTAAGGTCTAGTCTGAGGTGGGAGAAACTGTTAGACGCTGCAGTGGTATAGTGTGCGATTCTTCGTATCTCAAATTTTGCTCTCTTCTCAAAGGAAAATATCGCCCGTTCGGCCGCTCGTATCTCAAAGCACTCGTATATTAGGGCACTCGTATAGCGAGGTACTACTGTATTTAACGGCGGACATAATAACTGTGCAAAGATGGCCATAACATTAACTATCTTGTCGGAGCCCCCGGATCAGTTTTCGATTCTTTTAGGCTCTTTAACTACCGATCACCATGCTATTGTGGCGTTTAAGAACGCACCTTTTTATGATGATGCGTAAACCGGAACACACGAGAGGTGGGAAAAATAAGATAGTCTGTGACACGGGGCCTTTTTACCGCCGAAAATTTAAAACGGACAAAAAAATATAATGTGTATAACTTAGATCTGTTTATGCCGCTACAACAATAAAACTCCTATTGTTTCAACTGGCGAAATAAAGAAGGGACCCTATGCGAACTCCCTCACTATTATTATGAACTAGACTCTAGATACAACCCATTGAGTTTCTCGCCCGATCTTCTCAGTGCTCTCGCTGGACCGATTGTTAGCAAATTCTTTGAGGTTCAGCCCGTTCACCTAGTAATCCATGAGTAGCTGGAATAGCACCTTAAGCTACCAGCGATTAGGTATGCAAAAAACATTAACTGTACGTTGAAAAATACATATAAAATTAATATATAAGTATATAATAAATATATTATGGAGTGTTCGATCCTCTAATAAGTATTCTAAATTAAAATTTCAAATAATAAGAACCTTATTAATTTTCCTTCAGTTGTTGTGACCACAGTGGGTAGTGCCTTTACTATCCGTGGTGCAAATTCTTCAACATCGCTCGTTTTCTGAAAAAAATAAAAATTTAGATACAAAAATGCCGGTATTCAAAGCCCGCAGGCAGGTACCAATTTTTTAAGAAAATACATACCTACCACGTGTTCACTAATGATTTCTACGATGAAGAATCGCTTTTATCTATGGAATCCGATAATCACTAAAGACCAGATTAACCCTGAGATAGTTGACCCGTTTACAAAAAGCTGCCAAGTCACATATCATTGCTTTTAAATGATAGTTTGGGGCGCATCAAAACCTTAGTCCGAGACAATGTTTATGTACTTAAATAAGAATAGAGGCCTTTGTTTCAGGAAATAACCATTCACTGGGCCTCAAAATGTGTGATGTATGTGACTCAACAAATTCCTCAAGGCGCCCAGACCTATACTACTACAATCAGAATTTTGGTAAGAACCACTCGTGTTTGTTATATGGCTAATGTTATTGGGATGTTATAGAAAAATGATAAGTTAGTTAGTTGACTTACTCCGATAATAATATTTAATTCCTAATAATTTATACAAATTTTCGAATTTTGCACCCGTATTATTTTTACCGCCCTTTTTTTATTTTTGAGGAATTGTGGAAGGAATGTGGAAAATGTAATTCCAACACAATGTATGCAAATTATTTTGGAAACTTACTTTTTACCGTCAACACGAAATAAGCGTAAAACTGTAATATTTCGTAATCTACGCTTAACGATCACAAAATATTATATCAACAATGGCGAATTTTAGGTTGCAGGTTCCTTTCATCAATCATTCGGACCGCGTAATGTGTAATACGGAATAACTTCGGCTAAACTAAATTTATGGCGGGCTTCTTGATTAGAGGTATAATGAAACTATGGTGTTGAGATATAAAGCGTTCAAAACAAACGGTAATGCTCACAAAATAAAATAAATAAGCAAAAAAAACTTACTTCGTCACTCAACACATCTTCCTCTGAAACACTAGGAACGTATTCGTAAGCTGAAAAAGAAAAGATACTTAGAACTTATAATAATATCTAAGAATCAATTACTTAAATAAAAGTGCAGTTATTCTAACTTAACCAAGATGTTCGTAATAATCTTTTAGAATATTGAAATGTACCTCAAATATAAACGTGGGAAGCAAACAAATCAGTTAATATTACTAAGCATAGAATGATGGTTAGCATATTTATTTTTATAATGATCGTAAAATTTAACTTAAATTGCAAGTAAAAGTCAAAAAGGCGGTGCAAATATTTTTTGAGCATGTTAAGCATGTCTATACCCAATAACCCAAATAGCAATTATAAAACGTTCCGTTTCAAATCTCTTTAGGCTTACTCATAATACAGATGCATGGCAAATGTTGTGCATTCATTAATGTTAAAGTAAATTAAAAAAAAAACTACAGTTTTAAAGCCTACTTATTTCAAAAGTCGTAAGTATCATAGAACAGCATTTTTCATGCAACTATGATAACATGCAAATGTACAGATAATAAAAATTTATCCTGCTACCTTCTATATTTAATATGCACTCCGTGCTACATTTTCCGAATTGATTTGATGCTGTGCATTTATAAATTCCTGCCATTTCTGGGAATGCCTCTTTTATATGTATTTCACAAAGACCAGACTTTTGTCGGCTAATAGTTATGTCTCTTGCTGTTTCAATAAGTTTTTCATTATGAAACCAATCTATTTTGGGCCACGGTCGACCAAGTATTTTACAATTTAACGAAATCCGTTCCCCGTCCATAACAGTCGTAGTTTCTAGGGGAGCTAATACTAAAGGAGCATCCCCATCTATACAAGTTTGTTCTTCTAAAATCAAACTTCCTGATGTAGAAACAGAGCCTGCAAAGTTTTCTGCTCGGCACGTTACAACTCCTATCAGATCTTTGCTTATATTTTCAATACAAAGACATGAAACGTTTTCATTATGAGATACATAAACATTACTTAATTTGTTTTGTTTTATAAGCGAATTTATTTCATTAGTGTCAATAAACCATTGGAACGAAGCACAGGGATTCGACACAACTTCGGTTTCCAAAAGCACAATAGTTCCTAAAGAAACTTTATTTGGCTGTAGAGCTCGCACAAACACGGGGGGTAAGACAGTATTTTCTTCTATATTTTTCGTTAATTTAACAGAGCATGCTGTTTTTGCTAGAATATTGTCATTTTCAACAATAACTTCATACTTTCCTACTTTCTTTTTATTGGCATTGTATACTTGCAACCTAGATGCCCCATGTTGTGTAGTAATAGCAAAATTATCATTATCTTCTAGAACTTGGTTGTTGAGGTACCATTTTGGAATCTTATCTCTTGGTGTATAAGTAACAACCAGTTCAAAATTTTCACCTTCCAACACGTTCAAGGCTTTTAATGGCTGAATGATACGTGGAGTTAATTCTGTAAAACAGTCATGGTTATTTTTAAACTCTATGTTAAATTTTGTAATATTTAACCGACTGCCTAGCAAATAAGTAATATTTTCGATTTACATATGTATACCCGAATGTGATTGTGTGTATATCCGAAACGGCTGCTTACTTATAGACTTTGAAAGTTATGATGTGCTTAGATTCATTTTAATTGACAGTGACATCGGGTATGCAGTTTGTAACGATAACTTTTCGGGAGTCGTGAATTTAAAGAAATGAATAGATCTTTGTGCCTAACTGTATACCATGTTATAATCAACTAATTATCGTTCAAATTTAATGTCACTGATACGCTTTTATTGTGTCAAGGCAAATCCCCACCTGTCTTCATGGTCGAGAATAATCTCCTAGAATATATTACAAAGTACTTATGACAATGTACTCAGGTTTTTTGATATTTTTTATGAGTACTAATTCATGAACTTCAAGTTCCATGCACTTTTTTTCAAATTATTTCAAAGAAGCGAAATGATTCTTTTAAGATTGGTAATACTAATGAAACTCTAACGATATAACATGGTGATACCGAATAAATAATAATGTAAAATATCCTCACAACCATTAGGTACTTGTTAACGCCTACGAAATTTTACTGAGCAATATTAAATTCTTATTTATGTTCACCGACACAATTTTTACACACTTCAATTAATGGCCGTGCCAAGCTAACTCGTTCGTAACGTAAAAAGTTAACAAAACCTGTATAAAGGAAATACAAGCACAAAATTGATTGTGAAAGTTTTATTAAGAAACCCAAGCATCCAACAGTACTTGTTTAATTAACTTAAACAAAAATATATTATATTTCTTTAATGTATAAAATACTGCGTCGGAATCCACATGTTTTTGTTTCCGTCGTGACAAGAGATATTGAATACATCAAGTCATGTTTTTGTAATAGCGAATATGTGTGTACATATTATTATGCGTAACGCGGCGCTTTTGTAGTTTAAAGGAGATAAAGGCTTATACTACTATGCTACTTTCAACTTTGCATTCCCACATAATTTAAATAAAATCTACTTTTTTTAAATATTCTGAATCTATTCTGTTTGACTACGTTTCCTTCGAGCATACCTATAAGTTTTCTTCTAAATTTTTGTAAGTATTCGTAGATCGTCATCACTTCTAATTAAGTCGCCCAAATTTATGTAGACAATATCTTTGATGATGACTATAAGATAAACAGCGAAGGCCTGCCATGATTATTCACGAGTATAATCGAAACTGCTTACTTTTATATTATCAACCATGCATCTGTTTCAGCTAATAAATTACATTTATGAGATGTAATCTTTCTTCAATTTTGCTGTTAAACTTAAAGATTATCAACGAAATCATCGTAAAAATTCAGATGTTATTTGGAATGTGAATTTTAACTTGCTATTAGGGTATGTATGACCAAATTAAACCCTTCGTGAGTATCCTAAGCTATTTTGGTCTTCTTCTTCAAATTAAGAATATAAAAAAGTAATTTAAAGTACCTGTACTGTCTTTTTCTATTATATGTGAATCTTTTTCGATGGGCTTATCTTTCCTGACCGGCTTAAGTTGGACTTCCTCGGGCTTCTCTTCTTCAGGCTCCTTTTGCTTTGGTATGGGTTTGAGAACGACCTCTTCTTGTGGAGTTTCTTCCTTAGGTCGTCTCTTACCACTGGGCCATTTACGTTCTTCAGGCGTTACATCGTCAATTTGCTTCTCTTTTTTAACTGGTTTAAGTTGGACTTCCTCGGGCTTCTCTTCTTCAGGTTCCTTTTGCTTTGGTACGGGTTTGAGAACGACTTCTTCTTGTGGAGTCTCTTCCTTAGGTCGTCTCTTACCACTGGGCCATTTACGCTCNCACGACTCGTCGTCGCCGAGCATCGATGCCACAACACTCGGCAACGACAAGTCGGTTCCTATTTTTGCGACGAGGACACGGCGCCACCCCTCCCATGCGGGGCAGGCGACGAGCGTATGCTCTGCCGTGTCCAAGTCGCAACCACAATGGTGGCACTCTGCCGTCGGCTCGGCTGTGATCCGGTGCAGGAACTCACCGAAACAACCATGCCCAGTGAGCACCTGCGTAAGCCGGAAAGTGAGGCGTCCTCTGTCACGATTCACCCAATCCACAAGGACCGGGCGAATCGCCTCGACGGTCCTACGACCAGCCGAAGGATCGGCCAGCCGGATGTGGTTACATAATCTCAAATGACATTAACTTTTTTTATCTATGTAATAATAGTAACAGGTTACGAAGTTGGAAGGTCACTTTGTGTTTTAATATACTAATCATCTGTATCAACAAACATTGGCCTTGACTATATACGCTGCTGTGATCACTTTTTTTTAAAAGGTCTTATGTCTTATATAAATAATTAAGCATGTTTAAGTCTATAACATAAGAGTTAACTTTTTGAGATATGATCAGACGTAACTTGAATGATAGTTATTATGAAAACTAGTAATTATATACGTACTATAATTATTAGGTTTGTTCTTCTGTGAATTAATGAGTAAATTGGCCGCATAAGATATTTCTAGTTGCTAAAATAATAATAAAAACTACTATTTGTTTCCTGTCGGCAAATAAACACATTATTTACTTCTATAACATTCCAAATCTACTCTTAGTTTTCTTAGTTGTCCTATGATTGTTTAGCTTATTGTGCGCTAAGTGTTATCTTTATTTTACTATACTAGCTGTTAAAAGAATATTCATATTTTCAATAACAGCCTATAGTTTATACCGTGTTAAGGGATACCTATGCTAATAAAAAAAAAGCTTACTTAGTATTAGAATATTCTAAATTTAACTTAATCAAATTCACATAATTCAATTTCATTCAATTATAATAGAAGGTAGAATTGACTGTAATGTAACTCACCTGTTTCTATACAAAAACCAATTGCAACCATTTATAAGTACATCAACGTTGAAATCTATCAGTCAACTGAGGTATGAGTGTGGCCTTAGATAATAACTAGCGTTATTTGAATATATCTAATTTGTTCGTGTCCAGGACGAGCTTTTATATATAGATAGACATTTATTGCATTGACGGGCATGCGAACTCACAGCCCTCTTAGTGTTAAGTGGTTAGTGGAGCCCATAGACATCTACAACGTAAATGCGCCACCACCTTGAGATATAAGTTCTAAGGTCTCAAGTATAGTTACAACGTCTGCCCCACCCTTCAAACCGAAACGCATTACTGCTTCACAGCAGAAATAGTCAGGGTGTGGGTAACCTACCCGTGCGGACACACAAGAGGATTACCACCAGTAAAGTACATAAAATATGTAGAATGGTAGAATCTTAGAAGCACGAATAAGTGGGTATCATGAAGCCCGCTAATCTAAGAAGTTTTTAACAAGTCCTATTTTCTGTATACACTTTTCTTTCCAACTAACAAACTCACCTCTACTATACTATTCTGTCTATGAATTAATGAAACTTTTATAATTATTCATGTTATGAACAGTAAAACAAAACTCACGCATGAGCTCACCACACGTGAGGCACGTGAACCGTAATGTCAGTTCATGAACAAAATGAAACGTGAAAGTCTAGAAATATTTTTATAGAAAAATAGACGTTAGTCAAAACAATAAAAATGTCGATGAATAACACCTTAGTCGTCAGAGATCACGAGAACTGTAAATTAGGTATTCAAAACGTGAGAAAACGTCAAATGTAACAAATTAAATGGGCAAGACTATATCTTAAAAGTAATTTTAATTATATACCTATACGACTCGATTTTTTTTCCCTACCTATTCCCTTTTTTTTTATTGCCCGTGTAGGCAGACGAACATACGGCCCACCTGATGGTGAGTGGTTACCGTCGCCCGTGGACTTCAGCAATGCGAGGAGCAGAGCCAAGCCGCTGCCTACCGTTAAGTACTCTCCACAAGCCTCGTTTGAAGAAGGACATGTCATAGCGCTCGCTTAGTCTGTAAAGGCTATTCCAGTCACGCGCGGACGGGCTGGTGAGCTCACGGGCTGAACCTGAGAAAATTTGCCAACACTAGCCCTACCAAAAGCAGTACTTCGCAGTTTTTTTTTTATTGCTTAGATGGGTGGACAAGCTTACTGTCCACCTGGTGTTAAGTGGTTACTGGAACCCATAGCCATCTGCAACGTAAATGCGCCACCCACCTTGAGATATAAGTTCTAAGCTCTCAATTATAGTTACAACGGCTGCCTCACCCTTCAAACCGAAACGCATTACTGCTTCACGGTAGAAATAGGCAAGGCGGTGTTACCTACCCGTGCGGACTCCCAAGAGGTCCTACCACCAGTAAAAAGTCACCAGTAACCAGTCTACCACTGGATCGGAACCCCGACCCACCGAGAAGATCCGGCGAGAAACTCAGTGGGCTGCATCTATGGTACAGATCACAATATTAAAACTACACATAGAATGCTTTATCAGCAATGCTTAAACACATTATGTATGTCGGGTTACGAGTATACGAGATATATGATAGAAATATACACACGCATTCATCAGAGATCTTGTTGGCACATACTGGCTATTTATTATGCACTGACAAGGCCCAGATTATCAATTACACATTACGTAAGTCTCTAGTCTTTAGCGATATAAAAAAACTGACGATGTTCCTTTTACAGCGTACAAAGATGAATGACCTCACTCACGGTTGACTTGATTTTATAACTTTGATTTCTAATTTGATTTGTATTTAATATACAACGGTTTTTCTGCCGTTTAAAATGGAATATTACTGCTTGGGAGCGGAAATCTGTATACTAATATTATAAAGCTGAAGAGTTTGTTTGTTTGAACGCGCTAATATCTGGAACTACTGGTGCGATTTGAAAAATTCTTTCAGTGTTACATAGCCCATTTATCGAGGAAGGCTATAGACCAATACAAGCGGAGCACCAATAAAGAATGTTTCAAAATCGGTATTTTTTCCCTTTTGAGAGCTTCCGCTGCGTGCGCTGCAGAAACGGTTAAAGTTTCGCTAAAATATTGTATAACAGAATTGTTTCCCTTTAAAAGATCTAAAAAAAGTCCGCGACAGCATATTTCTGTATGTTAAGGTTGGCTCACTTTAATGTTTTTTATGCCAACCAAATTTGTTCTAAAATAAAGCTTTATTTGTGAACTATTCCACGCGAAGTCGCGGGCAAAAGCTAGTATATTTATAAAAGTCAACTGCTTCGATTGGGAATTGAACTCATCAGCCCTGTAATACAGTAGTCAAGTAATAACCATAAGACCAACAGCACAACTTCGTCTGATACTTTTAACGTAACGTTTTTTTTTTTTTTGTCAGGAGGAAATCGCCGGGCTTCCGCCCTCCACTGGGGATGGAGGGCGGAAGCCCGGCCCGGGGATGGGGATGTTGGAGTTGAACCGACTAAAACCTCCTGTCGCTCAACAACCAGCATCCAAAACTCGCATGAGACAGAACTCATGAAAAGGCAAAGGGGGGAAGGCGAAGCGTTTAGTGCGGAGCACATCTCTCCCATCACCCTCCCCCTCGGGACGCCGGACTGGCGGTCGTCGGCGCCACGACCACCAGTCCTCTCGGTCGGCAGGCTATCCGAAGCCCGCCCAGATGGCACCGGTTAGAATGGTTAACGTCACGTACTTTATTCCTATTACGTGGTAATACGCCTCCGAACCTTGTAACGTGAGACCTAAATCTCAATTACATCGAAATAATAACTGAGATGGGAATTAAAAGGAGTTGAATACGTTGTCATAATGATTCCGCCGAGTCAGTGTGGCACCGCCAAACCAGCTCTCACGATAGAAATGAATAAAAAATAAAGATCAATTTATAATTTAATTTATTTTTTAATAAAGATTAATTTATTTTAATTCCTCTTCTTCTTCTTCTTTATTTCATTTGTTTGAAAAAATGATAGTAAAAGATTTTTTATCAAACAAATTATTCTATAAAAGATTAGCGAAATTATTAATACAACGGCCAATAGATCTAAGTACAGCTTCTGGTAGAAAGGCACGTGCAGTGCTGGTGAGCGCAGATGGAGAGCTCCTCTTGTCCTGGCCACGTGCTCAACCCAATGCACCAGCTCGGCACCAGGAGACACCGGACGATCGTGATATATCAACGATAGCTCCTTAATTCTGGTTCTGTAGCTGGAAGTCAAGTGTTTTGGGTTTTTTAATTGTTTTAAAGCCTAATCGGCTATTATTGCGAGGCTGTCAGTGATCTGTGATAATCTCTCGCATAGTTTCCTAACCTTTTTGCTAATTACTAACATGAATTTTCCTATCCACATCCTACAATATCCAAGAAAAGTCTTTCTTTATACCATTCTTACGTACGTAATTTACGCAAATTGGGTTAATCTTGCAAAGGGGAATAAGATAAAGATAATTAAAGAGATAATGACTCTTCTCATATAGCAGGGTCAATCTTGCAAGAAAACCATATTTACCTGGAGTCACTTAAAATTTCTTGAATAGCGACCTTAAGTTCTCCGACCATTGAGTACGAGAAATCAACTTTCTTCGCGAATCCCCTTTTAACAGCCCTTTGGACATTGATAAATTGATCACCAAAAACTGGTATTCCCACAATTGGCACTCCAAAATGTACGCTTTCGGTCGTTGACAGTAGACCTCCGTGTGTGATGAATAACACGCAATTAGGATGAGCTGTAATTATAATATACTATTGTTCAGACATGTTCCAAGATGGAGCTAACATAAAAACTCCTGCTATAAACAAGATTTTTTTACGCTTTAATCTCGCATTTTTTATTGTAATTATATTATTTCTGACGTTTCGTATACTTTACTATGACTAATACGTTATACCACAAGGCTGTTCGCTATGTGCCTTCAGCGTGTTCTCACATAATTCAGTCACATCGCTCGAAGAGGCTCCGATAACTTAGAGAAGCTGATGGTAGTTGGTCAGGTTGACGGGAGAAGATCACGTGAACGCTCACCTACCCGCTGGCTAGATGTGGTAAGGACGCTCACCGGCCTACCAATAACTAAGGCTATAAAGACCGCCGAGGACAGGAAGACATAGGGAAGCATAGTGGATCGAGTGATCAACATTTCAAACTAGACACATCTACAACGTCTACAAAATGCTTTAAGTCTTTCGCTGAATAGCTAATAATACTACACAAATTGCTCAAGATTATATAGACATGTCATATGTGATAGCTGATATGATATAGATGATAGTTGAATATCTGAATAATAAGCTGTTTGAACAACCACTAAATTTGCGAGAAAGAGGTTCTTAGACATGAACTTTTACAAATGGTGATGAGTCCAAACCACCCTATTTTTCCCGATTTATTATCATGGATAAAACCTTTTTACAAGTCGTCGTACACTTCAATTGAGATTTGAAAGCAATATCTCAAATGGTCATACTGATAACGTTACACCCTCTACAGAGCATTTCCAGTAATCATTTCCCCACACATCACAAAACGTCTGCTATAAACTCCCGCCCTCTCAATTTACGACCAAGCTATTGTTTCACCAGTAGTATGATGCTATCTTATTTATTTTTATCAGGTTAGTAGATTAACTTGCGCTCGTGACAAGTGTCTATTGTACATTCCAAAAAATTGAATTGCAGACTTAGTACTCACAATTTAAAGGTTGTTAATTGACAAAGGTAATTGTGTGAATATAGGTAGAAAGCCTAAAATGTCCACAGTGAAATAATTAAATTAACTCACATAAAATACTTGGTTGTGGTGCCCAATTTACGATGTGGACGTTTTTCGGGAGATTCGGGAAGTCTTCCTCAAACTTCCAGATAATAGTCTGTTTCAATTCACCGAACATTTTTACAAGATTCTGCTTCATCTCATCTGGCATTTCTGTACTCTTCAAATTTGATCCCATACTGAAATAGATGACACCGTGCTTTGCGTTTTCCATTATCTTTTTGAGGTCCTGTGAAATTCCAAAATACGTTTCTATTTCTTATCCTTATAGGATTGACTCAAATGTATATGTGAGGTTTAGCTGCGAAACTCAAAATGCGGGTTCGCCAAATCCTCATGTTTTATTTTGATTTAACTTAAACTTTTACGATGTGACGTCTGATGTAATTTCTGGTAGCTTTACGCTGCTATACGAATAATTTATACATATTTAATAAACTACATTATTTACAAACAGCGAATTGTTTGAGTTTAGATATTTTTACAGTACGTACAGCTGGTAAAGGTTTCACAACTTCTTCTATATGGTATCCAGCGATGGGTTTGTAGCTCTGCGGAGTTCCGGTTGCTTCTCCCAAAGATACATGCGAATTTCCGAGTACTAAAGAAGCATTGAACTTCAAATCCTCAAACGAAGGCGCCTTCCTACCTTTTTTTTCAATGAGTGGCCTCACTAATCTGTCGTACGATATCTCTTGATCATCAATGAGCCTAGTAAGAAAAGTTAGTGATAATAAGTAAATATAATTTTGCCTTAGACATAACTCGGGGAAGTCGATATTATTTACACTCGTAATTAATCAATGAAATTTAAGAAATATTAAAATCTAATTAGTTTAAATTATCCTAACCTTCAGACCAAGCGCTGGCTGTTTCTACATCAGTAAAAATTTGTACCTAATGAAACTTGTAAACAATCTTGGATTTTATATTTATTAATACATGCATATGAGATAGTACTAAGCTTTAAATCAACTAGAGCCGTCTATTATTATTTGAATTAAAAATGCCTTTACAACAAAACATTCCGATTTACGTACACTGGTTCACTGTTGCAATACTTACAATAAATAACTAGTGCGAATTTGAATCCAGAGTTCCTTGACTCTTTGCAAGAACGTAAATGGAGGAATACTGGAAGATATAGAATCCCCGTTGTAGGCTGGATTTAGATTCCCATCGATGAGCCTCGTCACCAACCAGTGAGGCTCCATGGTCGACAACCATATAAGTGGAACATCGAATACCGCAGCATAGCTAAAATAAATAAATAAAAATAAAAAAAAACTTCAGAGGTGTCAAGGGACACCCGGATGGAACGAAGTTCCTTTCGATTAATTAGTGAAGGAATTGTATATTTTTTTTAAAGTTATAATAATAAATTACGGCATTATGAAGAAGAAAAAAACAATACTATGAACTAAATTACTATTGTTGAAACGCTATCTCGAGAAACTGTACTCATTACGCGGACCAATCGGATACGAGCAATGTCACGCGATAAGCGCCTACACGTTGATTGGTCAGAATGACGGATCTAAAAAGTGTCGTGACAACTTTTCGTAAGAATTTTTTCCGCCTAGCCCCCTTTCACAACGCGCGATAAGGAACTTCGTTCCAAAAAGAAATAAATAAAAAAAAGCGTGGGGTGCTTTTTAAGATATTATTGAAATTAATAATTCTTCTACTCATATCTGTCAGAAAAATATTTATAACTAATAACACCATGCACCACCACCAGGCCTTTGCCAACTAGCAAACGGACTTACAGAAAGTAAAAAAGCACCAAATACGTGAACAATTTGTAAAATACATAAATACATATATCAGTATAAGTGCAGTAGTTTAAGAAACGTGACTCACTGAGAAGATCAGGCGAGAAATGCAGTGGGCTGTGTCTATGGGTTAATTTACTCGTCGAGCCGACGCGTTCGGCGAGGACGATATAGGAATGTCATAAGTGAGATTCAGGTATCTGTCAAATGTCTTGTGTGTTCTATAATACCGCCACATTTGAAACACATAGCGCGAATCTTCAAATAGTAAATTAATTTTGGCGCTTTAATGTGATGTCCCAACTCTATCGACATCTAGCTATGCTTGCAAACGGAAATGATGACTCACCTAGCACCCAATTCGCAATACATCCACTCAACGATAACAATATCGAAGGTCTTATTCGGGTCCTCGAGCAACTTTTTAACTTGCTCATGCTCCAGAGTAGCCTCCTGTATTTGTTTCATGAAATAAAACATAAACCCGTTGTCTATTACGTTTATCTGTTTGTCTAGAACTCTCTTCAAGTCTAATCCGCCCTCTAAAAGTGGAAACAAATTTTATGATTTACATAATATTATGCCACGATTGTAAATGTGAATATTTTTGAGCTATTGCATAGATTTTATCGCGGGCTTTGAGCGCGGCGACCGAATCAAGAAATTTCGTAACGAAAACAACCTATCACCTCTCCGCCTACCATGTAGCTCGCGTTCAACACATTCACACGTTGCGCTTCTGTAGTGTTTGTGAATAACCGCGCGGCGTGACGTCGCGCTGCATGCGCATCATGAAAAGTCTGCCCATCTCTCTCTCGCGCGGTCTAGCTTATGAGTGTGAAGGGGACAGTTAATGTTTTGCTTTAGTTAATGTTTATAAATATAGCGTGGTCTTATTTTATTATTGTTTTAATATTAAATTATTATTGTCTAATTACAATTGCATAAGTTGATAAAAAATGCTATGCAATAGCTTTACCGTGACAGTCCCCAAGTGCCACACGTGTTTTTTTTTCTCTAGACGGTTTGACTCAAAAATGTGTCGTTTAGGTTTAGCCTTTACGTCATTCTACCATGAGAGATTAGATGGAAATTTTCACGAATTTCTTGATATTAAATTGTGTTCCATAGTGTTATATTTAACCCTTTTAGTGTTAAGCTTATTTCCACATAGTCTGTAGAGATTGCTAAAGGATTTTTAATAAAAAGTACTTTCAAAAAAACTTATACATTTCTAGCAAAATTCATAGCAAATATAATTTACAATCAGAGCATATTTTACAATAAAATATATCATACCATTATAATATTATTTTTGCTTTTATTTTATTCCGAGATTGTGGTTATTATTTTTATTTAATTCTGGTATACTATATGAAATATTAATGAATGTAATATGGATGCAAAATTTGAAGTAAATGAAATAAATAAAATAAAATTAATATTATAGATTATGAAATAGTTATTTGTTCATGTCACACAGATCCAATCCAAACAATACATGAAATTTCAATATTTAAATCCAAAATAACATGTCGACTTAGATAATGATCTGCAATAATCCGCGTGATATCAGGTTATATATTGTGTGATAATTATGATACTAGGTCAGAGACCTAAAGCTATTGCAATATCATTTTCATAATCATCATGTTCTAAAAAAAATACCTACTCTGAATATATAATAGATTCGTAGACATGTTTGAAAGATACTTTAAATAATAGGATAGATCAATCCTTATAACAATAAATGTAATGTGTTTTGTTGTAACATACTAGGTATCAAACGCATATTGCTGCTAACATCAACTTGAGTCAGGTTCGGGTGGTGATTGCCCTCAACGAAAGGAGTTACATATGTCACCTGAAAAAAAACACCTCCATTAATCTATCTGTGACGGGTAGCCATCATACAAACGTAAGATATTTAACGGTGAAGGAATAACATTGTGTAATAACAATCAAACCCGCAAAATTATAATTTGCGTAATTACTGGTGGTAGGACCTCTTTCTTATGAGTCCACACGGGTAAGTACCACCACCCTGCTTATTTCTGTCGTGAAGCAGTAATAAGTTTTGGCTTGAAAGGTGGAGCAGCCGTTGTAACTATACTGAGACTTTAGAACTCATGTCTCAAGATGGGTGGCAGCGTTTACGTTGTAGACGTCTATGGGCTCCAGTAACCACTTAACACCAGATGGTATGTGGTGAGCTCGTTCACAAATCTAAGCAATAAAAAAAAACGTGTGGCACTCGGGAACTGCCGCGGTAAAGCTATTGCATAGCATTTTTTATCAACTTATGCAATTATAATTAGACAATGATAATTTAATATTAAAACAATAGTAAAACAAGACCACGCTATATTAAACATTAATAAAAGCAAAACATTAACTGTCCCCTTCACACTCAAAAGCTAGACCACGCGAGAGAGAGATGGGCAGACTTTTCATGATGCACATGCAGTGTGACGTCACGCCACGCGCTTATTCACAAACACTACACAAGCGCAACGTGTGAATGTGTTGAACGCGAGCTACATACTAGGCGTAGTGGGAGTGTCAGGTTATTTTCGTTACGGAATTTCTTGATTCAGTCGCCGCGCTCAAAGCCCGCGATAAAATCTATGCAATAGATTAAAAATTGAAACACAGCGCTTTGAAATCGGGTGTTAGCATTCACGTTATCCCGACTATAACGTTTCATTAACCATTTATCGGAATGTGTTTCGTGAACATTCTCAACCATCTAGTGTAATTATGTATAGATATCGTTTTTTTTTTTCTTTCAGAACATATTATTTACGTAATAATTAATAATCAGCACATGATTGACTTCCTGAAAAAAGGAAAGGTTATTTATTAGTATCGAAACGAACACCAGTATAATATGCGATGGCATATTATACTTTAAATTAACCTAAGGGGCTATTCTGACTACTCAAGGACTGACAGGTGATCTCACGGACTAATAGAATTTGCTAATACTAACTCTAGCAAAAGCAGTGCTTCGCAGAATCTAACGCCGGATCGGAAACGCGACCCACTGAGAAGATCCATCAAGAAACTCAGTGGGCCGTGTCTCTGGGTTAATTTACTCGCCGACCCCTTCATCGCGAGCGTTCGACGAGAATGGTAACCGGTGCTTGAGGTATCTAACAGCACCGTTAGTGGATCGGGAGGATCCGTAATGACGTGCAAGGAATTGTCAAGCGCGTTAACCTAACGTAATTACTCGATATGATTTTTATACAAAAAAAAAGTTTACAATATTTTATTAATTTAAGCTGTTTTTTTTGCCTTTGTAGGCAGACGACCATACGGCCCACCTGATGGTAAGTGGTCACCGTCGCTCATGGACGTCAGCAATGCCAGGGGCAGAGCCAAGCCGCTGCCTGCCATTAAGTACTCTCCGTAAGCCTCGTTTGAAGAAGGATATGTCATAGCGCTCGGAAAACACCGTGGAGGGGAGTTCATTCCAAAGCCGGATGGTACGTGGCAAAAAAGATCTTTGGAAACGCACTGTGGATGAACGCAGCGATTCCAGATAATATGGATGTGGATGTTTCTATTTAACAAAGTCTTTCATCAACTTCGAATGGTCGTATTAACTAAAATTTTTGCAGACGTATCAAAGGATCGCTGAGAATACAATATATTTATTATTTTCGCTTAATATCCTGAACAGGATAAACATTTATCTTCTTCTTCTTCCTATTCGCACACTCTTGACAGAGTGGTCGTTGTCATGCGTCAGTCGGATACGACCTGCTCATGACTCTCGTGGGAAATTAGTGCCTTCTGCACCAGCATTTTAGGGAGTATTTGATCCCCAAGGTTTCTTACGCCTCTTCCGTATAGGTTGTCCTGACGGGTGTACGGTTATACCGCCATTGCTCGGTCGCCATTGCCCGTTGGTTTTCTAGCAGGGAGTACCACGATAACCTGTTGGTCGCCGCCGCCATCCGGCGCGTGCAGGTGGGGTTGACGATTGGGCCGGTGAACGTAGCATTCCGATCTCCCCTTACTCCCCAAATATTTATAATAAGCTTCATATATTTTTTTATACCTAATAGTTGGACTGGCCGTATACGGATTTTTTTTATTAGTTTTTAAACCGCTTATTGTATAGTTCAACTGTAAACATGACGTTTCACAAAATACTAAAGCTTACTTAAGCTCAGTAAGAATTAAATCTACTATACGAATGTAGGTATGTAGTGAGGAGTGCCAAAAGATTCCCAGCCGAAAATGTTGTTGTCCTTTATCGTCAGACAATGACTTTCACGAGATAAACAAAACATCTGTGATAAAAAAAAGCATTCAATATTATCGTGAAAGATAATTCTCAAGTTTCTATCAGTACACAATAAAAAGTATTTGTAACATTGTAACAACTTAAGATACAAAACGCGTGAGTATCAGTCACTTAGAGCGATCTCCTTGAGACAACCTTGTATGAATAAGCGAAATTTCTTAACCCTTTGACTTCCGTGTAGGTCACCGGTGTCCTACGCAGCGCGCTGAAGTAATTATGTCGATTTTTCTCTTCGATCTTCTAACTAAGGCGCCGAAATATCGGTAGGTAGCGGCTTGGCTCTGCCCCTGGCATTGCTGAAACCCATGGGCGACGGTAACCACTCACCATCAGGCCGTACGCTAGTCTTCCTTCAAGGGCAATAAAAAAATACTCGTACCAAATACTTATCAAGTGTCATGATTTGATCACTCGTTTTTACACGCTTTATATTAACTTCACTTTTATGTATGTTTGTATGTTTGTAACTGACTCCTTTGGACGCGGTTTTGACCCACTTTAAACGGCCAGATTTCATTCAAACTTTGTAGATTTATCGAGGACCGATGACAATTCTATATGAAACAATTAATTGAAAAAAAAAATTGAAAAAATTTAAATTCAACTAAAAAACAGAAAATAAATTTCAATAAATTTAAATTGAAAATAGTGTAAAAAATATTTTTTTTTATTGTAAAAAAAGCGTGGGATGCACGGTGTTATCTGTACTTATCTATACTTATATATATACATAAATGAATTGCTGTTCGTTAGTCTCGCTAAAACTCGAGAACGGCTGGAACGATTTTGGTCTTGAATTATTCGTGGAAGTCCAAGGAAGGTTTAAAAGGTAGATAAATATGAAAATGCTCGGAATTGAATAAAAATAACAATTTTGTTTTTCCTTTGATGTGTTCCCCGTCGGACGGATTCCTTTTGTTTGTTTTAAGTTTATTTTATACAAAAGTTTATTTAGGTCTTTTATTTATCGATTGAGGCACTACGAAGTCTGCCGGGTCAGCTAGTTAGTTATAAATATTTTTCTGACAGATATGAGTAGAAGAATTATTATTTCAATAACATCTTAAAAACACCCCTATTTCTTAGTTGAATTTTATATAAAGCGTGTTTTTTTGTTTTTTCAAACTATAATTTATTTTTAAGCTATCCTTAATAATGCATATTTAATTTGCTTGCTGTAGATGATATTACTCTCATTATATTCTATTGAAGCCGGTTTTGTTTTATGTAAAATTTTTGTCTTATCATCATGCGAAAATTGAAACAAGCTAAAAACAAATAAACGATTTCTTTTTGTAAACTGATAATAACATACTACCGTTACTATTTGAATTGTAATGAAGAAAAACAAATTCATGTCATAGCCTCAAAATGTGTTTTTTATTGCTTATATGTGTGGACGAGCTCACAGCCAACCTGGCGTTAAGTGGTTACCGAAGCCCATGGACATCTACAACGTAAATGCCGCCACCCACCTTGAGATATGAGTTCGAAGGTCTCAGTATAGTTACAACGGCTTCCTCCACCCTTCAAACCGAAACGCATTACTGCTTCACGGCAGAAATAGGCAGGGTGGTGGTACCTACCCGTGCGGAATCACATGAGGTGTCACCACCAGTAAACTAAACTAACTAACTAAAATTTTGCTAACCTCATGACCAGCTTTTAGGAGATGCTTCACGACACTGTACCCCAGGATACTGTGGCTTTTGCCGGGCATAGGGAACACCACCAGGATTTTATAGGCATCAGAAATGGATTGAGTAGCCAGGAGACAGCAGACCAGGAATGTGAACTTGAACATATTCTGAAACAAAAATATGTATATTGGCAGCTATATTGGGTTCTGGTTTCGACGCAGAATAGACATGGCGAGTTTCATTGTCATTAAAAGTAGGTACGGGATCACTTTTTTCAATAATTATATTACATAATGCACTTAAATTGTAAGGACGACATCCTATGAAGGAATTTTTCATCAATCCTTTTCGAACTTCGGAAAAATGATCTTGGGTCACAATTCGTGGCCAAATTGAAATAGTTGTGAGTTAACATGGTGATTGCACGAAATTTATCCTTTTCATATTAATCCTCATAAATACAATCCTCATATGCGAGATTCTAAGTATTTGATTCCCAGCGGCAAACAGGGTCTTTCTTTATTCTTTATTTGTACAGACTGTTAATAAAATACAGTAATTGGGATAAGATATAAAAAATGGCGAGCTTAACTCAACAATTGAGTTATCTACCAGCTAACCGTTCTCAAAGAAGGAAAGCTTTACATTAGTGGGTAGATGAGTACAATCTAATTAGCAATAAAAATAACAAAAATAAACACTAATACATAATATCAAACTATATACATACACAATTACACACATAAATAACATAAACATATACATACACGTACATATATAATGAAATACATAAAATAAATACATATAAGTAATACTAAATTCTTCTTCTGTCTTCTGCCCTACTGATATTTTTCTCAAGACCCCGATAATTTTAGTCGTTGTTTTTAGCTTAGGCTGTGCATCCTCCTTTCCGCCAATACGCGCAATTAAATCAAATATTGAAAGTGGCGAACTGTGAAGCTTCTGTAATCGCTTAGGTAAAACTTTAATTTGAATATATTTATCGTGGTTACAAATCATTTATATTCATATAATCATCTGCCTATATGGTTGGACATATGCCACCCCCGAGAGGTTGAGAGTGATGCTATTGCGGTGATCATTGCATTTGGCATCCGGGTTGGCGGTCGGAATTAATAACGCACTTTACGCAAACAGTACTTCAAAACTATTTACATCTCTATATATTAATACGTGAAGCAAAAACTTTGTATCCCTTTTTACGAAAATTGCACGGACGGAGGAGTATGAAATTTTCCACACTTATAGAGAATATAGAGAAGAAGTGCACAATGCTAATATTTATTTTAAATAATGCATAAAAGATACATTAAATCAATAAAGAAAACATTACACACACTACCATGTATTTGACGCACACACGCGTGCATACTATTTATTGTCAAACTTTTGTTCTTGGCGTCTGTTCTCAAATTGAGAATAGATTAAATATTGTTTGTCTTTGTTAATATTTTTCTATAGTGTAGTCTTGGCGTTGAAAATACAATCATAATAGTGTACAAACTGACAATTCCAATTAATTATAGTCTGTTACTACTGCGGGACCTCTAGTTCATTTTAAAATGAACAAATGCGCTTAACAGGTTCGCCACGAAAACAAATTATGCAGGAAAATTATACATTTAAATCACATTGAACGTAACTATTACACAATATTTATCGTAACTCCATTTTACAAATATACAATCGGTGAGTTATTATTTTTTTTTCCTACCTAAGCCGATAGCCCTGAGAGGCTATTTCAGCGTAACCTTGACTAGTAGGTGAGCTCACGGGGCTCAAACTTGACGACGTTACTAACAAAAATTCTAGCAAGAGCCGTGAGAAGATCCGACGAGAAACTCAGTGGGCTGTGTCTGTGGGTTAATTTACTCGTCGAGCCCTTCGTCGCAAGCGACGGGTTTGACGAGAAAGATGACCGGCGAGATATTGTATGACGTTATGCTAAATAATAATCTCCTCATAAAAAAATCATGTCTGCATTCTTTTCAGCCTACCCAGGATATATGCGCCTCCCATACCCGTAAAGCAACCTGTATATCACTGTCACAAAAAAGCAATTCAGCTTAATGGAAATGACCAGTTGTGACATTAAAATATTATGTAGATTTTGGCTTATTTCTGCGTTTTACGTAAGGGCATTGATATTTTTGTATCTCTCTCCGATAAAACACCAGGCAGAGTTTAACTGATCTCAAGCAGCTGTAACACCAATAAAAAACGATAGTATAATTTAATAATAATATCATCGAATCATAAAAAACTAACGTGGCACGTGGTCACATTAAACACAAACATATTTTTCATTGATTCTTTTATCTGAGGTCAACGCGTAAAATATTCTCTATGAAATCATATCGGCATCACAAGGTACGGCATTCGCCATGACGGTGCTCGAATAAAAAAAGTATCTACTGTAAATAATGTACTTACTTCTTTCTGATCATAAACACAATACAACAACAAAAAATCACTATTCACATAATTACAAAAACTTGGTAATATTTATATATTATAAGGTAGATATATATATTTTTATTAATTAAATTGTTAACTAACAAACAATATACCACTCCAATGCAACGAGACGAATACTGAGACGAAAACTCTGTACATTAGGTTATATTCGTAAGATTTTGACACAAAAACATTAATATCAAGGAAATAGCGACCCAATTACCATAGTATTAGTGGCTATAATGACGTGCGATGACTGTCAAGATTAGATGAAGCCTTCGGCAGCATACGTAAAGCCTCCGTTGTATGGCGTTTACGAGAAGATCGATTTCCAAATAAGGGCTTATCAAAATAAAATCGGTGCTTTATTATTACTGCTAACAAAATTGCCGATAGCAAAATTTCCTGTTGCTTTTTTATGATTGATGGATTACTGGTGGCTATAAGGCCTTTCCAGTTTCACCAGGGCATGTGGGCGAGCAGAGGCTCAGCCAAAAGGGGTGGGATTTGCTAACAGCTGTCCGTGCGCCTCCGAAAAAGACCTAACAACTGAAGAGCAACTGCTTCGCGAATGAATCTACTACCGGATCGGTATCGCGACCCGCTGAGAAGATCCGGCGAAAAACTCAGCGAACATTTCCTATTGCATAGACACTTCTTACGATAGATCTGATCTAATAGTGAAAGTACAAGATTCTTTTTGTAACTGACTGGTATAGTGGCGGTTACTCAGTTAACATTATTCCATTATTTATTGTATTAGTTCCTTTATTTAATTTTTATTTTATACTAGATGTTGACAATTTTAATAATTTTGATTCGGTTTCATTCGATTTGATTTCATTTTTGCTTATATTTATTTTTAAAAATTCTGATAAATTGTAATTTTAATTTTATTGTATTTTTATTTAAATATTATGTTAATTGTATGTGAAATTTTATGGGCTTGAGTTGCCTGAAATAAACGCATTTTATTCATTAATTCAATATGAATTACACAAACGAAAATTAAATATTCGTAAAGCTACTTAAAAGACACTTTGGAGATTAGAACATGACAAAGTACCAAAATGTCTTTAATTGAATATGCAATTTCGAAAAGGGCACATGTCGCATATTTTGTCAAAAACGTTTTTTTCATATACATGTAGTTTTGAGGCTTACCTACACCCATTTTATAATAATTCCAGTAATTTTCAATTGCTAATTAACACTAAAACATATCTGAAAAGTTAAAATTCTAAATTTTACACTGCTTTAGAAAATAATCAGTTTTTTTTCATTTCCTGAACATTTTACATTTTCAGAGATGTGCCCTTTTCGAAATTGCATATTCAATTTGTTTTTCACCTACCCTCAGCTAGCCGTGATCAACCTGAGAGAGCTTGCTAATAGCCCTGGAAAAAGCAGTGCTTCGTTGAATCTACCACCAAATCGGAATCGCGACCCACTGACAAGGAGATCATTCAACAAAGACCGTTGTACCGGGATCCAGAATTTTAGACTGGACTAGTGCTTAAACTGTCTTGGTAACGTGCAAATAAACTACACACTACTACTACTACACAAACGCAATTTCAATCTATACAAATATTACAAACTTAGATGCTTGTTAGTCACGCGATATTGGCTAGTCGGAATTGAGTGGATTTCCGAACAAAGATGGTTGATAGCTTGTATGATATGTGTATCTTAAATAAGAAATACGATACCGCTAAGCACTGACTTCCGCTCTTTCATAAATTTACGTAACAAGGCATTCTATAAATCAATTTATTATCAGAATACGACGTCGTCGACCTGAACGATAAGGACTATGCCGGTATTCGAATCCCACATGGAAACATCAATTTTTCACACCAAATACGTACTTCAAAACGTTCACGAATGACTTCCACGGTGAACCAATAACAATTGTGGAATAAAAATGAATCCTGCAAAAATCATAACTCGCTCAATTACTGGTGGTAGGGCGTCTTGTGAGTCCGCAGGGGTAGGTACCACCGCTCTGCCTATTTCTGCCGCGAAGCAGTAACGCGTTTTCGTTTGAAGGGTGGGCCAGCCGTTGTACTGTAAAACTAAAACTTAGAACTCATGTCTCAAGACGGGGGATGGAATTAAAGTTGTTGATGTCTATGGGCTCAGAAAACTACTCAACACCAGATGGACCGTAATCTCGTCCACCCATCCAAGCAATAAAAATAGTAATCAAACAACGACTCGTGGAAGACGCACAGATAATACTAGTGATTTCCTTATTGCTGTTAAACCAGCAGGCGAATTCATAGTCTATCCATTATGGTATAGATATCTATAATACATGATGCCTTGACAACACTGGGACTGTGAGCTTATTCACCATCTAAGGAATTAAAAACGTCATGATAATCACCTTATCGTTGCCACCGCTAATTACTCCCAGAATCCTGATCACGCAGGAGCCAGTCACCGTCGACGCCCTAGACACGTATTACGGACCCATCAGATCCAATAACCTTTGCATTAGACGCCTTCAGGTCTAACACTAGAAGCAGACTTAGGGACCCCGGTAATCTAACCCCCGCTAAATTTCTCGTCGGATCTTCTCAGCGGGTCGCGATACCGATCCAGTAGTAGATTCATACCGCGAAACAGCTGCTCTTGAGTTGTTAGGTCTTCTTCGGAGGCGCTCGGGCAGCTGTTATCAAATCCCACCTCTCGTGGCTGAGCCTTTGTACGCCTATCTGTCCTGGTGAAACCAGAAAGGCCTCCGGGCCACCTGTAATCCTTCGATAATAAAAAAAGGAATTAAAAAAATTTATTATTTATACAAGATTAAAGCCACGGCGCGCGTTTAATGTTTACATGAAACCTTGACAAAAAAGTCCTTCGTCGTGTTGACATGATTTAAATGATTCACAAAAATATAATATGATGCAACTTTACCAAAAATTACGAGTATAGTCTTTTATACATTGAACAGCTTATGGTATTTTCTGACATTAATGCGATAGACATTTTAAATGCTATAGACGAGTAGTTTAGTCTCCGATCTACCTTAAGTATTAAATTTATCAGTTTATGATTACAGTTACTTACGCTAAGACGTCAGTTGGAAGTATCAATTGAATTAGACTATTCCACCCCTTAAGCCGAATTGCAGTTAGGAAGGCGGTTCCTACCCGTGCAGCCTCACCACACACCTTACAGTGATTGCATAAAATAGTAAATTTGAAGTCGTCGAGGCCTAAAGGATAAGGAATCCCTTTGTATCGAGCGATGCGATTGTGTCGGTGCTCGAATCCCGCAGGCCGGTACTTAACAATTTTTCTAATGAAATACATACATATCAAATATTTACGATTGGCTACCACGGTGAATGAAGGAACAACATCGTGTAATAAAAATAAAACCCGCTTTTTTTTATAATTTGCGTAATTACTGGTGGTAGGGCGTCTTGTGATGGCACGGGTACCACGACTCTTGCCTATTTCTGCAGGGAAGCAGTGATGCGTTTCAGTTTGAAAGGCGGGGCAGTCGTTGTAGTATATACACTGAGACTTCGAATTCTTGTCTGAAGGTGGGTGGCGGCATTTACGTTGCAAACATCAACTAAGACTTGAGCAAGACCACCCAGCTAAAAACAAAATTTTATACGTACTTATTAGATCCGTTTTATTTCTCCTATCTGAACTGGTAACTTTAGAGGGTTATGCCAGCATCACCGAGCGAGTAATTGAGCTCACGGGGCTCTAAGCTGAGGACGTTGCTAACAGTAGCCCTAGCAAGAGCAGTGCTTCGCAGAATCTACCACTGGGTCGGAAACGCGACCCACTGAGAAGATCCGGCGAGAAACTCAGGGGATTGTATCTATGGGTTAATTTACTCGATACGATTTAAAGCATAAATTATTCTATACTAGCGGACCCGGCAAACTTTGTTCCGCCACACGGTTTGTTTCAAACACATCAACCGGTCAACTTCAAAATTCTACTATAATTAACCATAGAATATATTACGTTTAGCTGTCAGTTGCGTTTTGTTATTCCATATCAGTTGCGTTTTGTTATACCACGTTTTATGACACGTCCCACGGGAATGTGATAAAAAGTATCATATGTCCTTCTCCTGGTTCTAAACTACCTCCTCACCAATTTTCAGTCAAATCAGCTCAGCCGTTCTTGCGTTATAAATAGTGTAACTAACACGACTTTCTTTTATATATATAGATGTACNTTATAAAGAGGAAAGATTTGTTTGTTTGTTTGTTTCGAATAGGCTCCGAAACTACTGGACCGATTTGAAAAATTATTTTTCCATTAGAAGCCGACATTGTCCCTGATGAACATAGGCTACTTTTTTTTATTTTTTTTTTATTTTTTTTTTTGGTTTCATGTGTGTTTTAATGTTTCCGAAGCGAAGCGAGGGCGGGTCGCTAGTACTATATACACTGAGACTTAGAATTCTTGTCTGAAGGTGGGTGGCGGCATTTACGTTGCAAACATCAACTAAGACTCGAGCAAGACCACCCAGCTAAAAACAAAATTTGATACGTAATTATTATATCCGTTTTATTTCTCCTATCTGAACTGGTAACTTTAGAGGGTTATGCCAGCATCACCGAGCAAGTAGTTGAGCTCACGGGGCTCTAAGCTGAGGACGTTGCTAACAGTAGCCCTAGCAAGAGCAGTGCTTCGCAGAATCTACCACTGGGTCGAAAACGCGACCCACTGAGAAGATCCGGCGAGAAACTCAGGGGATTGTGTCTGTGGGTTAATTTACTCGATACGATTTAAAGCATAAATTATTCTATATATTACTAGTGGACCCGGCGAACTTTGTTCCGCCACACGGTTTGTTTCAAACACATCAACCGGTCAACTTCAAAATTCTACTATAATTAACACAATTAACCATAGAATATATTACGTTTAGCTGTCAGTTGCATTTTGTTATAGTTACCATGTTTTATGTCAAGTCCCACGAGAATGTGATAAAAAGTATCCTATGTCCTTCTCTTGGTTCTAATCTACCTCTTCACCAATTTTCAGTCAAATCAGCTCAGCCGTTCTTGAGTTATAAATAGTGTAACTAACACGACTTTCTTTTATATATATAGA